TCAGCCCCCTTCGCTGCCTTCGCTGCCTTTGCTGCCTTCACCTTTTTCGTTTGGTTCCCCGACTAGAAGTTCAAATATTGTTTCACACACCCCCGGGGACTTTGTTGACTATAGATCCCCCGCCTCTCTTTCTCTTCATCACTCTTCCCTTGGCCAAATGACTCCACATGCTCAACAAATTCTACATACGTTTTCCAAATTAGATTCTGCGGTTTCCGAATGTCTGTCTGTCTGTCTGCCTGCCTGCGATGTTGCTCGCTAGGGGGCGCCACATTGAATCGCAATCAATCGACATCGAGGGACTTCCCCTCGTTTGTTTACATATTTGCTCTTTGTTTTGCTTTCCCTTCCGTTGGCCGTCTATTTCCATGCTGATTTCCAATCTTGTTTACTTTTGCCATTTCAAATGATATTTGCTGGCGCAGAGTCACTAATTAATTAGACGAACCAGTAGCTTCCATAAGCCGACATCTTGACTGATTTTTAATCGCTAACTTGGCATGCAGGCCAGGCAGAAAACTCCGCAGACGGAGTCAGCGACAATGAACGACTCGTAATCCAATTTAAAAAACCATCTCCGTCAGACGCTTCCTTTGACTGCCACATAAATCAATGGGACGCGCGCTTAAAATTCATATCTTGTCAGAATGTAAGTTGTATTTTAAGCTTTTTATCGGGCCCCAAAAGGCGGCTGCAATGCGCCTCACATTACCCATGCCCCAACAGTTTGCCGCCAAGGAAGCAAAGCCGTTGGTTATGAATGGATAAACGAGACGGCAACGACGACGGCAGCGGTGGCGGTGCAGTGGTGCGTGGGCGAAAGGGGAAAACTGAGACGGCAAAAGGTAAAGCACAAGTCAAATTATTGGGCCAGCTGAGAGGCCCAACCGAGACGGTAGACGGTACTTCTTCACTTTAACGGTTTCGATTAGGGTGATTCATGACTGAGATGTTTAAGATACGCGCCCTCAAGAACAAGGAAAATCATAAAAAAAATATTTATAGATATTATTTATGATTAAGGCATAAATTCTTTAGACTAAGAACTCGTAAGATATATCCTTAGAAGTAAAATTCGCAGATATAAATTTTAATAACATTGTCCCACCCTGCTGTAACCAATAGTAAGACACCAAGGCACTATCAATTTTGTGGCTAAATCTTTTGGCCATTTAGGCTGTAAGTACCGTAACAAGAGCAGCAGCAACAACTCAATAGCCCGGGCCACGTGTTGCATGTGCAACACGAAATGGCTGTACATATTATTTATGTGCGTTAATGCCAAACACCATATTCGGATCGGGCTTAAAGTGAGCCATGAAAATGTGTCCAGAGTACCGGCAACACGAGCTACTTAAGCGGGTCTCATATATCCGCGGCTTTACGGCTTAAATGCGTTATAATTCAAAGCCGAAATGCCTGGCCACCTGTTTATCGGATATTTGAGTCGTTGTCACGTCCCTGCCACTCCGCTCTGCCATAAATATTGGCCACTATGCCACGACATGTATCATCATTTTCGCTGCTCTGATGATGAGCTCTCGTTTCGGGAAATTCAGCTAGCATTTTCAGTACCATGTTGTTATGGCCTTTTCTGGACAGTCAATGTTGCCCAATCTCTGCTGGAACTTCGATTTACTGATCTGTCTTGCTAATTCCCTGCCAACTAGCACGCAACTAATGAACCTTAGTCTGTGGCACGATCCGAGCAGAGTTTAAGTTTATTTATAGCAGAAAACTGCGTCGTTTGTGCAGCTGAATTATGGGCAACATTATATTGCAACACTCTACTGCAAAATTTGATAAAATACTAGCTGAGTTTTAACTGAAAACTTAAGCTTCGTAACTCAACAGTTTTTGGTATCAGAAGTCTAGAGTAAAATGAGATAACGATCAAAGTTATTCTTAAGTTCTAAGACAATAGCCTCATGTTTGTTGCCCAGTGTAATCCCCATAGACGGTAGCTGGCAACTTGTTGCCAATGCCGGCGCCAAGCAACATTCTGTTGAATTCACGACTGCCATGTCGCCACGAAGTCTGCGATTGTAATCTTTTGCTCTGGCCAGGCCTATTCTCCCTGTTAACTATACAAATTGTTCGATGTCGTGTGTGTTAGTTAGGTGAGTGCAAGTTTAGGGCAGGGAGAACGTTGTCAACGCTTGTGTACTGCCATTGGCAGGCTGCCATTTCCAAGAGATGAGATCTGGCATCTTTATAGTACGAGACACAGACTCATTTTGGCTTTTATTCGAGGCGATAAGAAAATAGCCACATAAATGTTGCAGAAAATACCTTAAAAATTGCTTAATTTTTGCTGAAATTAAAGGCTGGATTTTCCATTTTTATTGGATGGTTATAATAGGTAGCCAAAGAAAGGAAATAATATGTGAAATTTATTCATTGAGACTTTAAGGGTAATTTAACTAAATCTTTATTCAACGACAGCCAGATGCTTTATGTTTAAGGTGATAAGAAAATTACCTTAATATTATATTGTACTTACAAATTACTTACATAAATTTTAAAGGTAACTTTCTTTGCTTCCTGCAGCTTGTTAGTAACTTTATATTACGTTAAAGGGTAATTTCATATCTTGCCCCATCTGGCAGTGACTTGCCGTTTTAATGCCGCCCATTCTGGTGCTCACTTAAAGGCACATTGTTGCAGCGTTTATCATATTAATGTGAGTGACTGCCGTTGTTGGCCGGGTCTCTTAACAACTTAATAATTTATTTGTCTCCCCCGCGGAACATGTGTCACGGCCACGTCAGTGGCTTCGGAGAAGAGGGCTCTTAAATTATTTACACGATTTGCATGCGTGGCAACTTTAAAGAGGTTGCGTCTGTGGAGCATAAACATGTCATATTATTTTTATATTTCACTGTCTGATAAAAGTTTTTTTTACGGTACTGCGTCATAAAAATAAAAAACACTAGGAAGCTACAGCTAGCAGAAATGTTTTGAAAAGGACGTTGAGCAACAGGAACGGGCAGCTTATCAATGCAAAACAGACTCTTGGCTTTCGTCCATCCACTTCATATTCAAAATAACGCCCCCTTTTCAATTTCCCAGCCAGTCTATTTCCATCTGCATTGTGCATGAAGCGTTGAAGCAACCCTTGAGGGATTAAATTTCAACAGTTCGCCGCCCGCGTTGCGCATTCTTGGCCAGCACTTTCCTCATCGCCCCCGCCTCCTTGGAAAATCCCTTTTCCCCTCTCACTATCAACCTACAGCAGCTTTTCTCTTGCCGACTTTTCGACGCTTAGCCATCTGTCTGTTCACTTTTGGGAAAATGGGAAGCGCTTAAAATGGAAAGGGCAGCGGTAGGAGGTGGAGAAGGGGCATTCAGCTAATGAATGTAATCGTCATAAGCTGCCCTTTTCGCTGCGGAAGAGCCAACTCATTACGAAAGCCTGTCTACAAAATATTTCCTTGTAATTGGGCTGATTTCAGGGGTTGTACTCGAATCGTTTGCGGGAATAACAGAAGGAAAATGCATTCACTTTAAATCAGTTCTGGCGAGCTGTCAGTCAAATTGGTTGTTTATGGGAGAGAAGGGAATGCTTTTTGGGTGAAATTAATATCTAAGGGATTAATTTCTAAAGAATTTTGAAAAGGTTTCAAAGATTTGAGCTTGCATTTGGCAAAATTTTGGGAAAGAACTTTCTGTGTTTTTCATTTCCGATAAAAGAATCTGTGAAAGAATCTTAAGCTGTAATTCAAATTAAATAATAAAAGAAAGTATACGAAAACCAGGTGTATCTACCTGAGTCACCTTTAATATTACAAAGTTTCCTCTCAACAACACGACTAATTTTATCTAGCCCTAATAAACCCTGGAAAGCTAAACAAAACACGCTTTTTCCGGTTGGTGGCAAGGCCATGATAATGGCATACCTGCAGCTATTTTGATTTGATAAGCAAACAAAGGCGACAAACAGTGGCAACAAGGCATAGGAAAACATTGCGACGGCTGTGGCAAATAGAATAAAATAATCAGAAAACAAACGCAGAAAGTGGTAATGAGTATACGCCGTGTCTGACAAAGGGACATCGAAAAAAAAGAAAAGAAAAGGGAAACAGAAACGGAACGTCGTTGCCTGTTTTTCTGTTTGTCTGGAAAAGTGAAAAGCATGTAAATGCCCAGGGCGGGTATTATGAGGGACCCCAACCCCGAGCTCGCTCCAATTTCTATGTTCTAGAGCCCGTCTGGCAGATACTTGAGGCAGCCAGCCAGTCAGGCTGCTCAGCTCTTCGACATCCAGCTGGACAATAATTGTGCGAGGGTTTCATGAGCCAAAGTGTCCTGCGGGCAATAACAGGGCCGGAAAAAGGGGAGAAATTCCCAAAGAGGAATGGAGGAGGAATTTCAAACAAAGATTTAGATCCTGGGGAGGGACAAATGCTAATGAATTGAAATTGTTAAGGAGGCGAGATGGGTTGGCGAGCGGTGGCGTATGAGCAATTTAATTGCTGAGCAAATTGCGCGCTGATGAAAATTGAATTGTTCATTGGGTGGCGTGGCGTGTCATGTCACTGTCAAGTGCAAATGTTTCCAATGCCGCAACATCAACATTGTGTCTCTACCGAAAAACATTCAACAAATGAGGTTTGCAAATGTCGGCAAATGGAAATGGAAAAGCTTGCGTGTCATTTATTATTATTCGCCTACAATTCAGCTTGGCATTGTTTAAATGATTTTTCAAGCGATTTATTTGCGGTCTGGCTTGGTTGTTTTTTTTAATGAATTTTTCCCAACACTCCCGGGAAAATGCTCTTGACTTTGACGTGTAACTATGAAAAGCAGGGAAAATAAAAACTGATATGACCAACGCGAGCTGTCACCGCGGGCGTGACTAAAAGTTGCCATAAAAGAAACCGTAACTGAAGCCGTAAACTTTTATTACTGCACCCTGCATTCCGGGTCTGTTTTTCATTTTAATTTTCGCCGCTGATGTCATTGTCCTGGAGATTCATTTTTTTCGTATTATTTTCCAGACGGAGCTTTCGCACAATCTGCAACAATTGTCGGAGAAGGCACGTTCCACGACCGAGTTCATCCAGCGCCTCAAAGGCATGAGCGACAAAGTTACGGTAAGTAAGCGCCAAAAAATAACCCGGAAAACCGGCTAAAATCTGACTCATCCGTAAATAGGAATCCTGCATGGAGTTCGAGCGCCTCGTCCATGCCCAATGCGATGCTCTGATTCAGGCCATTCACGACAGACGCGAATATCTGCTGGAGGCGATTCGCATGGACAAGGACACCAAGATCAGGATACTGAAGGTGAGTTTTCTTGGAAGTAGTATTGGTATAAAAAAATCTAAGTTGAATTTATGATTAACAGGACCAACAGTCGAACTGCACTGGCAAGTTGCAGCAGACCACAGGACTCATTCAGTTCTGCATTGAAGCTCTAAAGGAGACTGACAGCGCCGCCTTTCTTCAGGTAGGCTTAATGATTAATACTAACTATTAGGAGTTAATATAAATAAGTAAAAATTTTGTTTTTTAGGTGGGTTCTATGCTTATTAATCGGGTGACCAACACGGACATGACCTGGCATCAAGAGGTCACCAATGCTGCCCCTCGTGTTTCCCCCATTGTGGATTTGACCCTCGATGATGCTGCCCTGGCACGTGCCATAGATAACTTGAACTTCATCCAAATGAAAGGTAAGTGACAGAAGACAAAGCTAAACACTTTAATAAATTCAAGCAGCTAATTAAATTGATAGAAACGCTCTTTAGTCAAAGTATTTCGATTAAATAAGTGATAGACTAGGCTTAGAAGTAATCTTTGAAGTACTAGTAGATAGAATATATCCCAAATGAGCTTAAAGCTTATCCCATCCATGTTTAGCTTCAGACTTCATGTTCAATATTATTGTGTCCTAACCAGCGGTGAATTATTGAGCCCAACTGTATGTGCCAAGCAAACTCACCTCATAAATATTGTCACTAATTGCGCACAGACACACACACACACAAACACACACCCCAATTTGTCCAAAGGTGTGACTTTGGGCCACCCTGTAAACATAAACATAAACAAAAACAAAATAGAATCCACACTCGACTTGCCCTCGAAACAAAAGCGAAAAGAGCCCTTCAATCGAGGGCGGTTGAAGAGTTTTGAGTGAAGGGCTTCGAAAATAGTTTTGGGGAACTCCCGGGAGAAAGGGGAGCTCTCAATTTAAGAACTAGTAAAGTGAAATGAGAGTCGGCAGTTGACAAATTTCGAAAGAAGGAACGCCCAGAAATAGATTTCCAACAATTAAAGTGAAAGTGTTGAAATTGGATAGTGCACATTAGTTCGTCACATAAACACACATACAGACACCGAAATAACTATTTAAAATAGAAAATAAATTGTATGCAAATGATATGTCTAACAATTTTGTGCTTCTCTTGCATCTTTCTGTCATTTTCAATGTGCCGCTTGCTATCATTCAAATGAAAATGCCCATAAAAACAAAAAAACAAAAAATCGTACAAACAAACCATCTAAAGCCGTCAAAGATGGAGACGAAAGATGTCCGGCAGGTGAGCAACAACAACAACAACAACCATCACTTGAATGCAAAAATACGAAAATGGAAAAATCAATACACAAATTAAGTTTTTCGCACACACAAGACCGAAACTCATGAAGTTTAATTCCATAATTTTTGTTCTGTTTCTGGGAAAATAATGATTTTTTGGTGCTTTCGGACTATCTCACACATACACTCATTTATTCACTCACACACACACACACACACATATATCTATGCCTGTTCACTCACTCACACATCGACCAGTCAAGTCGGCCATTTTGTTTTCATGGTTTTTGGCCATTGTTTTCCGTTCTTTTCCGTTTGACGGCCGCACACGCCTACGCATAATAATTTTTCATTTTCATTTAAGCCACTAGCTGGGTAAAAAAAAAAAATACCCGAAAATGCGTCAAAATATTTTCGGTTTCATTTCCGGTTCCTGGCGAAAGTCAAAAACTGCCTTACCGCAGCCTGTCAACCCTCGGGGGCAGGCGGTTGCTCTTTTAGGTGGGCGTGGCCAGCGATGTCATTTCGAGTAACATAATTTTTTTCGTCACTTTTTTCCTTTTGCCTGTCGCTTTTCATTTGACTTCTGCTCCTCCCTCCTCTCCCTACGCCTTCCCTATCTTCATTATTTCATGCTTAAGCTTTTATTTCGCATTTCTCGTTTTATATGGTTATTATTATTATTTTTTTTACGTATTTTAGCCTTTTACCCTGGCATTTTCCATCGCAATTGACCCTCTTCAAAGGGTGGCTGCTTAGGCTTATCCCTTACACTTTTAGCCTGATTGCCGGGGCACCTTGATTTTCAACTTTTTACTTTGTACCTCGGTTTTTGTTTTTCGGTGACATTTGACAGCTTTTGGCGCCTTTTTAATTCGACGCGCCTGCCCAAGGGAGCGGAAATACCCCGAAAGCGGAGCCAGAAGTGTCATCATTTTTATGTTTATTTTGTGGCATAATTTTAGGCGCTTCACTTCGCCTCGCCATTTGTGTTGTGTCATGAATTTTTATTACAAGGCGTTGGTTTTATACCTCGATTTTTACGACACACAGGCGTGGCCTCTCTACGGGCAATTAATAAAAAATGAAAGTTCAACGAATAAAAGTGTCACTCGGTTGACAGATTCATTTCGGTTCTTCAAGGGATCACATCAATTGGTTATCCTTGAACTTTTATCCTTTGAAACTCTTTTATTGGTTGTGGTATTTTGTATCGGTTGTATTGATGGTTTGGCTTACTATTATTTAACAACAACAACTACTTTTGTGACCTCTTTTGCCCCGTAGTACTAACACCTACTTTGGGTCTTGTACTTAATTTGTTTTTCCTTGATTTTATTATGAGAAAAACTAATAAATCTGCCTTGTTTAACCAACAGCACCCATGACCCCAACTATACTGCCATCGGATTGTTCAGCTGAAAATAATTCTGTTACCGTTGCGTGGCAGCCACCAAATCATTCGTTCGTCGAGGGCTATGTCCTGGAACTGGATGATGGCAGCGGTGGAGAGTTCAGGGTAAGTAGAACTAACAAGTTACCAATATTTATTCACTAAAATATGTGTAAGCCAGTTAAGCCAACTAAAGGCCACAGCAGCTAATGAATAGCTGACTGAGTGTCTCAGTTCAGCCGCTGATTGGCTGACTGAAATGGCTGTCATCTTCCAATTTATTAACCCAGAACTTTAATTTGATTGCCTCCCCTTCATCTCGTTGCCGAAACAGGAAGTCTACTGCGGCAAGGAAACAATTTGCACCGTGGACGGACTGCACTTCAACTCGATGTACAATGCCCGGGTGAAGGCCTTCAATTCCGCCGGAGAGGGTGAATACTCGGAGCTGATTGGACTCCAGACTGCCGAAGGTGAGTCCCGCTTTTCACATTTCCACCTCTACTTCTACTAGCTTTTTCAATTAAGCTCCAACCAACCTGGGCCGGGTGCAATGCTTGCTTGTGAGCTACTTTTCCAACTGTTTTATAATTTAATCCTTTTCGGTCATGCTCCACCCCAATTCCACTCCCGATTCCTCTTGGTTTCCCGTTCGTTCGTGCTTTGCATGTCAAACAGCCATTGACCCCTTTTACGCCTGCCGGGCAGGAAAACGTGAATGGAAATGGGATTGGTAGCGGGAGAGGTGGCGGAAACGGGATCGGGAGTGCTAGCGGGATCTGAAGCCTGGGGGAAGATGTCTTCTGCAATTCAATTCTCACTTGATTGATGCATGCGCCACCTGACAGCAGCTCCTGTTCCTCCACCGCTCACACCCAACCACAAAACGAAACGCCGCGTAAAGTTATTTAATTTATAAAATTGCCAGAACGCTCTAGGAAGCATTTTATTACTGGCCGTTGTTGCCAGTTTCTGTCCGTCGTTTTATTAGTTGGTCGCCATTAATTTGCAACTTTTAATTGATTATTTCTCGGCGCCTGCGAGTTGTCTTCGCGGGGGTCACAGGCGATTAAAGTGGAACATCAAGCGACCCCGGAACCGAATCCTAACCCGTACCCAATGTCAAGGCGATCCCACTGCAAATTGCTATTTTATAAAGTGTTTACATCGAGCGCGTGTCCCTAAGTAATTAACGGAAAAAAGTAGTTAACAGTTTATGGCTCGTGACATTCGAGCGGAGCGCTGCATTAATGGGTTAAGTCTGGCACCTTAAAGACATTAGAAGAAGAGGCCATAAGATGATAGTCTTAAGAAATAAAAACGGGTAAAGTGGTTTTAATTACCTTAAAAGCGGTCTTTATAGGTTTGCTTGAAAACACAAGACCAAACCACATTTATAATAGGAAGTTAGAAGTTTTAGTTTCCAGACCAAGGAAAGCCATAAATTACAACGAATAATAGACCATACCTAATCCATTTTAATAGACTCCTAATCCCAACTTCAGACGCAATCATTTGGCAAACATTCTAGCTCCAACTCCATCTTACTTAATCCAATTAAGAAACTGGGAACAGTTTATAGCAGCTAATTAAATGCCGGCATCTAGGACTCTCGGTTTATGGAGCTTAGCTCGAATTCCTCATAGTTTTAATCGCAAAGTCATATCCCCGACATAAACAAAACAATGGCCAGCCGGAGTCCTCCTGGCCCAGATGCTTGCTTTGTGGCTTGTTTGGCCACACAATTGCCTTTGGTGGGCAATAAAACAGGCAACGTCATCATCGTCAGCAGACCGAGAAGTGGTGCTATATAGAATAGTATGTATATATAGCCAGGTCCCAGCTGATTCCAGACTAGCCTTGGCCACTTAATGCGGCCACAACAATAAAAAAGGAAATTTAATAAAGCACTCGACTCGACGCCACTCGTTGCCTACTTTGCGGGGCATAACAGCATAAACTGCAAGGGGCCACCGACTTGGACTCGACTCCGAATTGCACTGGCCACTTGAGCTTTGACAATGGGGAAAATTGCAACCAGTCTGACTTTGTTTTTCTTTCCACTTTGCACTGCTCCTTGCACTGGAAAAAGCTGATATCCGGAATTTTAAGAAATAACAAATTAATGGGATTTTGTTTTAGCAGACCTTTGTATTCGGTTCTCGGTTTTAGAGTGCTTTATATATATAATTCTTATCATTATTAATTATTTCTAGAAGTGTACTCATCAACTGTATTTTCCTCATTTCCATTTCAGTGGCCTGGTTCACGTTTGATCCCGTTCTGAGCGGCGGTGCCGGCTCTGGCTTAATCTTCAGCAAAAACAATGCCACCGTCAGCGTCGAAGGCTGGGAGCACCGTGTGGCCCTCGGCTCCGTAGGCTTCTCACGGGGCGTCCACTACTGGGAATTCACCATCGACAACTATACGGCGGACACGGATCCGGCCTTTGGAGTGGCCCGCATTGACGTGGCCCGGAACAAAATGCTGGGTGAGTACTTCCCGCATTTCACCTTTCAGTGGGTTACTGGTCGCATTGGAAATTCAATTAAAATTCAGAGCAGGCGCCGCACAAGAGAACGGCAAAGATAGAAACTTTGATCGAAAAAAAAATAGGAAGAAAGGAAAACCAGAAGTGGAAAATCTGCACAACAAATAGATTCTGGCGTTGACAAAAGATCCAATACGTATGCGGAAAGTTCGCAGCTAATAGACAAGGATTCCGGGGGGTAGGAGAGTTCAGGTTCGGTTCGGGAACTTAAAACTTTGCCATTTTGCCGCCTCGCAATGCGAAGCCAATAAAATCGAGTGCCAAGTAGGGGGGCGTATCGAAAACTTTTGCCATTTCTTGTTGCATGTGCGTGGAGCGGAACCTAAGAGCTTGGCAACCTCCAGGATGAAGGATGAGAGTGGAGGGTCCTTTCGTTACCAGACTGAGACAAACACAAACAAAGGACCCAACAGAGGCGCCTTGAAGTATGCCTCGGCAAATTGATTGAAAATGTGCGTCGTTGGTTAGGGGTGGGCGTTGGTGTAGAAAGTGGGTGGCTTCCATAAGCGACTTGAACTGCAGACAAAAGTAATTAAAAGTGCGGCACTTAAACTTTTGTCAAATGCAAAAGTTTATTTGCGGCATCGCAACCCATTTCATTGCTCTCTTTTTTTTCCATTTTATATATTTTTAAGACATCGCTGTGTATCCTTTTCACTTACACAATTTATTCCCCAAGCTGCTCACGCGCCATTTAACACGTGCCCGCCAGCATCGGTGGTCCGCTGTTGGAAAACTCAAGTTTTCGAATTAAATTTTCATATGCAAAGCGCTGGCGTAACTCCAGAGCAGGTGGCGCCCCTAGCGACTGACATTGACACTAACAGTTGCAGTTTGCCAAGTTGTTTTACGACTCTCATGCGTTCTATATATACCACCCACTCCCAACTTTCAACCTTCCTGATCCTGCTCCAGCTCCAGCTCCTGTTGCTCCTGCGTTTGTCAGTTATAATTCCGCAGGACTGAAACGACAGACAGGAAACTGACAAGCCATGGATAGTGCGAGTCGGGGGACTTATCTTGCCAGCCAGAGTTTAAAGTTTAAAGTTCGAAACTTCTAGCTGAAACTGCTGAGTTCGGGAAGTCAGTGAAACGGAGAGCAAAGATTAGTTGGGGGAATTCAAATTAGCAGCGTATTCGAGTAACGATTTTTGAAGTTTAAGAAGAGAGGATAACTGAAGCTGCCTGAATCGGTTTTATTAATTTTAAACATTTCAAAATTGTGAATAAATATTAAATAAGTTTCAAACTAAAATACAATTTTTGCATATTTTTATCCTTCCCAGGCAAAGACGAGAAATCATTCGCCATGTACATCGACCGCCAGCGATCCTGGTTCCAGCACAACTCCGTGCACGAGCGGCGAGTTGAGGGCGGCATAACCACAGGAAGTACGATTGGAGTCCTGCTGGATCTGGAGAGGCACACCCTAAGCTTCCTGGTCAACGAAATGCCCCAAGGATCGGTGGCTTTCCGGGATCTCTATGGAGTCTTCTATCCAGCAGTGAGCATCAATAGAGGAGTCACATTGACCATGCACACGGCTTTGGATGCGCCCAAAATGGATTACTTCTAGAGATGATCGGGTGCAGGGTGGACAAGTAGCAAATTGTGTACATAGAGCTTGACATTTGGCAGTTATCGGTGTCTATATAGCATTACCTTAACACGAACAGTTTACTCAGACAGCTTACATACCTAGCAATACGTGTACGTGTAGTTTTCGGGCAAGGTTCAGCGACATATCTCCATTTAATCGTATCTCTATTCGTAGTTCTAGGCACTGTTTGTAAAACGCTGCGCCAAATCGGAGAGAAATTATTAAAAATAATTGAAATCATTTAACGGTGGTAACTCGATGTAAAATATAATAACAAAACTCTCAATGTTTTTCAACACAAAAATAAAGCCAAAAATCAAGCACCGTGCAAAATGAAACAAAACAAAAAAAAAACTTAATTCAAATCGCGAACACCAAAAAAACAAATCTAATTTAAAACGCAAGCGAATGAAAAACTAAGGTAAAATCCAATTAGCAATTAGTGTAGCTAAAAATCTGCATCTGTATGTCATCACACGTACGTATGTATGGACGTGTGTTAAGTTTAATGTTTATGGCTAAAACAAACGCATTTGTTTGAGGCTAAAATGTAATCAAAATCAACGTGTTGGTGGGGGAGTTTTTATTTTGAAGACTGAAAAGGAACATGTTTTTTATAAGTACGATAGGAAAAACCCAGAACAGGTACACAAAATAAAAGCCTCATCTAAATGTGCAAAATTAACCAAAACTTTTTCACAAAATTTAACTAAAGTTAGTAACTTTCCATGTTTAAGAGCACTCAAAAAAGCTGCAAAAAAAAAATGATAAATGTCCCAAAAAACCAATTTAAAGCCAAGAGTTTCGCTTATAAAATCAAATATGCATCGGAATATTAATATTTAATGTACCATTAAGTTCCCTGTAAATATTAATGTATTTTTTAAATAAACATTCTCGGCTATTCTAGTTTTTTCGTAAGGTGTAATACATAAAATTCAATTCCAATGTATGTACGGACTATTTATATTTTTCAACTTAAGCCTATCTACAGCGAAACAACAATTAAACTTAATTACCAGTACTATGCATGTTTAAATATTTATAATAGTAATAATATTAAAATCCAAACAAACCGAAGAACAGCAACAAAAAAATGTAAATGCATGGGCAACTACCAGCACACATATAAATGAGTTTATTTAAAAAGAAAAAAAAAAGTGGAAGCAAAATAAATATGAAAAAAAGGCATAATAAAATTAAAGCAAATAGTTTTTTTTATTAACCTCTTTTTTTGGTTTGTTTGCAGTTAAAAGTTAAAGCGAGGAATTATAAATTATGAATCAACGTTTATCAATCTGGCCAGCTTAAAAGGCTTAGCCTAAAAACTAGGCTGGTTTTTTGCGCTTTTAATTAGCGTTTGGAAAAGTGCTTCTTCGCCCAGAAACTTCACTTTCCCCCACATTCCATGCTTTTCATTTGGCGACGCATTAGTGGAAAAGCCTCACGAAAGCCGGAGTTCATTGTGCCAATTTCTGTGCGGATTCCTGTGTTTGTTCTGCAGTTTCGTTGTTTCGTTTCTTGTTTTAGTTTTTGTTTTTTTTTTTTTTGTTTTGCTGGGGACAGCATTTGAAGCGGGAAATGTGTCGCCAACAATATGAATTCTGTTGTGTTGTTTTGGCATTCATACACACGCCACACCCCCACACCCCACACCACACACTCTCACAAATTACACACTTAACTTTAGCACTACGATTGCTTAGAAAGCAGCATGTGTCAACTGCCAGAGTCGGCATTTCTAGAATGTTTGCTGGTAACGTTTTCTGCTGGGGTCCTCCTCCCCCTCTATTGTTTGGTCTGTTTGACAAAGGCGAAAATTTTAATGAGCACAGCGCTGAAAAAACCGCCAAAGAAACTTTTGTTATTTTGGCCCCATATTGTTTGGCACTATACGAGTATATATGTTGTTCTATGCCAGGGAAACGCATCAAAGTGCAATTTTCATATCCGGGTTGCAGTTGCGAAAACTGACAAGGGAAAGCGCTTAGCTGTCCCCATCCGGCTCCCTCATCCTCCATCCACCATCCACATCCGTCGACGTAGACAACAAACAACAGAGAGATGGAAGACAGGACAAGGGGGACACAGGACACAGGGTACTGGGTGCAGGATTTGCAGCAGCTGCTCCATCGTCGCCTGCTTCATAAATCATAAAAAACTTTCGCCGCACGTCGCCGAACAAGAACAACTCCCGACAAACCACCGTCCCCCGCCCCAGTTATCCCCGTTCTCCCAGTTTCCCCCGGGAAAACTTAGCCCCGCAAACTAACCAACAGCTGCTAAGTGTTGAGTAAATGTTTTCGCGCCTCGTTGCTCTCTCAAATTCCCAAAACGTTTCCAGTTGTTGGTATTAGTATGACTATATGGCGGATGTGGCACGTGATTGCTGCAGTTTTCCCCCTTACAAAATTCTCACAATCTCATAAATACAAAAAGGTTAAAGTTTTCGGGCGATATCAGTAAGTATTCTAGTAGATAATTTTGAAACTAAGCGGAGAACCTGGAACTTAATAGGATTATTTTTACATTGAAGGGACATCTCCCGATATTAAACAAACTAGTTAGATTAAAATTTAGAAACCTTCGAAATCTATTTTAAATTTGTGAGCAATTTTGTGAGTGACTCATAACTTAATACAAAAAACAATTTGTGGTGTATTTTTTAACAATGCTTTTTATTATAAACCGATTATTCTTCTAATGAACCGTAAAACCAATTATAACTTTAAAGGGTATTAATATTCCATATAATATATAAAAGATAATCTACAGCTCGGAAGTTGGATTGGTAACTGCTTTTCCCAGATCACTGTCTTCCTGATCCTTTTCTCGTTGCTCCTCATTTCCAGCAATACTACCAACTTCTTCGCTCTCTTCGGTGTTCCCTTCAACCTGATACTCGGTAGTCGCTTGAGGCACTTCCTCTTCGACCGGAGGTCCTGTGGTGACACCTTTGGTTCCTCCACCATCTTCCCAGTACTGCATCACCTGCAGCATCCTGGGCTGTATCGAACTCCTAGCACTTATGCCCCAGATCATGTCCATGTGATTCCATTTACGGTTCAAATGATTCTCTACCACATTGGGCAGCATTTTAGCCAACCTTTGAACATCCTCTGCAGCCGATAGGAAATCATTACTGCCATAATACAAGGCCACTGGAGCGCTGATCTTTTCCAGACGGTATTCCGGAGGAGTTGGACGTCCGTAAAGTTTCTGGTTCTCCTTGAGTTCATAATCGTACTGACAGAACCTATCCGAGTTCTGCAGCTGAATGTAGTGAAGGGGTTGGTTAACATTACAACCGCCTGGGAATATGACCCAACACCACAGGAAACATGGTCTGTATGGAATTTATGATTTTAATGTAAGAACTTTATAAGTATTTTATTTTTACATACCATATTAAACTCCTCCCGATTTTTTCCGACAATCTGCCAGTAGAAGCGCAAACAGGTCTTCAGCATGGACGCTGATGAAACACACTGGTTGAGATACAAGAAGGAGTGCGGAAATAGCTCAAAGTTTGTACCAAACATGTTGAAGCCCATCCGGGCCATACCCATTAGTGGAGCCTTCATATGCTTCATAAAGGCCACAGGGGCCAAGGCGCTCATCAGATGGATCTTAGAATTATACTCGGGTCTGCTGGAAGCCATCACGAAGAACGAGGTTGTTCCTTGGGAGTGACCGAAGTAACTTAGCTTCTGCGATCCCGTTTTCTTCAGAACATAATCAATCATGGCTGGTAGATCGTACATCCCAATCTCGTGCCACGTGAAGCTCCAATAGGCCTTGTCCGAATTGGGATTGAGTTTCATATGGCCTCTGGAGTAGCGATTTCCCCTGACATTGCCCATCCAGACATCGTAACCGTTGGCATACAGAAAGTAACCCAGGCCACTGTGCGGACCCATTACAATCCATGTGGAAGAGGTGTCTTCCAAGCCATGAACCAATAAAACTGGCTTAGCACCAGGTCGGGGAATACGATGAAGGGTGAGAATGTATTTATCTTCCGTGGTCACCTGGTGGGTTTCCGCAGGGTGCTTGTACTTCTCCAAAAGTTGTATCTACATGAATGGGAGGATAAGATCTGTGAAATCTCTCAGATGTATATTTTGAGGACTAACCGTGTTTAGGTGGGCATCCTCGATCACACTCGCTGGAAAGTTATCCTCGAAGAATCCACCCAAAACCATAGACCTTTCGAGCGAAGTAAGCCCCGAGGACTGCTAGAAACCAAATCGCGTGTGGCATGGCGTTCGATCCGTGACTAAAGCGTACTTAGTCCAAGCTCACTGCCCACTAAAGCGCTGTAATTAGTACCGACTATTGTATTTGCTTTTTTTTTATAATATTTTATCATTAAATCGGATCGTGGCCAGCTCATTTTCGGTTGTATGTGACAGAAAATGTTTTCAAATTAAGGCAAATAAACATTTTCTAAAAACCAAGGCCAAAGTTCAAAGTGATCAGGGGCGCTAAATGCTGAGATCAGCGATGATTTAATAAGCAATTAGCCGAGTTTTGTGACCAATAAATCAGGTGGAACGGCTAGACAAGATACCAAGATAGTGAATGACAAACTTTCCATGGAATTTGAGGGAAACAGCATTAGAATGAAACCAAAAGTCCACAGAACTTAATTGAATTTTAAATTCCATACAAAACACTATTGTACTAGCCCCCACTGTACCTATTAAGTTCAAGACTCTTGATCCATTTGTATGAATCTATGTTGGGGTATATCCTATTGCCCACCATCGACCAAATCAAAGCACTTGCCCATTTAATCAGATTTGCCATGCCACTTTGAAAGGCGTATGATCCTAGATATAGTATGTTTGCCGGCTTAATTGGAAAATTTAATTTTTAATTCGGTTGTGGAGTGGACCGTGTCCACTTGGCAAACATTTGAATCGTCCCTTTCATTGCCTACGTCATCGCTTTCTTTTTTCGCAATTGATTGGCAAAAATTGATTTCAGCTTCTGCATAAAATATTTGCCGCTCCTTTATTTGCAGCAACGGCTGTCACGGCGACGACTGACAGGCTGACAAAGCGGCGTGGACGGACCGAAAATCCCTTTCCAGCCCCATGGCCGTGTCCGGATTTTCGATTCGAATCCGGGCTCCGATGCTCGGGGATAGGCCCGATGTGTGACTGGGCCGGCCAACGTTTCGACATTTGACAAATAACTTAATTCGGCGTTGTCACCACATGTTGGCTTTGCCAGTATGGGAGTGTGCAGCTTGGAGCGTGGTTGGGCTGGGAGATGGTGGATGGTGGATTGTTGATGTGGGTGGAAGTGCCAGCTCTGGCAACTTGACATCCCATGGCATTCGAATGGCCCAACTGGGCGGAGACGGTTCAGGGGGCAGAAGGCGGGGCTGTGGCTCTGCACAAGTCAGTTGGTCGGACGTTGAAGTTGAAGCCTCGGTTTCATGCTCGCTAGACGAGAACTTCAAGGGGCAATGCCTTTGGGCTGCCTTTAAAATTAATTTGCCAGAAGTGTCAATTGGTGGGCTATCTTTTCACGAGCTTAGATATAATAATGTCAAGCATCGATTTATTAGTTAACCTTGGGTTTTCTTTCATAAAATTTCTACAAACATCACATCAGAGAAGCAGTCTCAGTCTTCGATATCTCCTGATTGACTTACAACGTCAATCCGTTGCCCTTTTGACCCACTTTTTCTAGCCCAGAAATTTAGCTGTCAGCTGTGTTACCCAATTTCCTGGTCTCACCATAAAGCCAAGACCAACCAGGCAGGCGGTTCCTTTAAGTTCCGACGCGTGGCACGACAATTAGCCATTTGCCTGTTCTCCAATGGATTTGTGTTATTATGGTGCCAACTGCCAATCACACGACAGTCAACAGGCCAAAAGCGTGTTGCAACTTCCAATGGACTGAGGTGCTGGCCAGAAAACCCGCTTGGACAACAATGAAAACGAGACCAATCAATTGGCCAGAGAGTTAGCCCTTAGTGGGAGCTGAGCTGAGACAATGGGAGCACAGCTTTTAGCCTTAAATGCCTAGTACAGCTAAGCGACTGACTACACTGGGAAAATGACTAGTAAGAAACTTGGAAAGCAAAGTAGTGAATGTTTTGAATACTTTCTGACTGAATATAATCTGAAGTCTATTAACTTCTAGACTTCTATCGCTATTTTCCTTTTTTAAAGTTTATTTATCAGTTCTGAAAACTTTTCTTAAAATGTAGAGCAAATCGTTTGGAGTGTTCAAGCCTCGAAGCTCGTTAGTGGCAGCATCTGGCCTGGCAGAGATTATGATCAGCATTGTTTCGCCTGTCGTGGCCTCACATTAGCTGCAGCAGTTGCTCAAATCCCACTCAGTTGGTCCTCTATCAAGGAACCCCTTTATGTTGGCCACGCACGTGACTTTTAATCACGCGCGCATAAAATTTCATGTGAAATCTTTGTCTTGGCCGAAAGTAGGAGTGGAAGAAACTGCTTCCGAGCTTTTCGGCTCATTATGGCGCCAGAGAAATAAAAGTGCGTGAAGCCTAAGTGAAAAAGTGGCTGGGGCAAATAAAGGTCAGCCTGTGAAACTTTACGACTTTAGCGAAGTTTTTGGATTTGAGCCAGAGCAGGACTCTATTCCTTTTGGCCAGTCAAAGGAACAACTTCCACTTTAGCAAAGGTTAAAGGCAAGTGTGGGCCAGACAAGTTGGGTCGGGGCCGCCGTATTGCACTCACTACCAAACGGCCTTTGGATGGTACACAGAGAGAAAGAAGGCAGACTACCTTAAGCTGTTTAATAGTTACTTATTATTGATACTATCTTCGTATTCCATCGTTATAGAAATTACGTAAGCTTTCTGATCGCATTTTAATGTGTTATTGTGGAAAATTTAATGGGTTTATCAAAATTGATTGAAAATTGCTTTCTCTGCATCAGACTCTGACTCCGAGCCAATTACAATTCGTTTTTTAGCTGTCAGCCCCACTCAACTGCCCCTGGGCCACGCCCACTCGCTGTAAAACGGCAAATCCCGCCCCCATTTTGTCTGCGTTTTGTAATTACTTTTGTGCACGTGCCGCAGTACATGGATCTGGATCTGCCTTTAAAATTTATTTCTGCAGTGCGACAAGTTCAGGGTCAGAGTCACTGAATCTCTGCCATTTTCAGGATTTTCTACGATTTTAATATTTAAGTTTGGGCAAATAGACTTGCATTTTGGCCACAAAGAAAAGGTAAAACCAAAAAGGATATTTAAATTCGTAAGTATTAAAAATTGAATGCAATTTAAAATTGATTTAAGTAAGGGAAGCCATCGATTGTTCTCTCCAACTGCTTGTTAATTTCTGGCCATAAAAATATGATGCTCTTTTCATTAATTACGTCATCATTTGCGTATTGTCACAGCTTCAGAAGCTTTTCTGGAGCCGGAGAATCCCTACGCTGGGCCATCAATAAACTGAACGAGTGATAAAGGATTACAGCTGACAGTGGTAATGGTCGCGGGATTGATTAATTTATGGAAAACGAGAAGACTTTCAGCTGCAAGGCAATGGGAGCACCTGGTTCCCCCACACTGGCCAACAAAGTTCAGACGATTTAAAAATACATCTGCCCATACAGCCAAAAGTTAAATCTCTTTTCCTGCAGCTTTGTGTCACATTTGAGCTCTGCAAGAGACGCATCGGTATTTAATTAAATATGATTCGTAATTTGCAGCCATAAATTAATTGAATTAAGCCCATTTAATGAAAACTTGTTTGAGTGACTAATTGCACACGAAGGAGAGGGTGGCGTGTTGACTGCTGTCGACGATTGATTTGCCTTTGATTTGTGGGAACATTTGAAAGGGAAGAGGAAAAAAAGGAAAAGGTGCAAATGATGGTTTTAAATCAGAAAAACTTAACATAATGTGACTTATTCTCCTTTTGTAACAAAATGTAAAATCCCAGAACTGATAGAAGTTACTAGAGGGAAGAATTTTGTCCTTTGTTTTCGGCTTCGAAAAGTACTCCTAAGCTAAAATTCTATTTAAAAACCATATAAGTACTTACCTACAGTGAAATATGAGTAAAGTGAGATATGACTGAAGGAAAAACCTAATTAAGACCCAACCCTCAATCAAATACAAACATTAACCTGTCACTTGCCAAAAACGATTAACATTTCCTCATTATAAATCCTTTAAGGAAGCATTACGAAGGCCTTCCACTTTATCCCTTTGCATGACCATTATAAAAGTTTCTATAAATATATTACATGGCCAACACTTTGGCCATTTCATTATCAATATCTGACAAGGACTTCATGCTGCGAAAGGAAGCAGGAAAAATAAATGTAATGTGCTGTAGTCCTTTTCATTACGATAATGAAATATTTCAAGAGCAGTTTATGGGGATTACTTACTTAAATGTGCGAGACGCATGCAAAAAGTGGATCCCGGACTCCGGACAACCGTGAAAACACGCCGTAAAGCCCGCTGTGTGTAAGTGGGCGTTGGGATATGGAACGGTGTGGCGATATGGAAGGATAGGCAGCGAAAAAGGACATGCGTGCAAATATAATCGGCAAGGCAAAAGCCGCAACTATAACACGCGCTGTAGCAACGAGCACGCCAAGGAAGGGGCATAATTATGGCATTATCACACATCCACATGCAAGCCTCCCACTCACGCTGGTGCCCACCAATGGAAAACTAACGATAATCAATTGAGAAATGTTTATAATGAAGTGGCGCAACCAAAGGGTTTCTCCACCACTACACTAAGCTATGCACTGGAAAATCTTTAGGGGAGATGGGTTTAAGTTTTTTTTAAAGGAAAATTAAACAAGAAAATCCACAGGCTCTTTAAAATTATATTTAAACTGATTTAGCTTTACGTTTTATTAAAAATCTGTTAAAATGCTTTTATTTAAATTGAAATTCTTAGACATTTTCCAAGTTTTCCTACGTTTTTCCAGTGTAATTTTCGCGTTATTGTGAGTGGCCTGGTGGTAAGCACTTCATTTCGCCAAGAGTCCCCCTCTCCCTCTTCCAGCCCTTTCCCCAACTTGGCTAGAACGAGGGGCGTGTCGGACAAAAACGCCTAGCCAGCAATCTACTGATAGCGTGTGTGCCCGCCAAACGCTCATTGACCAGCCCCTAACCCAGACCACCCGTATCCCTCGATCCCCTCGATTCTCCGACAAATGTGCTAAGTATACGTTGGCCAGTGAGATAAACATTGCCAACACACACGCATAGTCGCAAAGCCGCCAACCACAGGGGCTATTTGGATTTGTGTGTGTGTGTGTGTGTGTGTGAGACTCATTCATGACAACGTCCATCATAATTCATTGGGTATTGAGCTGGGTCCTGTGGCTTGGACTGGACCCCTTAACTGCATTGTAATGAAATTAGCATACACAAGACAAAGTTGCCAGCCGCGCATTCAGCGATAATTGAGTTTAGAATTAGGGATACAGTAGGGTACACTGAGGGAAAATGTAACTTACTTTATGCTAAATTGAAATAATTAACTTTCTGTGACTGTCTGTCTTGGAAAACCTTGATTTTTAAATAACAAAACAGGATGAGTTCTGCCTTTCAAAATTTTACCATCTTTTTGGGCATAAATGAATACTTTTTTAAGTTTAATTAACAATTTTAAAATATTTTCTTACATACTTTAAAAGTAAGGAGAAGTGAAGATTAACTAATTAAAGTTTTCCTTAAATACTACAAAATTTTCTCTGTACTTTGCTAGTACTGAAAAAGGGCAGGGCAACGATATGCAAATGCAGTCCGTCATTCCGACTGACAGACAGACAGAGAGACTGACAGGAAACGGGTCGCAGCTTCGTGGGCTCAGCTGGGTTAATTTCAGCCCAGGTTAACCCATGATGACACCGCCAACGAAACAAAGGCACGCCTCGGGCAGCAAAGAGATCCACTACTAGCAGGAACCAGAAACTAGGAACCAGAAGCCAGAACTCAGGAGCCGCATAAATGGCAACCTATTTTCCAAAGCCACGGCCGCATCTAATTTATGCCAAGAGCAATCGCAACTGCAAATGCCGCCTTATAAACGAGGTGAACTTTTCGCTTTGCCCAGAAGTTCAGAGGGCAATAAACTGCGCTGCTTGTTTATTGTTTAGTGGGTCTAGCAAATGAACCCAGAGGAAGTTTGAGTTTGAATGAGCTTAAAGGTGGGATTTGTTTTAATAAATGTGTGTGAAATTGTTGAATGTTTCTAATAAGATGAGGGTTTTCCTTTTTGATATATAATCTTAAATGGCATACCAAAAGATAAGGCACTTTTTGAAGAATTTACTTTCAATTTTCCCCCGTTTTTGAAGCATTATCTGATCTCTTTTCAATTGCATTCTATTCTCGAGTTCCCCAACCTCTTCCCCTCTCCAAAATCAACATTCAAAACGTTTTGCCAACTGTTTTGGACAAAGCGATTGTTAGGACAATCCCTATCCCTACTACCCTACCCTACTACCATGGCCAAAAAGGCCTCCAACTCCAACTCCACCCATCGGGAATACAAAACCTCCCGGCAAGTGTCACTTAAAGGCATATCGTTTGTTTTTTCTTCTTGCCCGAATTCTTTTTACCGAAACTGCAATTCGAGATATGCAGCCAACTTTTTTCTGCCAGTACCAAAACACTTTTCTTTCTTTCATTTCGGCTCTCTCGGTCCCTTCCAGCGCTTTCAATTTGTGTGTACATAAATTTCGAAATGGACTTCTCGTGTTGGGGCCCACGACAGAAACAGAAAAAAAAAAGAAAACAAGAAATGAGAAGAAGAATAAATAAAAAATGGAGAGGACGGGCGGAGAAAGCCAAAAAGAAATGGCGTGCGGAAACAAGTGGCCATGACTGCAGTAACAACAAGAACAACAACAACAGCGACAGCTGGAGATAGAGTTCCATGAGGAAACTGCATAAATAACGTAACAAAGACCCTGGACAAACGCCAATCGAAAGTTGCGTTTTGGTTGGGCTAAAATATTTACGAGGCTAGTTTTCAAAATTCCCACCAACAAATTTCCAAGTGCATAAATTCTGCCAAGGAATTTGAATATATTTAAAAACTGTAAAACTTCAAGAATGTGGGCCAAATTCTTAGCATTCGGTTCGGTTGTATAACTTAAAGCGTTGACCAAAAGGGCGAAGCTTTTCCTTTGATTGTGTGGCGATTTCCTTGGCCAATGGTGCATGAAATTACAGAGGGGAGCGCCCAATGGAAGGGGCGGTACTTGTGAGAACATGGAAGTGCTCACATAACCATGCAAAACACGACACTGAAAGGAAAGTCTTAAGTTCTTTCAATGTTTTGGGTTTGCTTTTAAGAATCTAATTTTTTGATAAACCTTTGCCACAATATCTAAAATCTTATTCATATATTGATTTATTTGACTAACTTCTAAGAAAGTTTTTGGCCTTTATCCCAGAAAGTATTTTTACAGTGTACCAAAGTTCAAATGTTAGAATCTTCATACCACATAAGACCTTGTCGCGTTCTGCTTGACTGGGAAAGGGTCCGCCTCAGAATGGAACTTGGCTCAACTAGGAGCAACTCAGAGCACTCGAAAGTCACACCAATAGCGATTGACTGGGTAACCGGAAGGTGTCCATCAGGCGTGACCCGAGAGGTGAGGAGAACTAGAGTAGTAAAGTCTCATAAAAACTAATATAATAAAAAGCAATCATATTATTCCGATTTCCACAGTTCAAATACTAATTGATAATATTTGTGATGGAATCGTATAACCGTCGCCATTCAATTTCTGACCATAAAGGGTGAAATCGGTCGTTAGCCCGCCCACATGACCGTTAAGTGTCTGGACAACCTGATTCCTGGAAAACCAACATATGCTTATATGAGATGGCTCTGTGGGCTCCAGTGTCATCATTACCATGACTAGGATTACGATTACTGTCATCGTCATGTCATCACAAACACACGCAGACTTAGCTAGCGTCTTTATGGCTTTTGGCGCTGAAATGATAAGGAAAGTTTTTGCAGAACATTTTCCCGGACCGAGAGCTTATGTCCATGCTGGAAACATATGGCATATTGCCAGGCGAAACATTTAATGGTCTGCAAAATGGCCGGGCCAGGGACATTAAAAGTTGCTTAACCTTCATTAGGCGCCCGATTCCGATGCTATGTCTGACAGCGAGATGAAATTTAATATGTGTCAGGTCCTGTCGGAGGACTTAATGCCCCATTTGTCCAGGGCCCGCCACTGCATCCAAATGATATGCCCAAAAAACAAAAAAAAAGTGAACAAATCACCGCAAGTTGTTGGCGTGGAGCTTTAATCAGCATATCAGGCTAAAGGAAAGGGCTGAAAATGGGGTATTAAGAGGGGGAGGAAGGCACAAGGACACTAGGCAGTCAAACTCAATTTCCAGCTTGTTTCACGGGACAACGACCACCGCCCCCCCCAACAACCCAACAGAGGCGCTAATGCGGCGACATGGCATTATCCTTCTTCCTTTCGCGACTACTTTCCCGAGTTTTCCGAGTAACCCGCGACCGCGACTGCACTCTCCTTGGGTATTTTGATAATCAAATTTGCACAAACAAGCGAGTGGCGTGAATTTGCCAACGCCACCGGAACAAGGACGAAACAAGGACCAAGGATAATAACGGTTGCGCTTCGTGCACTTGTGCAATTAGATTGGCAAAACTTCAGAAACTTTACTTTAAATTTCCCTAGCTATTGTTATCCCTTAAATACTTTTGAAAGTATTTAAAATTTAAGTTAAATAAAAAGGGAATTATGGCTACTTCTAACTGCAATTTAATGACTTGCTTTATTATGTGTTTTGAATCATTAACACATATTGGCATTCTCACTAAAAGAAAATGCTGAGGAATTTTAAAGATATTTTTATATAATTTAGAAGTCATTATGAAACTTCTACAGATTATAGTTTTAGATACGGTCAAACAGCCCATGATTTTGTAATTTCATGGTATTTCATTCGCATTCTTATAAAAGGTTGATGCACCATTCGCTAGTCTCTAGTAAAATCAGAATCAGAATGCAAATTGGTTTCTATTTTGTGGTCCTAGCAATCTTAGGAGTGGCATCTGCAAACTATGTAGTTGACTACCAGTATGGAGCGGCATTTTCAAACGTGAGAGTTGACTATCAGTATTTTCGGCAAGAGGATATTGAGGTTGATGCCAATCTGAGAACGGTGAGCAAATCCCTAAAATAAATACATATCATATATAGACATGGTTGTGACATATAGTCTTCTTCTCTGACAGCTGGACTTGGTCAGGAAATATGGTTATCCATCAGAGACTCACTTTGCGTACACCCTCGATGGCTATAAACTTAGTCTACACCGAATTCCAGCTCCCTCGGGTATACCCATTCTTTTGGTCCATGGTCTCATGTCCAGCTCAGCCTCTTGGGTGCAATTCGGTCCGTCCACTGGCCTGGCCTATCTCCTGTACCAGAAAGGTTACGATGTTTGGATGCTTAATACCAGGGGTAATATTTACTCCCAAGAACACAACGAGAAACGCATTGGGGATTCAAGCTACTGGGACTTTTCTTTTCACGATATCGGTCAGTATGATATACCCGCTGCCATCGATTACATCTTGGCGAAGACCAACAGGCTGGACCTCCAGTACATAGGACACTCACAGGGTTCCACCGCATTCTATGTGATGTGCAGTGAAAGACCCGAATACGCCGCCAAGGTCAAGCTCATGCAGTCCTTGTCGCCAGCAGTCTTTGTGAGAAATGCCATCAGCCCAGCCCTCAAGTTCCTGAGTGGGTTTAAAGGAGGCTTAAATGTGAGGTGTCCAAGCTGCTATATAGTATCATATATTATTAATTTTTATTTAACAGACAGTATTTAGTCTCCTGGGGGGCTACAAAATCACTCTACACAACAAGCTCATAGATATGTTTAGAAAAAACATTTGCTCTGCCAACCTAGTTACGAGTCGCATTTGTGCCATCTTTGAATTCGTGGTCTGCGGCTTTAATTGGCGGAACTTTAACCAGGTAGGCTAATTGATACCTATTAATGCTGAATTTTCTAATATAATTCTTATTTTTTCTTCTTATTTCTAGACACTCTCCGCCATCGTGGAAGGCCATGCCTCGCAGGGCGGCTCCGCTAAGCAGATCTATCACTATGCCCAAATGCTAGGCAGATCTATTTTCCAGCGCTACGATTACGGGTTGATTCTGAACAGAATTCGATACAAATCTTAACTATCCGCCCAGCTACAATCTCTCGCAGGTGAGCGGTAAGGTGGCTATCCACTATGGCGAAGGCGATTGGGTGGGATCAGAGTCCGATGCGGTCCAACTCCAGCAGAGTCTGCCCAACTGCATTGAAAACAGGAAAATAAATTCCCAGGCCTTCGCCCATTACGACTTCATAATCTCGAAGGACGTTCGACCACTGGTCTATACTAGAATCATTAACCTTTGCGATTCAAACCGTTAGATGTTTGAAAATTAAACCAAATAATTAATAATATGTGAAGTATTTAGTAACAAATTAATAAAGTTTGGCATTCACATAACTTCCACTTTGTTTGAAATTATTTATTTATTTTTGTCTGAAACGTTTTCTTCCTTGAACGTAAATCGGTTTACAAAAATCTACTCAACTAGGTTTTGTTTTTATAGAGCAGACCGTCCGCTATTTCTCAAAAATATAGAAACTTTCTTAATATTTTTCCTACAAAAGAAGAAGTTGTCTAAGTTTTCAAATTAAACAAGGGGAAACGCTATAGTCGAGTGCCGCTACCATCAGATACTCTTTACTGTTTTACACAAATTTAAAATATTCATTTTGCTAGTGGAAATTCCACAGGCGCCACCTATTGTCGGGGAAAGTATGTTGAGTAACTGATAGTGACGTCATCGCCCATGTTAGGCCTTATAACCTAAATTTCTTCATAAATAGCGAACTGATGTTCCGATTTGAATACTCTTTGGTAAATCGATAGATATTTACAGAAATAAGTTATACAAGGGGAAACCAAGGTATTCATAGTATTATTATAGACGCCACAGTTTTCCGCGGTTTGTGGGCGTTGGAATGGGCGTGGCCGGATGCAACTTCGTGGTTCCTAAGCAAAACTTTGTAGCTCTTATTGTTTTTGAGATTTCTGCATTTTCGGTTTTTCGGGTTTCGTGGGCGTTAGAGTGGGCGTGGCTTGATCGGAAAAAAAACAATTCGCATTGGGAGCATCATAAAAACCTACATGCTTAATCCGAACTTTCTATCACTTATAGTTACCGAGCTATCAGCTTTTCTAGAAAATGCGAAAGCCGTATTTTGAGCTTGGTGGGCGTATAGGTGGGTGTGGCTGGATAATAGTACCACTAAAAGATGTGCTGGCATCCAAAGATTATACATACTGAATTTCAGCTCTAATAGTTCGCGAGATTTCAGCGATTTTAGTTTTTCGTGATTTGTGTGCGTTAGAGTGGGCGTGGCCAAATGATGAAATAAACTTGGGCTGTCCCGGGACCTCAAGATTTGCTTGTTTTTTAAATTTGTATTTAATTAAATATATTTCCCAGCATTTTAAACCCATTTTTTTAGTTTTTTCAAGGCCGTTTATTTCTGTCTGTAACCTTTGTTAAATATATATTAAATAATGTAAATCCAGTATAAAAATCAGCTTAACTACGGTTTAAAACTCCACCCCTAGCATGACTTATTTAATTTCAAGGTATTTTACCATCAAACCTATATAAGGGGTATGCCTGATTTGCCCTCGAAAGTTATCATATAACCAAAATGACGATCGCATTAAGACCCGCGATCTGTGCTATCATCTTACTAGGTACAGTGGTACCCAGCAAGAGTCAGGACTGGAATCCGTTATTCCTTTCTTCGATGCAACGAACGGGAAATGCTAAACAATCTCAGTCCCTAGCTCAGGTAAGCACCACAATGAACTTAATTTAGAAGTTATCTTTAATATAACTTGAAAATCTATGGCCAGTCACAAGGAGTGTTGGAGTCACAACCTCGGTTGGTGTTAAAACCATTACAGGAAATCCCGCCGGACTATCATCCTAAGTTCGTGATATTTGGACCTAAGCAAAATCAACGGAATCCCGGATTAAGCGGTGAATCTCAGTTATTGGGAGTTCCTCTAACAAGGAATTCAGGATCTGAGGATATTGCTAAACAAATATCTGACGTACAAGACAGAATTGAAGAACTGAAGAGCCAGAGTTCTGCAAGTCCTATAGAATCAGAACAGGATAACCGGACCACTTCAGATTTACAGGACACTTTATTGCAATTGCAATCCCAATTAAGCTCCCAGTCATCAGGATCACAGTCCGAATTCGACTCACAGTCATCAGGATCACAGTCCCAGAGTCAGTCAGGGTCTCAGTATGTTCTTAAACAAATTTCTGACTTAGAACCAGAATTAGGGGACCTAAAGCCACAAAGCTCAGAGCAGACTAGTCTGTTTTCTACCCCGTTGAATCCCGAACCTAAGCTCACATCAGATCTACAGTCCACGTTATTCCAAGTTCGATCCCAATTGGCCTCACAGCCCTCAGAAGAGGGATTGGTTCCTTCCCCGTTGAATACCGAACTTAAGTCCACTTTATTGGAGTTGCAATCGCAAATGGACTCAGAACCCTTAGGAGGAGCACAGTCACAAATACAGTCCGAATCAAGCTCACAGCTTGGATCAAGATCCGATTCCCAGGTTCAGTCTAACAAACAAGTTTCTGACTTAGGAGAACCATTAGAGGAGCCTCAAAACTCTTACGGGTTTAATGAGCTTCCTGTCCCGTTGGAACCCGAAGCTCAGCCCACTTCAGATTTACAGTCCACTTTATTGGAAACGCAATCCCAATTGGACTCACAGCGGTCAGAAAATGGAGTGCCTCCTGATCCTGAACTTAAATCCACTTTATTGGAGTTGCAATCGCAAATTGAATCACAGCCTTTAGGGTCCGAATCGAGCTCACAGTCATCAGGGTCCCAGCCACAAGATCAGGTTCCCGACTTACAAATACCATTAGAGGAACAAAAGGGGAACCCTTTAAGGGTTAGACAACTCCCTAACCCGTTGGATCGCGATGCGAATTCCACTTCAGATTTGCAGTCTACGTTATTGCAGGTGCATTCTGAATTGAACTCACAACCCTCAGAAAATGGACCGTTGAGTCTCGAACCTAGGTCAGTTGTACAGTCTAATATATTGGAAGTGCTGTCGCAATTGAACTCTCAGTCGTCCGCATCGAACTCACAATCATCAGGATCACAGTTCCAATCTAACTCCCAAACGTCAGTATCACAGTCGAGCTCGCAGTCGATCTCACAGTCAAGCTCACAGCCGAACACACAGTCGAGCTCACAGGATCAGGTTTCCGGCTTAGAAAAAACATTAGATGAACAATATAGGAACTCCTTAGGGGTAAGACTGCTACCTAAACCGTTGGATCGCGATGCCAATTCCACTTCAGATTTGGAGTCTACGTTATTGCAACTGCATGCCGAATTGAACTCACTGCGCTCGGAAAACGGACAACTTCCTAATCCGTTGAATCCCGAATATAAGTCAGTTGTACAGTCCAATATATTGGAAGCGCTGTCCCAATTGTACTCTCAGACGTCGACCTCAGCAGGATCACAGTCCCAATCTAACTCCCAGTCGTCAGTATCACAGTCGAGCTCACAGTCGAAGTCACAGTCAAGCTCACAGTCATCAGGATCCCAGTCCCAGTCATCTGGATCGCAGTCCCAATTACAGTCCATATCGAGCTCACAGTCAGGATTACAGTCCACGCCTAACTCTCAGTCGGCAGGATTACAGGCCCGTTTACAGTTCAAATTGAACTCACAGCCATCAAGTTCACAGCCTCAAGTACTACCCCAAATCGCTAATTCGGACCCACGATTTCAGTTCAAATGGAACTCACAGCCTCAAGTTCTACTCCAAACCATTAATTCGGACCAGCTATCACAATCTTTGGGATCCCAGTCCCAGTCAGCGGGATCGCAATCCCAGTTACAGTCCGCATCGAGCTCTCAGTCATCAGGATCCCAGTCCCAGTCATCTGGATCGCAGTCCCAATTACAGTCCATATCGAGCTCATCAGCCAGGATACAGTCCCAGCCATCTGGATCAGAGTCCGCAGGATTACAGGCCTCGTTTACAGTTCAGGTTTAACCCATCCGCCCTCAACTTGCAGCTCGGCAGGACCCTAATCGACCGACGATTTCAGTTCAAATTGAACCCACAGCCATCAAGTTCACAGCCTCAACTACTACCCCAAATCATCAATTCGGACCCACGATTTCAGTTCAAATGGAACTCACAGCCTCAAGTTCTACTCCAAACCATTAGTTCGGACCAGCTATCACAATCTTTGGGATCCCAGTCCCAGTCATCTGGATCGCAATCCCAGTTACAGTCCGCATCGAGCTCTCAGTCATCAGGATCCCAGTCCCAGTCATCTGGATCGCAGTCCCAATTACAGTCCGCAACGAGCTCTCAGTCATCAGGATCCCAGTCCCAGTCATCTGGATCGCAGTCCCAATTACAGTCCATATCGAGCCCACAGTCAGGATTACAGTCCACGCCTAACTCGCAGTCGGCAGGATTACAGGCCCGTTTACAGTTCAAATTGAACCCACAGCCATCAAGTTCACAGCCTCAAGTACCCCTAATCGACCGACGATTTCAGTTCAAATGGAACTCACAGCCATCAAGTCCCTCAACTTCTACCCCAAACCATTAATTCGGACCCACGATTTCAGTTCAAATGGAACTCACAGCCTCAACTTCTAATTGGGATCCCCAGCTCCCACAATCGTTGGGATCCCAGTCCCAGTCATCTGGATCGCAGTCCCAATTACAGTCCGCATCGAGCTCTCAGTCATCAGGATCCCAGTCCCAGTCATCTGGATCGCAGTCCCAATTACAGTCCATATCGAGCTCACAGTCAGGATTACAGTCCACGCCCAACTCGCAGTCGGCAGGATTACAGGCCCGTTTACAGTTCAAATTGAACCCACAGCCATCAATATCACAGCCTCAACTACTACCCCAAATCATCAATTCGGACCCACGATTTCAGTTCAAATTGAACTCACAGCCATCAAGTTCACAGCCTCAACTACTACCCCAAATCATCAATTCGGACCCACGATTTCAGTTCAAATGGAACTCACAGCCTCAAGTTCTACTCCAAACCATTAATTCGGACCAGCTATCACAATCTTCGGGATCCCAGTCCCAGTCATCGGGATCGCAATCCCAATTACAGTCCGCATCGAGCTCTCAGTCATCAGGATCCCAGTCCCAGTCATCTGGATCGCAGTCCCAATTACAGTCCGCATCGAGCTCTCAGTCATCAGGATCCCAGTCCCAGTCATCTGGATCGCAATCCCAGTTACAGTCCGCAACGAGCTCTCAGTCATCAGGATCCCAGTCCCAGTCATCTGGATCGCAGTCCCAATTACAGTCTATATCGAGCTCACAGCCAGGTTTACAGTCCGCGCCCAACTCGCAGTCGGCAGGATTACAGGCCCGTTTACAGTTCAAATTGAACCCACAGCCATCAAGTTCACAGCCTCAAGTACCCCTAACCGACCGACGAATGCAGTTCAAATGGAACTCACAGCCTCAACTTCTACTCCAAACCATTAATTCGGACCAGCTATCACAATCTTCGGGATCCCAGTCCCAGTCATCTGGATCGCAGTCCCAATTACAGTCCGCAACGAGCTCTCAGTCATCAGGATCCCAGTCCCAGTCATCTGGATCGCAGTCCCAATTACAGTCCATATCGAGCTCACAGTCATCAGGATCAAAGTCCCAGTCATCTGGATCGCAGTCCCAATAACGCATCGAGCTCGAGTATCAGGATCCCAGGCCCAGTCATTACAGTTCAAATTGAACACACAGCCATCAAGTTCACAGCCTCAAGTACCCCTAACCGACCGACGATTTCAGTTCAAATTGAACCCACAGCCATCAAGTTCACAGCCTCAAGTACCCCTAACCGACCGACGAATGCAGTTCAAATGGAACTCACAGCCTCAACTTCTACTCCAAACCATTAGTTCGGACCAGCTATCACAATCTTCGGGATCCCAGTCCCAGTCAGCGGGATCGCAATCCCAGTTACAGTCCGCATCGAGCTCTCAGTCATCAGGATCCCAGTCCCAGTCATCTGGATCAGAGTCCCAATTACAGTCCAGTACAGCCTTAGTATCGAGCTCACAGTCGGCAGGATTACAGGCCCGACAGCTCAAAAACAAACCATCAGTTCAGCTCGGACCCCTAACCGGCCACGATTTCAGTTCAAATTGAACCCAGCCATTACAGCCTCAAATAACCACGATTTCAGTTCAAATTGAACCCACAGCCATCAAGTTCACAGCCTCAAGTACTACGCCAAATCGTTAATTCGGTCCCACGATTACATTTCAAATTGAACTCACAGCCTCAAGTACTACCCCAAATCGTTAATTCGGACCCACGATTTCAGTTCAAATTGAACTCACAGTCTCAACTATTACCCCAAATCTTTAAATCGGACCAGCGATCACAATATTCGGGATCACAGTCCTAGTCAAGCTCAAGCTCTCAAATGAATGCCAAAATTCAGGGTCAATTAAAGACACAATTATTAGGAACTCAGTCCGCCACGCCATCACTGATTAATCTACAGTCACCTCAAGCACAGATCCCATCCAATCCCAATCGCATGATAGCCGGTCAATTCCCTGCGAAAATCTTTGTTCCAACTCCAGCAGGCCCTACAATCATAAAAAAATTAAAAAGTATGAAACCGATCGTTTTTACTCCTGAGTACAAAATAGGAAAGTCCTCCGCTCCCCTCCTCCCACCACTGAACGGTAAGGTGGCTGTCCACTATGGCGAAGGCGAGTGGGTGGGATCAGAGTCCGATGCGGTCCAACTCCAGCACAGTCTGCCCAACTGCATTGAAAACAGGAAAATCAATTCCCAGGCCTTCGCCCATTACGACTTCATAATCTCGAAGGACGTTCGACCACTGGTCTATACTAGAATCATTAACCTTTGCGATTCAAACCGTTAGATGTTTGAAAATTAAACCAAATAATTAATAATATGTGAAGTATTTAGTAACAAATTAATAAAGTTTGGCATTCACATAACTTCCACTTTGTTTGAAATTATTTATTTATTTTTGTCTGAAACGTTTTCTTCCTTGAACGTAAATCGGTTTACAAAACTCTACTGAACTAGGTTTTGTTTTTATAGAGCAGACAGTCCGCTATTTCTCAAAAATATATAAACTTTCTTAATATTTTTCCTACAAAAGAAGAAGTTGTCTAAGTTTTCAAATTAAACAAGGGGAAACGCTATAGTCGAGTGCCGCGACTATAAGATACTCTTTACTGTTTTACACAAATTTAAAATATTCATTTTGCTAGTGGAAATTCCACAGGCGCCACCTATTGTCGGGGAAAGTATGTTGAGTAACTGATAGTGACGTCATCCCCCATGTTAGGCCTTATAACCTAAATTTCTTCATAAATAGCGAACTGATGTTCCGATTTGAATACTCTTTGGTAAATCGATAGATATTTACAGAAATAAGTTATACAAGGGGAAACCAAGGTATTCATAGTATTATTATAGACGCCACAGTTTTCCGCGGTTTGTGGGCGTTGGAATGGGCGTGGCCGGATGCAACTTCGTGGTTCCTAAGCAAAACTTTTTAGCTCTTATTGTTTTTGAGATTTCTGCATTTTCGGTTTTTCGGGTTTCGTGGGCGTTAGAGCGGGCGTGGCTTGATCGGAAAAAAACAATTCGCATTGGGAGCATCATGAAAACGTACATGCTTAATCCGAACTTTCTATCACTTATAGTTACCGAGCTATCGGCTTTTCTAGAAAATGCGAAAGCCGTACTTTGAGCTTGGTGGGCGTATAGGTGGGTGTGGCTGGATAATAGTACCACTAAAAGATGTGCTGGCATTCAAAGATTATACATACTGAATTTCAGCTCTAATAGTTCGCGAGATTTCAGCGATTTTAGTTTTTCGTGATTTGTGTGCGTTAGAGTGGGCGTGGCAAAATGATGAAATAAACTTGGGCTGTCCCGGGACCTCAAGATTTGCTTGTTTTTAAAATTTGTATTTAATTAAATATATTTCCCAGCATTTTAAACCCATTTTTTAGTTTTTTCAAGGCCGATTATTTCTGTCTGTAACCTTTGTTAAATATATATTAAATAATGTAAATCCAGTATAAAAATCAGCTTAACTACGGTTTAAAACTCCACCCCTAGCATGACTTATTTAATTTCAAGGTATTTTACCATCAAACCTATATAAGGGGTATGCCTGATTTGCCCTCTAAAGTTATCATATAACCAAAATGACGATCGCATTAAGACCCGCGATCTGTGCTATCATCTTACTAGGTACAGTGATACCCAGCAAGAGTCAGGACTGGAATCCGTTATTCCTTTCTTCGATGCAACGAACGGGAAATGCTAAACAATCTCAGTCCCTAGCTCAGGTAAGCACCACAATGAACTTAATTTAGAAGTTATCTTTAATATAACTTGAAAATCTATGGCCAGTCACAAGGAGTGTTGGAGTCACAACCTCAGTTGGTGTTAAAACCATTACAGGAAATCCCGCCGGACTATCATCCTAAGTTCGTGATATTTGGACCTAAGCAAAATCAACGGAATCTCGGATTAAGCGGTGAATCTCAGTTATTGGGAGTTCCTCTAACAAGGAATTCAGGATCTGAGGATATTGCTAAACAAATATCTGACGTACAAGACAGAATTGAAGAACTGAAGAGCCAGAGTTCTGCAAGTCCTATAGAATCAGAACAGGATAACCGGACCACTTCAGATTTACAGGACACTTTATTGCAATTGCAATCCCAATTAAGCTCCCAGTCATCAGGATCACAGTCCGAATTCGACTCACAGTCATCAGGATCACAGTCAAAGAGGCAGTCAGGGTCTCAGTATGCTCTTAAACAAATTTCTGACTTAGAACCAGAATTAGGGGACCTAAAGCCACAAAGCTCAGAGCAGACTAGTCTGTTTTCTACCCCGTTGAATCCCGAACCTAAGCTCACATCAGATCTACAGTCCACGTTATTCCAAGTTCGATCCCAATTGGACTCACAGCCCCCAGAAGAAGGATTGGTTCCTGCCCCGTTGAATACCGAACTTAAGTCCACTTTACTGGAGTTGCAATCGCAAATGGACTCAGAACCCTTAGGAGGAGCACAGTCACAAATACTGTCCGAATCAAGCTCACAGCTTGGATCAAGATCCGATTCCCATGTTCAGTCAGGGTCTGAGTATAACAAAGAAGTTTCTGACCTAGGAGAACCATTAGAGGAGCCTCAAATCTCTTACGGGTATAATGAGCTTCCTGTCCCGTTGAAACCCGAAGCTCAGCCCACTTCAGACTTACAGTCCACTTTATTGGAAGTGCAATCCCAATTGGACTCACAGCCCTCAGAAAATGGAGTGCTTCCTACTCCGTTGAATCCTGAACTTAATTCTACTTTATTGGAGTTGCAATCGCAAATTGAATCAAAGCCTTTAGGGTCCGAATCGAGCTCACAGTCATCCGGGGGTGAGTCCCAATCGAGCTCACAGTCATCAGGGTCCCAGCCACAAGATCAGGTTCCCGACTTAGAAATACCATTAGAGGAACAAAAGGGGAACCCTTTAAGGGTTAGACAACTTCGCGATACGAATTCCACTTCAGATTTGCAGTCTACGTTATTGCAAGTGCATTCTGAATTGAACTCACAACCCTCAGAAAATGGACCGTTGAGTCTCGAACCTAGGTCAGTTGTACAGTCTAATATATTGGAAGTGCTGTCGCAATTGAACTCACAGTCGTCCGCATCGAACTCACAATCATCAGGATCAGAGTTCCAATCTAACTCCCAGTCGTCAGTATTACAGTCGAGCTCACAGTCGATCTCACAGTCAAGCTCACAGCCGAACACACAGTCGAGCTCACAGGACCAGGTTTCCGGCTTAGAAAAAACATTAGATGAACAAAAGAGGAACTCCTTAGGGGTAAGACTGCTACCTAAACCGTTGGATCGCGATGCCAATTCCACTTCAGATTTGGAGTCTACGTTATTGCAACTGCATGCCGAATTGAACTCACTGCGCTCGGAAAACGGACAACTTCCTAATCAGTTGAATCCCGAATATAAGTCAGTTGTACAGTCCAATATATTGGAAGCGCTGTCCCAATTGTACTCACAGACGTCGACCTCACAATCAGCAGGATCACAGTCCCAATCTAACTCCCAGTCGTCAGTATCACAGTCGAGCTCACAGTCGAAGTCACAGTCAAGCTCACAGACATCAGGATCCCAGTCCCAGTCATCTGGATCGCAATCCCAATTACAGTCCATATCGAGCTCACAGTCAGGATTACAGTCCGCGCCTAACTCGCAGTCGGCAGGATTACAGGCCCGTTTACAGTTTAAATTGAACACACAGCCATCAAGTTCACAGCCTCAACTACTACCCAAAATCGTTAATTCGGATCAACGATTTCAGTTCAAATTGAACCCACAGCCTCAACTACTACCCCAAATCTTTAAATCGGACCAGGGATCACAATCTTCGGGATCACAGTCCCAGTCAAGCTCAAGCTCTCAAATTAATGCCAAAATTCAGGGTCAATTAAAGACACAATTATTAGGAACACAGTCCGCCACGCCATCACTGATTAAGCTGCAGCCACCTCAAACACAGATCCCATCCAATCCCAATCGCATGATAGCCGGTCAATTCCCTGCGAAAATCTTTGTTCCAACACCAGCAGGCCCTACAATCAATAAAAAATTAAAAAGTATGAAACCCATCGTTTTTACTCCTGAGTACAAAATAGGTAGTCCTCCGCTCCCCTCCTCCCACCTCTTACCGAGTGGTATTTTGGTGGACTCCAACCTGACTACAGTAAGTAAGGATCTTCTCCTCAGTTCTCAAGTACATAGAACAACTTTTTATCTACAGTCACCTCAAGTACAGACCCAACTCCCTGTGAAAATGGTTGTTCCAACCTTAGCACGGCCCAGAATCATACAAGATTTAAAAAATATCAAACCCATCGTTTTTACTCCTGAGTACAAAATAGAAAGTCCTCCAAGCTACCTCTCACTGAATGATATTTTGGTTGACTCCAAGCTGGACACGGTTAAGTAGGAATCTCCTTCTCAGTTTCGACGTAAATATAAAGTATTTTCCAATCATAGAATAACCTGATTGAGAAGTATGGCTACCCGTCGGAGACACACTTCACGGACACCGACGATGGCTACCACCTCTGCTTGCATCGTATTCCGCGTCCTAATGGACCACCAATTTTATTGGTCCACGGACTGATGTCCAGTTCGGCCTCGTGGGTGGAATTGGGACCAAAGAACGGTCTGGCTTACATTCTTTACAGAAAGGGTTATGATGTCTGGATGCTGAACACCCGAGGTAACAAATACTCTCGGCAGAGCAATCGACGTCAGAAGCCGCGCAAGTACTGGGACTTCTCCTTTCACGAGATCGGTAAATACGATTTACCAGCAGCTATCGATCTCATCCTAAACCATACACATAAGCCGAAAATCCAATACATTGGACACTCGCAGGGCTCCACGGTTTTCTTTGTGATGTGCAGCGAAAGACCAAATTATGCCCATAAGGTGCAGCTCATGCAGGCTCTTTCACCGACAGTTTATCTGCGGGAAAACCGCAGTCCAGTGCTCAAGTTCCTCAGCATGTTCAAAGGAAAGTATGCGGTAAGTACAACTATAAAATAGTGTCTTACTTTTGGTTAATAGAAAAATGTATGGTGGGAAGGTGGGAATTTTTAGTAACTTCATAAACTTATGTCGTTTTCTTGATTTCTTTGTAGATGTTACTTAACCTACTAGGCGGCTACGAGATCTCTACAAAAACCAAGCTTATCGAACAGTTCAAGCAGCACATTTGCTCCGGCTCAGAGCTGGCTAGTCGTATTTGCGCCATCTTTGACTTTGTGGTCTGCGGATTTGACTGGAAGAGCTTCAATAAGGTGGGTTTAAGGATTTATCTATCAGATTTCTTTACAACTCTTGTATATTTTAGACGCTAACCCCCATTGTGGCTGCCCACGCCTCCCAAGGTGCCTCCGCCAAGCAACTCTATCACTACGCACAGCTGCATAATTTCAAGGACTTCCACCATTTCGACCATGGGGAGATTCTGAATCGCGTTCGCTACCAGTCCCCCAAACCACCAGTTTATAATATTTCCCAGGCACTGAGCAACGTGGTGATTCACCATGGACCAGGCGATTGGCTGGGTTCCGATTCCGATGTGATCCGCCTGCAGGAGCGTCTGCCTAATCTCGTCGAGAGCCGAAGGGTTCCCTATGACGGCTTCTCTCACTATGACTTTACGCTTTCGTCAGATGTCCGTCCGCTTGTCTACAGTCACGTCCTTCGACACTTGGCGAATATCCACCAGGGATAAACGTATTACTGGGTTTATAAGCTAAAGGAGCAAGTTCGTAGTTAACCAATTTTTAAAGGAAAACCAAATAAAGGTATATGTTTTATTGTTATGGTGTTACTTCAAAAATAGTAACATAATTTGATAACCAAGTCCAATCGATCATTAAACAGATTGCATAATGTTAAGCTTAAGCAGATGTTCTTAAACAGAAAAGCTTCGGTCTAAGTTGGCTAAAAACAAATAAAGAAAACTAAAATAGTAAAAAGCTTTTCAGAAAATTCCCTCACTCTTCATGTAACTGATAATGAAGTTTTCTCTTGGGAACTGGGCATTCAATTTACAGCCTGAGAGCCCTTTCCATCAGCATCACTCAACGGGGGAAAACAAGAAATCAATGCTTACGAGCAGCACAGAAAATTTGCATATCCCTGGGCCCCTGGGCGCTTCCATAAATTTCACATCCTGAATGCATACTTACACGCCGCGAGGCCAAGTTTTCAAATTAAGTTTGCAATCGAAATGAGGCGAAAGGAAGCCGGGACCAAAGCTTTAAATTGCTCACGTGTGTGACACATTTCTTTCGGCGGAGTCACGACAATCCCGAAAAACCGGAAGCGGAATCGCGAAATGTGAAAAATGCGCAGAGCAAACAAAAGATGGCCGAGGATGGTGCGACATGTTGGGGGAGGGTGATGTAGAACGTGTCGCTTAACTGCTCCACGTACGCAGCCCTAGGGTATGAAACCCAGCCACTACATCAGCCCCATCAGTGACAGTCTAGCTATTATCTATCGGGTTTTGTCTATTTTTTGGTTTTAGGATCATTTCTTGTTCATTTTTTGAAGTTTAGTGATGTAAGAAATATTCTTTTCCTGATTAACAAGAATGTTTTACTGAGATTTTCTCTTTAAAAGAGTCTTTAACGACGTTTTATCTGTCGGAATGTCATTTAATATGACAGTAACACGTCAGGCTAATAGTATTTTGTTTAGTATAAACATGCCACTTGGTGCCAGTTTGGTTAAGATTAAATGTTGTAACATTAAATAAAATAGATGGTAAACCATCTTCCTTTCTAGGTCTTTCTTTATACACATCAAAAGGGATAATTCATTATTTTAGTTTTCTGCCAGTATTTTTTATCATAAATTTAATCAGTTAATAAAAACAGAAGTTTTCTACAATAAATACTTTCCATAATAAGACTTTCACTGAATCATGATAATCCTTGAAAATATATAAGAATTTTATATAAATTTTATTACCAGCTCAGTCCTTTTAGCTATTTTCACTCATTCCAAGGTGACAGCTCTACTCCCCACATGGTAGGCCCTACTGGGAAGGGGGAATTTCCCACTGTAAGCCCAAAAGGCACGGTGTACGTGTGTTATTTAATGCTTATCTTTATCCTTTTCCCATTAGTGTTATTGATGTTGGCAGCGGGGAGCTCCTTGTCAACCTGTTCTCCAAAACTTCCCCACAGGTGGGCCATGCTCTCCAGCCCCGATAAACTTGCCCTCCGGCTAAGAGTTGACAATTGATGCCAAGGATACTCCAGCCAAATCACGCGGTAAACATTATTTTAATGTCCCCAGGCAGTCACATATGTACATATACATATATATATATATATATTCGAGTCGGCAGCTTTTCTCGCTTTGTTCCACATGCTGGGAATTTGCCTGGGAATGGAATGTTTAAAGCCCTGCCAACTCATTTCCCGGATTTTGCGTGTGTGCGTCAAGAGGACCCTTGGGGACAACCATGCTCAGGCTATCGAACAGGGTCGCGTCCTTGAAGGATTTCAGCTTTAAATACAAATAAATTTCTGGCAAAGCCAATAAGCAAGGGGAACATATGTGAAAGTGTTTGGCAAATGCTAATAAAATGATCTTAAAAGACATCTAAGGATATATAATAAATGGCATTCTTTAAGTGGTGACAACTCTAATTAATAAAATTGCCCCACACAGGCCAACAAAAATGCAGCTCTGGGTCTGCGAATGAAAATCTCGGCTGGCTTTGACAATTTCATTCTTCTTTCACAGACAAGACCGGAAAGTAGTCGTGTTTTGTTATGTAGCTTTCGACTGGTGGAGAAACCGTTCACACATTTTAAACACCGATTCCCAACAAATTCAAATGTTTTACCAACATTTCGTATTAGAATAGTAGCACAAAATATAAGAAGCGGTCGAAGAATTTTGCGCGACCCCAAGTGTATTGAGAAACCCCTTCTGATTTCAACGACCACCAGAGTTCTCTATTTTCTATGTAAAGCGACGAGCCAAAGAACTTTAAAAAAAAAAGAAGAAGCTGAGCAAGTACCATCATCGAAAAGCCTAATCAAAGGAGCAACGGAGGCGGACCAGATGTGCTAACCAATAAACGTGGCCAACAAACCAGTCCCAGAGGTGTCAAAAAGAAGTCATCAGCCAGAAGTCAGATTGAGATCCGAAAAGTTAACAGGACATGTTGTCCAACACTTATAAGATGCGTCCGCAGATGCATTTGCCCGTGTTTCATGAGGAGATCGCGATGCAGTGCGCCAGAAATATTGTGCGCGTGGCCTCGGCTATGCCGCAACCCCAGCCGCGTTGTCCAAATGGAGACATTGCCGTGCTTGTCGAGCTGCGCCGTGCCGATGAGCCGACCATATACCGGTACCAGGTAAATGTACCGTCCAATGGTTGGCCAGTCAATAATTCGCAAGAGGCGGTTGAAAGCAGTCAGCAGATGGTGCTGCCCGGAACCCTGGAGGCGCTGGGCTTTAAGCTACCTCAGCCAAAGCGACCCCCGTGTCCCATGCACGGACGCACAATTTCGGAGATTGCCAATGCCACCGAAAACTGGTCACCGAGCTCCCACTCCGGACCGGCTCCCTTGCTAATGACCCAGACTTCGATGCACACGGTAAATGGTCTAAGTAACCAGATTGGTATTACCTCTTTCTGCGAGCCCGTTTTGGCTACTGAAGTGCCGGATTCCCTTAAGGGCACACTTTATGGCCAGTCTCTACCAACAGCATCCCAGTCCACTGGCCTACTCGGACATCTGGGTGCAAGAAGAACCCCCAAGACGTCCTAGCAGGGAGCGATCTTCTTTTCGCCCACAGCTTTGTCTTGGCGAGAACAACGAATATATGTCCAACAAAGAGAAGAGACCAATCAATGGGTTAAAGGTGACTCCAAAACCTTCAGCACATGATTCTCGCCGAGTGGCCGAATTGTGCCTGGACAGCAATGGCGACTATGTGCCCAATGAGCTGCTGCAGCGTCAGCGTTTGAATACAACCCAGAATGGCATGAGAAGAGAACAGCAATACAATGTGGAGCAACAAGGCCAATCGCTTGTTAACAGGCTAAACGGTTATCAGACCGATGTCTCTGGTTATGCTTACAACAGGAAGGAGATTAGTAAACCAAAGAATGGCTACAACGATCAGCCGGTGGCCTATTCAGATCAAAGAAATATCCTGCGGCAAGTGCAGGGACATGGACCCAATCAAACCCATGGGCGTGTGGCGATGATAGAGCCACGTGTACGCCAGGAAGCACCCATAGAATCTCAGTCCAAGCCGAACTTGCCCAGTTTACCAGGTGAGATGAAGCCTCCGAGAAATGGATAATTGAAGTTGTCAGATTTTAGTCAGGATTCATTTTAAAAAAGTCAGAACAAACCAAATAACATAAAAACATAATTATTATTTATCTTTTTTTCTAAAAATAAACTAAAGTAAATACTTTGGTTTCATTTTTTATTATTTAACTAAATTTGTGATTAAATTTGCACTTTGAAAATAAGTAAAATTTGTATTATTATCAAGAAATTGTAAACTTTTTTTAATTTGTTAAAAATTTCTAAATAATTTTAACCACATCCTACAGATGTGCCGATGGCCTCAACATATCCCAAGGAGCTGCAGGCTCTCTTCCGCTGGAACTACTGCGCCCTGTGTCATACTGTCATGCGGACAGAGCGGAATGCGGTGGACCACTACTCGTCGCGAGCCCATGAACGTAGGATCAGCACCTGGCTGGTGCGCCAGAACGCCAATGGATATAATGTCCAGAAAGCGAATGCCACAAGCGATTTGGCAGGAGCGTTGCAATGCTTGCGAAGCGTCGGCCCGTTGGACTTCTACTGCGACCTCTGCGACCTCAAGCTGACCTCGTTGATGCATGCCCAGCAGCATTTCTTTGGGCGCCGCCACAGTATGGTGGCCCGCCAGATGATGAAGCCCAATGGAGAGGGCTACTATGATCGAGATGGCAAGTGGGTGCGTACGAATGCCAAGTTTATGATGTGCGATTTGTGCGAGGTGAGCATCACCTCGGAGACCCAGATGGCCATGCACATGGCTGGAGCTCGTCACCGAAGGCGTTTTCATACCGTTTACTCATCTGGATCCATCGAAGGCATGACACTGAGCGCGGATATGGGCATGGGTCGTGCGTCCATCGATGGCAGGCACATGTATCGGGTGGATGCGAATGGATCCCTGGCCCCTTTAAAGCCTTTGGGCCTGCAATTCTTTCAGGCCCCCCAGCCGTGTCCCATACCAGAACCTACGGCCGCCTTCTACTGCGAGGCATGCAACATCACGATGAATCACCTGAAGTCATTGAAGGAGCACGAGCAGGGACGCTTGCACCGCCGCAATGTAAAGAAGAGCCAGTCCTACTTCTATGAGTGACCTTTTGGCCTTTGCGGCCCAGACGGATTGGAAGGATGGAGGGCAGATATCTGGAATGAGAAAGCAGAATAAAACCGACAAAGGTATTAATTATTATATTAAATATATAAAATCTGAAGGCCGGACTTCTCCCGAGTACTCCCACTCACCGGCGAATCTTCTTGCTGTGCTGCGTGTTGCAATTTATTTTTGATCTAACTTCTTTTTATATGTTTTATAGTATTATAATAAAAATACCCAAAAAAATTGCAAGCCTGGCTAATATACAAAATGTTTTTTTTTTCTATATTTTTACTCTGAACTATGAATAAAGGTGTAAAATTTATTATCAAATCAACTATTTTTCTTCGATTTAACAATTAAAAATGTTTCTAAAATTTTAACCCTACCTAATTAACCATCGCCATAGTCCTTCACTTTGTATTTTTTACAATAAATTAATGTAAATATCTTTAAGCAACCGCAAACATTTTAATGTCCCATACTTCCATTTCGTTGCATACTTTTGGGCTGCCAGCGAATAACCGCCTGGCAACATGTTGCCGCAACCAACTATCTGCATCTGAAAATGAAAATGCATCTGGAGCTGGAGCATGGGTAACTATCAACACTTCCGGGCTTAATTAATGATGCGATCCACTCACTCCCACAACCATGGCACGGCAGAAATGTCTGGAATCTTTGCTTTTAATTGCCAGCCTGCTTATGCAGTGGCACGCTTCTCCGGCCGCTGGTTTTTGGTTTCCGCCAGACGGAAATGGCATAAAATCCAATGGAGCTGCCACTGTAGACTGCAGACAATGGGTGGCCATAAAAAGGAGTTATCGCTTGACAAATATCGGAGAGAGTGCCGCCAGACCGACCGAGCGACCGCACTGTCAGTCAGCAAGAGTCTAGACAAAACATGGCGCTAAATAAATAAATAGTAGCGCCATTCGAAAGACAAAAAAAAAACCCTCATTGACAACCACAAAAACGGAAAAGAGACTTCGCATAAAATTTATGGCCAATTTTTGCCAGGCTGTAACTTTGTTTTGGGCTTTTCAAGTTCGCCGCGTCGTGCAAGGTCAATGGCAATGGGTGGGCGGCGGCGGCGGCGTGTGAACTGTGGGCGTGGTCAACCAGACTACACACTCCTATCTACTGTATTTCTACCATTTTGCGTCTGGTTTTGCCGTCGGCAGAAGCTTCAAACATGTTTTCGCATAAATTAAACTTCTTATCTGGCTGTAAAACATTTGACGGCATTGTTGTTGTTGCACTTCACCCGATTGCAGTCCGGAAATGTGCATATAAGCAGCAACAATAAACACTGAATAAACAATAAAAACAGAAACAACAACAAGAAAAACAGCAATAGACACAGAGGAAAGGAAGGCGAATGGCGCAAAATATAAATAAATATTGGCGGGAAATGGACATTTTTATCGATGATACAGTTAATGATACAACCCTTGTCCAAATGTACCATCCATATGTGGCCCGATGACAGTCTGAATGGATTTAATATTCAAGGGTAAAGGAAGCTGAAGGCAGATGAGCTGCTGCTGAATAATAATTCGTTTTAAGTGTGTTTCCATTTAAATGAAATGGCAATATAATGAAGAAGCTGTACGTTTATGATAATTCTTAAATAATAAATATTTAAGAAATGCATTATTTTTAACAGCTATAGAGATAATGATTAAAAATAAACATAGTATGTAGGATAAACTTGCCAAAGACAAATCGGTTTGTTCTTTAAAACCTCCAAAAAAAAAAGTACACTTACTTAATGTTCAGCAATAAAATTCTATGTTTTATATTTTTCAAATTTTCCCTCACAACCATATAAACTGCGTTTCGAAACCCCTTAAATATTCGTTGAGTTTGTGTACAACTGTGTAAACAAATTAATTATGCAACTTTGTGGCTGAACAGACCGAACCCCTTTCGCTCATTTACCCTCCTGCCCAGTTAGTTGGTTTCGCTCAATAAAATATCCTTTCAACATATTTCAGCATAAACATTCGCATTTCCACGTTACCCTGCCTTTGGCCCCTCCCATGAGCCTGTTGGCAAATGGTCGCTTGAATCGCTCAGGCATAAGGAAATTTATGCGTGGCAAAACCAAAACTCCAACCGAAACCAAAATACATTCTCCAGGGCAAACTCTCGACTCTGGCGACTAATTTGCATTCGCATAGCCCACAGATATAGCAACACAACGGCTACAGCGGAAAGATACAGATACACGGCTCCACATACAAATGCATTTTGCATCTGTGCAATTAACATAATTTCGGCAAAACGTTCACTTGGACAAAATGCTGAGGCAATTTTCCGAATTTGCATTTCAAAAACACGAGAAACAATCTAAACATTGCATGGTATATAGCCATGCTTAGTCAGAAATCTATCTTAAATAAAATCTTTATTAGCATTCAGCTAAAGTTTAAAATACTTCATTTTCAGATCACATAAAATAATGTTAACCACAAATGTCTAATTACCAGTCTCAGATATTTTGGCTATATGTTATATGATCGTTTTCTTGTCAAAGTCTAATAAACTTTTTTTTTTTTTTTTGGCCAGCTTACGCTTACCGTCTTTATGGCTGTTATTACGGGGTCTGTCCAAGTTGTGTCAAAACTAGACTCAGATTTCCCAAAGGGTGTGTTGGGGATCAGCGCAAAGGTTTGAAGCGTGTGAAGTGCTTATTGTTTAGCCGTCTCAGCGGAATTATATAAAATGCTTTTAATGTTTTTAATTGTTACGTGTTTTGCGCACTTTGTGTGTCACAAAAAGTGAGTGTGTTCGAAGAAGAAGGGGGCGATGTTTATGGCGGTTAATAAAACCAGAACCTGATTATGGCAGTGTCTATTATATACTCGTTTGGCTGATAATTAGCTGAGATTGGTTGTTTAACTTAACTAAGATTGATAACCCTAATAAGTTAAAACTTATTTTAATGTTAAACATTATTGGCTTACTAACAGAAGCCCCGCCTTGTCACAAATCACTATGCCACCTTTCTCTCTTCGTAATATGCAACAATCGGTTGCAAATTGAACAAGACGTTGATTAGAATTCCCAATTCGCGGCTGAAAAAAAAGCCTATCCACCAAGATAGAGCAAACATCCAGGTCACAGCATCAGCAACTTTTTCGGGATGGGATATGTGTCAGGCAGCGGCAAACAAACAAAAACACTCGCTGCATGGGGCAAGCCAGAAACCTGCTGGCTGGGAAATTTGTTTTTGTTTCGGCATTTTTGCTCACAAATATTGCAAGAAATGTAAACAGGAACAGAGCCTGTTGCCTGGTACCATGACACATTTACCAACATTTTTGCTGCTGCTGTTGTTGTTACTACTGGCGGATGACAAATCTGGCAAGGCATTCGGGGCTCTGTGGCCCACCTGTTGTTGTTATTATTATTGTTGTGGCACGGAAAAAGCAAACAAACAACACCGCTGGGGCTACGACTCGTGTCTCGTGCCCCGTGTCTCACGGCTCATGTCTCGTTGCTGCCTGCAGTTTTGCCATCAAAGCCAAAATAAAATAAAACTTGGCTTAAAAACGGCTAAAGTTTAGATTTTTAGACAAGAAGTTGAGATGCTCTATTTTGAAATTTGGGTTTTAAGTTTGATGATTTATTATTTTTAAAAATATAATTTATTACTTAAGTATTTGTTAGTAAAAATATTTATATTTGTTAATGCCTTTATCCCCTTAACCAAGTAGGCAAGTCATATTCCTTAATAATAAATCGTTTTCAACTTTTCTCAAAAGCTTAGCTAGAGCTGAAAGCAACTTCCTTAAATAAATTAGTACTTTGAGGGAAAAGTTTAACGAAAGAATGGAACGAACCACACGAATTAGGAGAAGAAGGAGGGCTCCTGTTACAGAGACTCCTAGTCCTAATCCCGATGAAGATACCGAATATCAAGCACTGGTACAAGAGATTATGCGGATTCTGAGAACAATTCCCGATGCAGCTTGATGCAGAAACCAACTGTGGAAAATATTCATAAATGGATCTTTAAGTAGTGTTACACTTGCCAACAAAGTTCAGTAACTTAAATTGTATGTTAAATTAAACATCGTTGTGCAAAATCATTTGGTAGATACCCAAATAGCTTTTTTCACTTTTGTAGAGTACATTTAAAACGACTTTCGATGTCGCCATTAGCAGAGTTTTCTCGGTTTGGAAAATTGTGCGCGCCAGAGAGAGGACGGCTGGAGAGATGGAGAAACTCTGCCGCCTGGCTGGAAGGTTATATAATAACACGGCCAGTCGATGGAGAGAAGCTACCCGAGTGGGTTGCCACTGCATCTGTGACTGCAAAATAGTTAGTGCAATCAACCTGAAATTGGAATGCCATGCAATTGGAATTCGTTACCAAATATTGATGACAGTAATAGCCACAGCCGGCGAGAGGGTTCCCAAGTTTTTCTGGCTAGCAAGAAATCACTTTACATAATCGCTAGTCAGTCAGCTGCTTGTCGGCCTCAGGAGAAGATCTCTAACAAACCGCTAATAAAAAACCACCAAAACTACCATGATACGCAGACCCCAAGTTGGGTGATAGAAAACGCCCCCACCAAGTGGGCCTTTCAGCCGCCGTCGGCCTGATTGTAATCATTCGGTCTGGGGCCTGCTATTAGCGTGGGTGTGCGGCAGGCGCCACAATTAAGTGGCGGTTTTGCATAGCCATAAGGAGTATCCTTTCACGGAGTGGCTGTCTGGATGATATTACCCTCAAGGAAATCTGAATTCCAGCTTTGATTTGGGCACAAAGAATGCTGTGAAGGCACGAGAAAATGGGTCAAACCCTAATTTGGTTCACAAAATGGGGCAAGGGGTTGTGACAAAAGCTGTACTTTTGCCAATTCTTTTTGTAATTAAAGGCTTTAAACTGCAGTTTCGATTCCCTCTCTGCTTTAAATCTTAAAGATAAAAAACTGCAAGAATTAAAAACTTATTTCATACAAAAACGTGCTTCTTTTAGGACTACTTACGCAGCACATGTTCAGTTTTAATATCTCAGTTAAACTTTTCCGTTCTATTATAAAGCTGTCAATTAAATTTTAATGTTTTGCATTTAACCATAAAGAGATTAATCGTTCAAGGCCTTAAGGCCTTAGAACAAAAGGTATCTCAGCTCTGAGAACAACACTAGTAATACGTTCATTACCCCAAGCTAGAAGCTCATAGCAATCGGGAGCATATTAAGGGCCATTAAAGTGTAAGCACTACAATTAAGACGCTCCCAGACAGTTAAACCCAACCCGGAGCGATGTCAAGTGGGCTAATTAAGTACATCTGACACTATATACCAAGTACTAAGTAAGCGTAAGATGATATGGAAATGAGATGTTCGGCGGGAAAGTATGTCGACCATAAGGCAAACAGCGATAAACCCGGCAACGCACTCCTGCCAAGGTCAAAAGCAAGAAGCTGAGGACAACAGAGAAATTACCAACCAGCAAAAAAAAAGGTTAAACCCTCCTACCCGCTGCTCTCAATACGAAATTTTCAGTGTCACACTGCGGGATAAAAAAACAAAACAAAAATTACAAAAATTCGACGGCAGTGGCCAAACAAATTACAAAAAAAAAACAACATAACTTGCGCCTTGCGACCTTGAGATTGGCGGCATTAACCCATTACGGAACAATGGGTAATTTTCCGCCGCACAACAATTAGTGCTGAGTTTTCTGGTCCACAGATTTATTATACAAAAATGTAATAAAAGTTGAGCTTAAAAAATGAATTCGGTAATTTGGGTAAAACTACTGTTTCTGTAATAAATTATTGTAATGTCTTAATTTAATTTGGTCTTCTACTTTATTGAAGAAATATTTAATTATTAATTTTATATATTGTAAGCCAAAAAAGGGTTCATAATCGGTTAAGCTGCATTTTGGCATTGCCTTATTGGCTGCAATAAACTCAGCGTGTATCAACCAATTTTGCTGCCCAAAAATCCAACACACAAAATGTTGTAAGAATCTCACCGAAGCCAAAAAAAAAAACAAAAGCCCCAACGACTCGTAATTGCAGTCGTAACAATCCAAGCAAGTTAATAACAAAAAGCACAGCAGCAGCACAACAATAATAATCACGGCAGCCGAAAGAAGTTGATGGCCCTGCTCCTGCCCCACAATTGATTGCATGTGGCACGTGTTCATGACATTCCTCCAAGTCCACATCCAATGGCCATGCCATTCTGTTGCACACTTAATAGCATTGCAATTGTTTGCCTTGAAATTGCAGATCAGATATGATCATTGGAGATCACTGATTGATTTAGTTTGATATTGTGAACGATCTTGAGGTGTTAATAAAGGTTTATGCTTAATTTGAGGCTTAGAATATGAATTTTATATAATAAAATTATCAACCTGGCATTCTGTTAACTCATCTTATAAGTTCATCCATATCCATAAATCATACTCGTTAAAAGTTTGCAAAAAAATTTAAAAGTCTTAAAAATACTCTTCGAGGGCAAACCCCATTTATGGACCTCCCCTATCCCTTTAATATTATTTTTTATATATTTTTCCCACTTTTGATTACTGCTGAGATGAAGTAAAAATGCATGTAAAAATGGTTATTGAATTTATGATTAATACCTGAGCGCAGTTGTCATTGAAGGCCCGACAAATTAGCCGGCCAAGGCCAACCGGTGCGGCAAGAAAACCAAGATAAACGGGAAGAGATCGTTGCCAAAAACTGGTGGGAACAGAAAACAAAAAGCCCAAAGACAAGGTCCAGTGAATAATCCCAAGATCCATATAGTCAGATAGCCAGCAAACCAAACAAATGATGGGCAATCACAACAAATCGCGCAATGATATGGGGCATATGGAGGGGAAAAGTGCTGCTCCCGAACTCTCCAGCCTGCCATTCAGCGAGGCGCGGCACAAAGCAAAATAGTGTGTAATTCAGTCTGCATTTTAATTTGGCCAAATGCAGACGTAACCCGATGCCAGGCCAAATATTTCGTCAGTCTTGGGGTCTTGGGATGGGGGCTTCAATTGCAATTACCTTGGCAGCAAACGAACACGCAACCAAGTCAGTAAGACGCTCGGGACGTGGACGTGCCAAACGATCCAACGATCCAACGCCTAACGGCTAAACGGATCGAACCCAGAGACAAACCGCGTCCAACCACAAAACTCTTGCGGTCCGAAGAAAAGCGAAACGAAACGAAAGACTTAGGCAAAAAACTTGCTCGGCACGCGCCAAACTTAGAGTTTGATGGTAGGTGAGAGGGGGTTGGATTTTGTTGCATTCGGGGGCGTCGAACAAGTCGGTTTGATCAGCTGACTAACCCGGGGAAGTTGAGCTAGGTCGGCAAAGGTTACACTCAGAAAAAAAGGTATCTCAAGGTTTTTTCAAACATTTTTTGAGAGAAATATAAGCAACATAGTGAAAGCGATTTCTTAAGTAAACTAAAATAGGGCAGTTACTAAACCACATCGTTTATGGGTTCGTATCTGATATTATCAATTTTAAAATATTCTCAGTGCACCTCTCATAAGCACAAGAGGGATATAAATTACATTCGTCTAACACTCAAAACAAAACAAAAAATTGAGAGCAGTTTTAATCCGCTTGAAATCCGCACTTAAGCTGATTATATAGCATCCACAAAACCTGCGATCCACAAGTGCCGGTTCGAACAAGTTGGCCCACAGATCGTGGCTGCAATTCGAGCCTAGCTCAGCTCATTCTGCCTACGAATCGACCAGTCGAGCGACGTATCTCAAGCCACACGGTTGTCATCTGAAATTGTTGGTTACGCGACAGATCCCCAAAGATCAAGTTATCCGGAATACTCGTAATTTACAACGTGCTTTTCCGTGGGAATATTTTCCAGCATTAGGAAAATCCAAAGGATATCGTCCAGCCAATCGGAGTGGCAAAGCAACCCACACGTAACTGCCAAGCGTGACGAAATCGGGAGAGAAAAAAAAAGATAGTGGCGACGTAACCGTTACGCTTAAGTGCAACTGTTGCATTTGCCAATTTGCCCCATTTTGTGTGTCCGACTGAGCGTGAGTCAGTTTGGCCAGTGAGTGAGTGAGTGCCGCCTGGAGTGAGTGTCGAAGTGAGTGTCGCCTTGAGTGTTTGGAGTGGCGTGTGATTGCACTGGATACGGCCTTGCGATGCGGCCCACCGTCGAGGTCAAGGGTCGCCTGCTGATGACCATGCTGCTACACCTCCTCGTGGCTCTGGAGGTGTGTGGACGGGCCGGCGCCTTTACGCTTCTATCGCCCTTCAGTTATAGTTCGCTGAGCTTTAAGAACCTTCTAAACTCCGTTCTGCTGTCGAGCAATGCCAACCTGGCCGGCGGTGGACGAAACCTTAAGTCCGACGTCCTCGAGGATGCCTCTCTCATCACGGTGAGTTCTTCTAATAAGAAGATGCTTATCGGAGCAGCTGAACTCACATCTTGGATAAAAAGTCTGAATACTTAACCACAGTTTTGGTAACATTTTTTGAAGATCTCATATTAGAACTCAGTTCTTTTTATCATCTTTAAAATATAAATAAATTGTTATTGGCTGACATGAGTAGAGTAGCAATTTTGCAACCTTTTTTGTCTTAGGTTTTTCAAGAACTAACTTAAAGAAGTAACCCAGAAAACAAAAGGTATAAAAGCAGCAATATATTGAGTATTCTTATTAATACATTAACCCACAAATAAAAAGTCAAAGTATGCAGTAAAGCTAACCCCTTGTGTATGAAATGTCAGTCAAACCTGCGAATTAGTTTTTACTACTAACCATTAAAATAGTTTTATACCCAGAAGTCAGAAAATACAAATGAGAATTTGATAGTTTCGTTGATTACTTCTAGAAACCGTAGCTAGGAATCTAAGATGTGAAAAAGATCAAACATTCTAACTCGTAATTACCGACTAAACTTGAAACATATTAAATGAAATTATAAGATTGAGATTTTCTCTTTTTGTATTTAAAGTCAAAGTTCTTCCATCAAGTGTGAGCTAAATACAAAATTTAACTAAAATCGAACTTTGAATTCAAGTGAGTCGCAAAAAATTACTGATGATTTATTACTATCATTACTAATATTTACGATTTACAGTAGGTAATGAATATTGGCCATTTTAATAGCCTTGTTAAAAAATATACTTATTAACATTTCATTTGTAAAAACTTAAAAGTCAAAAGTATATAATCGTTACTCCGCCTGATTATTTACTACAATCATTATAAAGACTCTAAATACATAACTTTATTTGAAAAAATATTTAACGACAAAAGTGTAAGCTGAAAATAAGCTACTGGGCTGTGATGTCTACAAAAGTTATTTTCAAGAAAGTCGTTTTGATATATCATCCAATTCCAAGTCGGTCAAAACTTAACGCTTGAGTTAGCCTCTTGCATTGACATTGGTTTTCCACTTGGTTTTTCTTTTGTTTCCACAACAGTCTTGTCGAGCTTTTCTATGGGCTATAATCGCGTTCTGTTCTGGTATTTACCTTGCTTGAGCATTTTATTTTTGTGTGTCATATAAATTTACACTTTTCACTCCCCGACGCTGAAAGAAAGTTTCCGTTCTTAGAGTTCGTTGACTCCAGAGATTCGTGAGTCCAAGAACTAAGAATTACCAATTTCATTTGAGGTGTCTGGTGGCACCTGGTAATGGTCACCTGCCGTGATCGACTGCAGTTGCCACTGCACTTTCCATCGGCTTCCCTTTTGCTTTTGTGAAGAGAAAGGGGGAGCTGCCGTAACTTGTGGAAATTTCGTTGCCTTTTTATGGCGTTAATCATGTCTAAACTTCAGTGAATGACTTAACTCAGCTGCGAGTACGTAACTGATGGATTTATTTCTAGAGTTGCGGCTAATTAAAAGGTTTACGAGCCTTTATAGCTGTTATAGGTAGGTGTGAAGTAACCCCGAATGCTTTAGGGCAGAATATTCGTAACTGCATACGGTAGCCACGAACTGGAATTTCAACTTTAGAGAAACCAAATCTGGTTTCTTATTTATTTGTTTATAAATTTCAAACCTACTTACAACAAAAGGCTACCTTAGCCTTCGTTGGAATGAATCCAATACGAAATAAGCATTTTATGGCAGCCACAGAAATCAGAGTTCGTTTAATGAGCTTGGTTTTTTTTAGAATTGATAGCCATTGGAGGTGCAAAGTGACCTTGAGCTCATTTACAACGCTCACGTGCCCAGCAATTAGATCAACACACATTATCATTGGGCGTTTGGGTGTTCACACAATTGTTAATGCTTGTCGATGAATTTCCATGGGTTTCCAAAAAAAACAAAACAAAAACTATCTCAAGGGCAGGAAATTTGCATTTCATATGGTCTCTCTGAGAAACACCTGATTTTGTCAGCTAAATATCAAAGATCACACACACTCGCAGCTGAAGATTACCCAATCGGTTTTTTTTTTTTTGGGTGGGGTCAACAAACAGACAGGCGAAAATGAACAAAGCCAATAAACCACCAGCAAAGTCAAATGGAAAAGAGTTATTAACAAGTGTTCAAGTATACATTTGCCCACGGTAACGTAACGTTTTTTTTTATGTGATTTACGTGATTCGAGCTGTTGTTGCGCAGACATAGAAACTAATAAAGGGAGACATATAGTACCTATATAGGGTTATATACCTGACATATTGTCAACCCGAGTGCCGCCGTACTGGATCTTATGCAAAGTCATGGCTGGGCTTTCGAACGCGTTCACAGGCGCGTGTCTGCAATGTAATGTTCGTTACAATTTCTGCACGTTGCCAAAATTGCATAATCGACAGTTGGGAGATGGCCAGATATATATATATATACATATACTATATATACTACTATATCTCACGGGAAACACCTCTCACGTCAGACAATAACAAATTGAAATTGTCAACGCTATACAACAATCAACGTGCAATTAGGCTAACCTGTCCACGTCCACAGCGCTTGACTGACTTTGAAATATGGGTTAGCAGTCTGCCCGCCTTCTACCTACCAAACAACCAGGCAACCAACGAACCACCCACCACCTCCATTCCACCATCCCAAATGTCAACGAAGAAAGCCCAAGGCTTTGCCTCACCAATAATAAGGAAATAGTTTCGGCATTTGGCATGGCTCTGGATATTTTTCGCTTTTGTTTTGCATAAAACTGTCTCGTTTTTGCTTTAATTTGAGTTTAAAGATTTCCGCATTGTCTTTTCTTTGGGGCCCACCATGCCAAGGATTGGCAAATAGATGTCGTTTGGAGTGATTACGTTGAGGTGTTGAAATGACTAAGTTTGTAGCTAGAAAATAGGCAACTTGTTAAATGAATTTTAGCACTTAAACTTATTTTCACCTTAAGAAATTTATAAGCATCAAATAAAAATCAAATCAAATAATAACAACAACCATCACCATTCGATTAAGAGCTTATTTTAGCCATTTGATTAGTATTCTAACAACCCTAATCGATCAGAGTAATTTGCATAATTTTCAAGCCGTTACTCCACTTGATCAGTCATCTTGAGAGCAGAGTTCAAATGTGATTAACCTCTAAGATTTTGATGTCATTAAAACGATGTCAGTCGGCGGTATAAAGCCAGTACAGCGGCCCAGAAAATGCAGCCAGCCGAAGAAGCGCTGACACCAAACGAGATGAGGAGAAACTGGTTGGGGTCGCGTCGTTGGCGATGACATCGAGACGTTTCGAACGGCAGTCATTATAATGATAATAAAAGCCGAAGTCAATATCAAGGTCAGTTACAAAATGAACGGATGGTCTTAAAGTGGATATCGACACAGAGCCCATCCATCCATCCATCCATCCGACAAGCTGAAGAGTGGTTAGGTGGCTAGGTGGCTCTGATTTTGGCCTCCTCCAGCTCAGCTCAAGTTCGAATAGCAAAAGTGCTTTATGCAAATTAATCAAAGGCACGCCACTAAGCCCCTAAAACGTTGACACTACAAAATTTGCATTGGATTTTAGAGGAAAAATACAAAGCCAATGAAAACATGGATGCCCATGCACACCCAAAAGAGCCATGCAATTACAGTAGATACTACCTAGGCAAAAACAAATATAAAAATAAATAAAAAAATAAATTAGTGATTTAAAGACTTTGTTTGAATGTGTAAAAAAATATTTGTATATAACAAAAAAACCAAACCTTGTGTTAGTCTAGGTCAGTAATCACTGTACCAACGAGCACGCATCACATTGCCAATTAGCATGGACACAAACCGGAGGCAGGCAAACACAAAAATTAGTGGGTCATGATGAGCATTATGTTAATCGCAACTCAAGACGACTTTGTAGGTGCTAATGAAGTTTTTGCGGCTTTCAGACGAATGAACAAAATGTTCAGTTAGCAAAACAGTAAAAATATGGAAAAAGAAACCTTTGATATATAAATATTATATATAGGCGACTTACCAACAAAGCCACAAACTGTTTTGGCTGATCTCGAAACCAGTGTAGTATAACATTTACTTTTTCATTGGTCTCTCCCTCTCCCCACCTCTATTTTAGCCACTCTTATTTATTTAATTATAGTTTTTCCCAACGTTTGTGCACATTGTTTGCCCGGCAGTTTGCTTGATTTATTTACTGTACCTTTTCAATCGGCGTTAAATCAAACATTTTGCGCTTTTGTCTTCTTGTTTTCCATTAAAAGTTTATTCAACAAATGGGTTTATTTAGATTTCTACACAGATGATTGAACAAATTCATCAAATTTATGGAAATATTTAGTTTAATAACAAGACAATTATTTTATAAAATTTGCTTACTTGTGCTTTACAAATGCCTATTATTAAATAAATTTCTACACTTTGCTTCGATAAATATTAACAATATCTCTGCAGTTTAGTTGATAAGTTGCAGCTTAGTTACGACATAAACATAGTTATTTTTTCTTGTCAAGAGATAAATATTGCTGAAATTTTTTATTACTGAACATTTGTCGACGACTGGTGCGAATTTCAAAACTTTCTGAGATTGACCAACACCGATGGGCGGGAAAATCCAGCTGCCGCACTCTGTTGCATTTTGAGCTTCTTTGCAACGCCTTTTCGGCTCTGGGCAAATATTGGCCGGCTGTTTTTTTTGTTTTTTTAGCCAAAATGTGTGTCAAGCTAAGAAAAACAAAAACTTTGCCGGCTAGCATCGGCGGCAGAGCAGCTGTTGCAATTTTACGGGGCCTGGCTAAGTCACTTTCTGCGGCTTCTCTGCACCTCATTCGCACGTTCATTCATTCATTCTCGAAACAAAGAAATTACGTAAGACAAAAAACGGCTAAGGAAATTGCCAAAATAAAATAAAGTAAATTTATGCTTAAACCTTTGGCCAAATCGGCCGAAAACAAAACATGCAGAAACAGAGCAGGAAAAAACATTTCGCTGGCTTACTTTGCGTACCACTTCCTCGTGTTGTCCAACCAGCCGGCAAGTCAATTGGCCAATTGCAGTGTTTATATTGTTTTCTGGCCAAACAACAGCGGGGGCTATTCGCTGCCAAGGTTAATTAAAATGCCAGTCGGCTTCCAGAGTGTATCTTTCTATAGTTTTTCTCAGTCGCTCGGCCGGTTTGTTTGTTTCTGTTGAAAAACATTTGGGTAATCGCGTGCTCTATAACTTAATTTCAACAATGGTGTTATGAGTTTTTCTTTCGGCCACCCACTACCCAACAGGCTTACATAATAATCCAACCGAGTTATCAAACTTATCACGCATTTCTAAAAAAAAAAAAACCTATAAATTTAAACGCCAGGCAGGAAGAAAAGTATGCTGTCATACAGTGCGTATGCGTGATACGTGACTGGGTTAAACTTATGGCGATGTACTTATATAGGGGGCCGCGTGAACTTTACGTCACCTGGCGTTCCAATAAAGCGTCCCCAATGATGAGCATGCCTGATAGTTTGCCCGATATTTTTGTTTTCATCGGTGTCAATAAAGAAATTCTAAAATGTTCTGTCTAGCAGTTGTCAGGCAATATAGTTGGGGAAAATAGAAGCAGGGCAATTCGACTGTAAAATACTCTGTCAGCACTACACTATCCTACAGGGACAATAACAAGATTATGTAGTGCCCAGACCAGGCACAAGCCATTCTCCCTCTGCCATTCTAGACCGCAACAGCTTGTCTGGTAACTTTATTAACTTGTTGATGCCACAAATTAAAATTCATTAGTACCAAATGACTGTGGTTAAGGCCAGACGAATGCCTCCTTGATGATGATGACGATGACGCTGCCGGTGGTACTCTGGTCTTTCCACCTGCTCTTCCATTTGAACTATGCAAATTAACGGGGAAGAAACAAAGAGCAGTGCAGGGCAGGTGGAAAAAACATGGGCCACAGCAACTCAATTTCACACTACCATGATTTGCACTTCTAACACCTTTCTCTTCCTCCCTTGGATTTTTTCTTTTCGTTTTTTTTTTTTCTGCGTTCATACAGCCCAAATTAATACGCAAATATGGATATCCATCGGAGACCCACACGGTTGTTACGAAGGATGGCTATATCCTGGAAATGCATCGCATACCCAAGAAAGGAGCTCAGCCAGTCCTGCTAATGCACGGCATTCTGGATACTTCGGCCACGTGGGTTCTCATGGGACCAAAATCCGGACTGGGTGAGTAATATCAAATTAAAGTAAAAAAAATTTTTAATGTTTATTCTAAAAAAAAAAGGTTACATGCTGTCCGATCTGGGCTATGATGTGTGGATGGGCAACTCACGGGGCAATCGGTACTCCAAGAACCACACCAGCCTTAACAGTGACTACCAAGAGTTTTGGGACTTCACCTTCCACGAAATGGGCAAATACGACCTGCCAGCCAACATTGACTACATCCTGAGCAAAACCGGATACGAGCAGGTGCACTACATCGGCCACTCGCAGGGAACAGCCATCTTCTGGGTCCTGTGCTCCGAACAGCCCGCCTACACCCAGAAAATAACCTCGATGCACGCCCTTGCGCCCATCGCCTATATCCACGACATGAAGAGTCCCCTCTTCCGCACTCTCGTTCTCTTCCTCGACTTTCTCACGGTGGGTGGCAGTTTTGGGTTTTTGAATTTGGGTTTGGGGCGACAGCTGCGGCTGGCTCATTTTCCATTTTCCATTCCGTGTTTCCCCCTTCCTTCTTATGCCATTTTTGTTGCAGGCCGCCACACGAATGCTGCGCATCACGGAGTTCATGCCCAACACCAAATTCCTAGTGGACCACAGCCAGGTTGTGTGCCACGACAACGCCATGACGCAGGACGTCTGCTCGAATATCCTGTTTTTGGTAGCTGGCTACAACTCCGAACAGCTGAACAAAGTAAGCAAAGTGCACTGTGCAAAAAGAGGAAAGAGTTCTTATTGAAAGTTCTTCATGGCTTATCTTAGCAAAGTTTTAGCTGGTAAACTAGAAGTTTTTCTCAGTGTATGTGAGAACTGGGTATGAAAACCGTGGACAGGATTGGATTACGGGTGTGTTTTGGCCACGATTTCGCGTGACTTGCCAGCCCGGCTGAGAGCCATCGAATTTGGGTGTCCCCTTCGATTGTCTTCATTAAGTTGGCACTTAATTAACCCGCCTCAATTCGATTGTCGGTTTGGGTAGTTTGCATTCCAGTTTCTGCCTCAACATGTCGATGCGGAATGTCCTTAATTGGACGCGAACGTTTGTAAAGTTGCCCAATCCTTTTGGTAGAACTTTAGACCCCTAAAATCTACGCGCAATACAAATGGACAAACGCAGTAATTCGTGACTGTAATTATCGATGGGTTAAACGTAATTAAACACTATCTTAATCCCCCAATCGGCCACAATGTTTGCATTGAATAAGCTCAACGCCCTGGCAAAACTTTGCCCGATAATCGACCGCAAGCTAAACACCCGCAGATTCAAAATTATGGCCCACAAAGTGCGGCCGGCTTAAATTACTTGAACAACATGCGAGTGCTGGCTGGCAGAATGCGAGGGGATGTGGGGACATGACCTGACCTGGTATCTGGCATTGAAAGGGTGTCATTATCTATTATGTCAACGGCCGCCAAGAGTGGGCGGTATCTTCTTGTTGTCCTCGTCGGGGCGTTGTTTGAAATTGGCATAATTAACTGGCACGGCCTGGGATGCCGTAGCACCGAACAACAAGCGACAATGCATGCAAATTAGGCGCGATTCTCTGACCCAACATGAACCTGCACCTCTAGTTCGTACCTCTAATTTTGCCTCCATGAGAAATACAGGACGATAATGCCGTGCTGGGCTTTCGAAACATGGCTCGGTCGTTGTTACATTGTCCAAGAAACAGGTGTGGGAGACGGAATTTGTAGCCATGAGCTTTCAGAGTGCCTAAAAACTCTGAAAAATTAATACAAAGAGTTTTATATACCTTTGGTGGAAACTTAATTTAGTTTAATTAAATGTTTTCCAAATATCAACAACTTTATTATAACTACTGTTTTTGCCCCCTCTAGACCATGCTTCCTGTGATGCTAAGCCACACGCCCTCAGGAGCTTCTATTAAGCAGCTGGAGCATTTTGGCCAACTGATGAAGTCCGGTCATTTCCGGAAGTTTGACCGTGGTTATTTGCGTAACCAACTGGAGTACAACCGGATGACTCCACCGGACTATGACCTATCTAGGGTCAAAGTACCAGTGGCACTGTATTACTCGGTGAATGATCTGCTGGTCTCAACCACCGGAGTAGATCGTTTGGCCCGGGAACTGCCCAATGTGATCGACAAGTATCTGGTGCCCATGGAGCGGTTTAACCATCTCGACTTCCTGTGGGCCATCGATGTGAAGCCGCTGGTGTACAACCGCCTGGTTCGAAATGTTCGGCGGGTGGAGAACCATAGGGCGAAGCTAACGGCAAATTTGGCCAATTATCTGGCCATGCAGCTGCAGCGCCAGCAGCTTCGCCAACAGATGCAGCAACAGATGCTGGAGGGTCTACCGCCCAATGTGCATCTCCCTCATGGCTTAGGAATGGAGATGATTGCAAGAACCACCTTGGCTCCTGTAATGCCGCCCATCACAACCACGCCCTCGACAACGACAGAGGTTGCTGAAGAGGATGAGGTCGTGACCACCGCCACCGCAATAACGGAAGTTCCGGCGTGACTTTAATGCCACCTGGCCAAGCTCTTTTCGTTCCAATTTCATATGACTGTGATGACATTTTTAACAATTTACCGATCGCAGCATCGCCAGGTTCTCCAGATGGAAGACCTCAGGTGCAATCACTCAGGCGCAATCCATTCCCATGCATCCATCAACCATCCATTCCACAGAGAGTCCCCTCTTCGATACGGCCACTTTTCCACCAGAATTGTTCGATTCGTCTTCTGTGCTACTCTTAATACTTTAATTTATGTGTACAAATTTATCAGTAATTTTAAATGTACGTCTATTTTTAATAAAAGAAATACTTTAAGAAAATCTGGCTGTTTGATTCGTTTTGTTTTTTTTAGTTATGAAATCTAAAAGGTTTTTTCGGATGTCTTCTTATTTTAAACGAATATTTAAACAACTTCTGTGTTTTTGTGGTTTAGTTTTGTTGATCAATTAAGCGTAAAAAGGAAACCACGTAAAGCCTTACGTGTAGCTTACGTTTTTCATCACATGGGCAACCAGATAGGTATGCAACGGTTTTTTACTACCTTTTTCGGAAAGCGCCCAAGTGCACACTATCTTTTTACCTGAAAGAAAACACTCTGTGGCAACAAAATCGATTTTAAATAAGATATTTTCAATAATTTGAACTTCTGATAAAGTAGAAATTCCACTGCGGATTCATTCTGGCTTGAATTGGCCAAAAAGATGAGGAAAACTTGAAGAAGAGCGGGAGACAGGCAGCAAACAGGACCATCGCTTAATTGCGACTTAAAACGCAACTCATTTCGACAGCCAGGGTGCAAAACTTTATCCTGGCCGCAGCAGGAGTCAAAGCCACAGGACCAGCACCAGAACTGCACTACTAAAAAATACTAAAAATATATATTAACCTTTTAACTTTCAGATAAACTGAAAAAACTATTGAAAATTCACAATTTTATTTGTGTCATAAAATATGTAAAGATAATAGTTACCTTATCCAGATGTCTTACGAAAATTAAGATTTTAGAATATATTAAAAACTTGTAAAGAAGTTTTTTTTAAGTGCACAACCAAGACCAGCAGACTGGGAAAGCCGGTGAGCCTGCGGACCGCAGTTGTGCACTTGCTGCGACAACTTAAAGCCGCATGCCCAATGAATTGCCTTCATTTGTCGTCGTTTGGCGTCTGGCGACCGGCGAACGGCGAAAAGAAAACGCAGTCTGCGACTGTAGGCAAACTTACCGCGTGCACTGTTGCTGAATAAACAGCCAAACACAAACACAGTGGGTGGCAGCAGGATGGTATTAAGGCGGGTCTCGGGATGCGGATTGGGACCAGCATAAAAGTCACAATTTGCAGGTGATATTACCTTTGGGCTGACTACCAGCCGAAGGGAAATGAAAAGTGCAATTCCTGCCGTTGGCTGACTTCTTGTCGACTAATGTCGAATTGCATCCGCTTCTTATTCAAAATTGAAAACAGAAATTGAACAGAAGACTGGAGTAACTTTTGATGTAAAAATATTTTACTGACTTTAAATAAGATAAGAACTGGTTATTTATACCTTAAGATGATCTTAAATTGAGAGTAAACTTTAAAATATTAAAATTAGAATTTATTTTCATAATTTCCCTAAGAAGTTCTTGGCTGCATATGACTTCTTCCATATGGCAGGGAATTCTTGTTTGTCTCTCCTTCTTCCTGATACCAAAGGCGAAAAAAGTCCACTAACAACAGGCGAAACAACCATGCAACCGCAGTTGCAAGCACACAACTGACACAAATTCAACTTTAATTAAAGTTTAGCAGAAGGTTGCGTTAGGAGAAAGAGACAAAACAATCTGAGAAAGAGACAGCCAGATGGAGGTGCTCTTTTCCCGCTAAGCTATGGGAGCCCACATGTTTACACATCGCTTTTAACTAACTTTGACAGGCTTTCATCCAGCTTTCAGCACTGGAAAAAACAACTTTCAGATTAATTTTAAATTAAAGTTTGATTTTAAATCTAATTTATTAATCGATGGTTACTTAATGGTTAATGATTAATGGTTACTTACAAGCTATTAGCTACTTTATATATATTTAAATCTTTTCTATTTTATAAAACTAAGACTTTTTATGATCACTTTAAGCATTCTTTCCTTTTTCCTGTGTAGTTTCTACCTCTTTTTTCACCCCATTCCCACTTATTGCCTTTTCCTTTAGCCATCAGCTGTCATTTTTTGCTATTTCTCCTCTGCTCTAGCTCTTCATTTGCCTTGTAGTATAAACAAGTGATTTTTTAGAGCCCCGCCCACATTCCCACCGCCTTTCTCTTCAACTCTCTGTTTCTTTTCCTCGTGTAAACAAGACATTAAGTACAACAAAATAATTAAAGTCAATTAGTGGCTCTTGCCTGTGCAACTAGCTTTTGTCTATCCATCTCTTGCTCTCTTCCCCCTCTCTCTATCTCTCTCTCTTTCCCCTCTTCCTATCTCTCTCTCTTCCCCCTCTTTCTATCTCGCTCTATCTAAGCCATGGTGTGTTGGCTTTTGCCTCAGTTGTTGTTGATTTAGTTTTGGCTTATAATGATATTGTAGGGCTCCTTCAGGGGCTGTCATTAGCGTCATAGATGCACACACACTCTCAGCCACATCAAGGCACTCACACAGACACACTCGGGCCACCCGCACATCATAATTTATTAAATCAACTTAAATTTGGGATGAACTTTGCTCTTTTGGCCAAAAGCCAACGCTACTTGAATGTCAGACCAACCTATTTAAGGATAATTAGTAGTAATTTAAGATAATATTCCAACATTGAGTATTTGGATTTATTTTATAATATATATTACTATATCTGCCTTGATTTAAGGTTTTACTTTCTCAAAATTACTTAAAATTACAAATATTGCAGGACACAGAAAAGTTGGCACTGAATAGCTTAATTTGATATTCCTCTGTCAACACAATGAACAGCAATTAAGTGAAGCTTGTTAATTAAGGATTAATAAGTTAATACATATATATAATATATATCGGCAATATCTGATATTTATTTCGTTCCGATTCCATAATTGAATTTACAGCAAGGACAAAAGGCTGGGCAAAGCCTTTTCATTCGGATTCTGATTTTATTTTTCCAATTCATACAATAATAATTTTTTGCAATACAATTACAATGCCCGTTTCGAGTTGCTCGTTTCTATTGTCTCGTTTTGTGAACAATGGCGAAATAAACCCTCTTTCTACTGCAATTCAAATTAAAAAAATAAACAAAGTTGCAGAGTTTCAAGTTCCTTGGAATGAAGGGGCACTCGAACGGAATCAGAATCGGAGCCCACCACAAGTGACTTTCTGTGCCGGAGAATGAAGTTTGCCAGAGAGCTTATTCATTACAAAGTAATGAGGTAAAAACAATGCTGCCATTTACCAGGCACATACAGAGCAGAGAGAGCTCCACTTTAATTTGATTGATTTTACTTCGAAATAGAGAAGGAAAATTTGCATTTCCATTTGAAGTAATTTAGAAATAAACATTAGCGTCAGAAGCCAATGAAGCGGTCGTAATCGTTAAGCAATAAAGTGCCACGCCCTCTGGACAAATTGCCAATGGCGACACTTCAAAGTACCCCCACCACCCCAGACAAGTCGATGATGAAAATTACATTTGTACAGAACCAAAATTTGCATGCGAAATGTTTTCCTAATGATTTTCCGAAGCATTAAAACTGGAGCAGAGCTCTGCTCTTGATCGGGCTTTCAAGATTATTTCACTTGGTATTTAAATTACATTTCTGGTCGAGCGATTTGAAAGCGCTTCTTACTTTGATTTTAGTCGGTCGGCACTTTAATAATAATAATGATTTCAAGTCATTTCCCGACTGCCGCCTGCTAATGACTTCTTCTGGACCAACTCTGCCCACAGGGCGTATGATTAATACTTTGTTTACACTCGAAGTAGCCACCGTCGCCGCCGAGGAAAATTGAATTCTCAATTCAATTCATCACCTTCCCCCCATCAGCTGGCTAAATTTTGCATAAATATTTCAACAAAGTGCTGAGAGGGCTGGCCAGGCAGCCAGGCAGCTCCATCATCAGTTTAACAAACTAATTTGCTTGCCAAAAAGTCTTCTTTCGAGAGCATTTTATAAGTCATATTTACGTTGGCCGCCTGCCAAGTGGCCTTTGTGTCCGGTATTTTGACGGCAGGAGCTCAATTTAAGTGAGTGCCAGCAGCCTCCTTCGTTCTGGGCTTAATGATGTTATTGAAGTTGACTACTAGAGGTGTTTTTTGGGCAAACAGCTAGGCCAGGCCAGCGACTGACAGGACTTAAAGTCGCTACTGAAAGCCATCATTACATAAATCATATTGACTTTACCACGCCCCCGAAAAAAAGTAAACGGCCTTTTACTGATTTCTCAGCTGACCACTTTCGCTGAACTATGCAGAAACCTCAAACTGGAGTGTACAGTAAAGCTTCAAAGAGGGAAAGTCATTACGATTTGATAACAAAAAATAGTATGATGAGGTAAAAGATCTCATAACATAGAGAGATCTTATTATATTTACTATTAATTTGGCTATAGTTACTTCAAATCCACCCAAAGCGAGCTTCACTGTAGTTCAATAGCGGCCAGTTTATTGTTATTGCCCTTCGTAGTTGACAGTTGTAGTTGTTAGTGGCATTTATCGCCGTTGGTGGTAGCAAGATGTTAAGATTCTCGGCCACGTCCAGAAGACATTTTCTGTCGAGTTGACATAAAACTTGACCATATTTATGTTGTTGTCCAAGTTTGCCGCAAACGAGAGTTTTGTGGTCGCTTTTCTGGTTCGATAAGAACTAATTATGAAAGTTCCTCTTCGCTTTTGCCTTACACAATTTCTAGCCACAGCAGAATCAATTTGCGAGGTCAAAGCTGTTGGGTGAATTTATGCGTTTAATAGCAATGACCACCGGAAAGATAAGAGGAATGTGAGGAAGTACATTAAACTTTCAAATGAAATTGGTTAGAAAAACAAGCAACATTGAATATAATGGCTGCTCTGGAATTTCGCTAGAAGCTGACTCACTCACCCAAGTGTATAACAATGCCAATCGGCAAAGCCCACTTGACAAAATCCACAGACATTCCTTCATTTTGGCTTTTATGGAAAATGTCAAATGTCTCACAATATTAGCTTGGAAATCGGGAGAGGTTCAACAGAAATACATACCCAAAAAGGATGAATTCTCAATTAATAGAAAATTTTATAAATGTATTTTCATTTTTAAAGTTAACTATACAAAAAAAACTATAAAAAAAGTTAACTATTTAAAAGCTATTTTAAGACATAAATATGGCCAATATTTTCTTTAAGCGCACCGGAAATAGATCAGGGGATTAACTTTGCTCTTGGCATAAAATTATCAAACTGGAACTAAAACTGGAACTCAGTTTAGTAAAACTGCTTATAAACATGAGTTTCATAACTAAGGCGATTGATCCCATAAACTTAGCTATAAATTTGGGCATTGCTTAAGCATCTTTCTCATGAAATAAAATTTAAAATATATTCCATACAGAACTATTAGCCTCAAAACACTATTTTGCTTAGAAGAGAACAGAATGTGTCTAGAAAGTAACCAAATCATACTTCACAATTTGTCCATTTGCTTAGATTTCTTAAGAAATGGAAATTAAGAGTATGCAAAAAACTTTAAAGTATTAAATTCACTGAGAATACAAAACAATTTCTGAAAAAATTGCAATAATGTTTGTGTTTAAAAGAACTCTTTGGTTTACTTTAAACATTCCGCAACCAGAAGCTTTTGCGTTTCCACTCAATTACTGCGATCATTGAACCGACAATCAGAGACTCTTTCAGGCCAAAACAATAGCTGATTCTGATCGCATTAGGTTAATATCAATAGCCAAATACGATAGCGTATCGGAGCAAAGCGTTGAATAACCGCGAATTATGAGAGGCCATCGAGTTGTAACCAACTAATTGCCATACCAGAAAGCCGGTTTGCCACTCCGGGCCAAACTGAAGCTGACAAAAGCCACAACAACGAAAAGCAAAATCAATATCAGAGGTGAACACAGGTGAGTGCGTTGAAAGTGAAATTGAACTGGAGTTGGGGGAAGTGCCATTTAAAAGATGTTTCTGGGCCAAGTGCGCGGCGCCTTGTCGGCCCACCTGTACTTCAGGTCCATCAAAAAGGCCGAAACTGGCCAACAGTTGGCTACGCAGCTGAGCCATCAGAAACCCAAGCCGGGAACAGTTTTCAAACGCCTTTAAAAGCCCGAGCCGGAGCTGCAAACGGTTTAGTTCCTCGCCGCAAACAAAACTAGTCACAACAACGTGGAGCGGAAGCCAGTACCGCCAAGTGAACCAGTTAAAAGTCAGATATATAGTCTGAGGTAAAGACACTCAGCCAAAAGCGATAGCTTTTAACTCTATAAAGTTGCTATTAAATAGTAAATCAAGTTTGATGTACTTTATAGTACTTTTTCTTAAAGAAAACATAAAGTGTCTGAGATAATAAACATATTTTGGTGATTTATTAATACAAACTTTTACAAGAAAGTGACAAATATTAAGTAATAATACCTTATCCTTATAGTTAAAACTATCTATATTACATATTCCCTTATTCTGTTTGAATATCGTAAATACTTACCATTATTTTTCTCTGCAGAAATACAGAGAGAAAGAGAAGAGAGAGAGCTCCATGCCCAGAAAGCTTTTGGAGACAGGAGCAAGTTTTTCAGAGCCAAAGTGAACGTAGCTTTTGGCACGTTGAAACCACACTCGATTGATTCATTGCCATCGAGCCACTGAACCGCCTCGCATTCCGCGAATACCAAAAAGACAATTAAAAGACCGCCGAAAATGTTGCGAACCTTTGCCATTCTGCTGCTGATTGCAGTGGCTATTAATGCTAGAGCTGCACCACAGAAATCCACAGAGGGAGATAATGAAGCTACCGAGACGGTGCCGGAGGAGTCTACCTATATATCTGTAGAAGATGGAACGATCACGGTGGATGTCGATTCAGATTTGATTCTGACCACGAGCCCTGAGGGCGAGACGTTTACTGAGGCAGGTCCCGTGGTTCTGACGGAAGAACCACTTCCGGATTCTGTGGTGCAGCAGTTGGAAATGGAACGAGCTCAGGAGGAGCAGCTGAAGAATCCCGAAAAACCGGAATCGGAAGTGGAGTCGGAGTCAGAGGAGCTAGACGTAACGACTACGGAGCAACCAAATCCAAATAATACAGAAAGCACCACCAAAAAGATCTTCAAATTCGGAGCAACCACCCTTCCTCCGTATTTCATCACAACTACTGGTAGTCCAAAAATTATCACCACCATTTCACCACAAGTAGAAGTAACAAATCCATCCTCCGAGACTGAGGAAACTACCGAGTATCAGGAGGTTAAGACCATGAAGAACTACTTCGAACGGAAGCCAGCGCTAATGGGAGACATCGATCTGGACATGGCCGAGAACCGAATGGAAACCACCACGCATACACCAGCCCAGGAGCCTATTGAACTGTCCATGATTGTGACCACCGAAGCCGCGTTGGTGGAGGAGAATGTCAAGGCCAAATCTGAAACTGATCAGGCGGAACTGGTGGAAACCACTGTGGTACCTCTCTACCAATATTTTAACAAAGCAGCAAGAATTGTGACAGAATCCCAAGATTACTTTACTACGGTGGTGCCGAGAATCAAAGAAGAAGAGGTCGCAACAGAGCCAGCGACAGAGGAAACTACAGGTGGGTCACCAGAAAACTTATAGATTTTTAACTTTTCATTAATCTACTTTATTTGGCATCGATTGATTAACTTTATAAATCGTTTCTTTCAGAGTTGCCAAGGGTTTCATCCACCCCAATACCTGAAACCACTACGGAGGCTGAGTTAACCACTACTCCAGCGCCTACCACAACCACCACCACAACCACTGAGACTGCTTTGGTCATCACTAAAGTGGAAACACTGCTAAATGTCCAGCCAGAGACGACCACCAGTGCTCCAGAAACCACAACTACACGTGCTCCGGAGACGACAACTACGAGTGCTCCAGAAACCACAATTCCCAGTGCTCCAGAAACTACAACTTCCAGCGCTCCGGAGACAACAACTACCCATGCTCCGGAGACGACGACCACAAGTGCTCCAGAGATAACAACCACCACTTTCTCAGTTCCAGAAAGCACCACAACTGCTTCAACAACAACAAGTACCAGTAGCACCACCAGTGCTCCAACCACAACAACCACCACAACCACTACAGAACGACCCATTCAGACGCGTGCTCCCCGGGTAGAGCGAATCTTCAACTCGGACGGAGTAGAGGTGCTCTATGGATATTCGTCGGTGGTCCGGACCAACCGTTCGTGATCGGTTTGCACCACCGAGAACACGACCTTGTCAAGGTCGAACCACTTGCCATAATGCGGAGACGGGGAGACAAAGAGCGATTGAATGATGATCGGTTTGTTTTAGGCAATTTTCAATTCTAAACGAGTTATAAACAAAAATATTTAAATATCATTCGACGGACCCCAGCACAGTGTGATAAACCAAAAAAAAAAAGAGAAACTGTTAAAGAAGATATCGATACAGATACAAAATCCGTAAAGACATCGAACAAAACAAATATATTATTGTGCAAAAATTGTGTACGATCTGCCAAATGACAAAAATGAAGAGAAAAGCTTGGAGTTAAACGATTTTATAAATTATAAATAAAACATGAACACCCATCATCCGTTTCGCGTTTACTCTTTGGCGATTGCAAACAGAGTTAGTAGGTTTTTTAAACATTGTTAATCCAAAGATCGCTCTCTGTGACATAATATTACATGAACGATATGGGATTGGCAAAGGTGAGCTAAGGGGTACCCTTATATAAAATAATACCACAAAAGTTTGGTTCTGGTATAGTAAATATGCAGATACTATCAACGTTGGAATATTTTTTTTATAAAAAAAAGGGTAGTTCCCAAACTTCTTTCCACTCTGATCTATAAAAAATAATTCATTTAGTGGATCGTTAAAGCAGCACACCCAAGAAATCAAGCTAACCACAAGCGCAGACATTCAGCAGCCCACAAACTGATCGCTGCCCACCTGCGTTCAAAATACAAAAAAAAAACCGGCAATCGCCTCAAGAGTTGTCGTCATACATTTTTGGGCTTTTATGTTCCGGCATGGAGGCAGACAGTCCGACGGACGGGCACATGGGACCAGCCAGGCTGACTTGTTTGGTCTGGTCAGGTCCAGAGAGGCTTCGGTCGCCTGGCAGATTATTCATTAGGGGCACAGGGCCTTTTTTCGGGACGGTTTTGCAATGAGTATCACGTTTGAAGTGGCTCACTCTCGTTGGAATTTGAAAGCATTCGGCTATTAAACAAACACCAGCCGCTAATTTCCATTTGAACTTGAGAGGCAGGCGCTAAACTGCATGTTGAATGTGAATCGAATGAATGCGGATCGAAGGTTTTGGCGATACGGGTTTTTTTTTTCGGTTGGTCAGCTTGGCTTTATTGATTTAACCAGCTGACTAACTGGGCTCTAGGCCAGGGGATGTACATTACCAACCAGTTAGTCATAGTAACGGGAAAAGCCAGTGAAAATAGAAGACTTTTTGGGATATGATATTAGTTAGATAATGTCTTAAAGCAGACTTAGAGATGCTTTCTACTAGTCCTTATTTAGTTGAGTTTGAAGAGCACTGATAAATCAGATTCAATAAACTAAGCCAATATTAACTTATATTGCCAAACAACTTTTAGGTAAATAAATTAACCAAAGTAATAGTTTATTTCTAAAAGCTCTTTTTTTGACCTGTTAATAATTGTTTCAATCACAGCCAGAAACTATGCTACTATTTTTTTAAAATTAAATCAAAATCGTTTTGAAAATTTCGGTTGACTTCACCCACTTAAAATATATTTTAAAATAAAGTTCTTAAGCTTAAGACAAATAATGAAAAGGGATGTCCCCGTAGACTCATAAATAAATTAAACCGGTCTCATTCTCAAAAATATGAATTTTGTTTGTTTTACCAATTTGCATAGAAAACGAAAATTACTGGAAGCCAGCCAAAACCATCTGCTTAAACAAGTTTCAAAGGCGTTGTTTCAAAAACATATGAATTAAAAGTAATTGGTAAATAACTGTATTGATAGCAATTAAAAATATAATTTAAATTTAGCCATTGTTTTTGCCATAAATAAAACTAAGAACTGGTTCAAGTCTCGATCTCTAACTAGATGTGAGTATAAAAGAGTCACTCAGCCTCTCAGATGGCACAACAAACATCCATAATGAAGTTCTTGGCACTCTGCGCTTTTCTTATCCTTGCTGTGGTGGCAGTCCATGCCAGGCCCGGTCCCGGCAGAGGATTTGGAGGTGGATTTGGAGGACCTGGATTCGGTGGACCCGGTAGCTACGGACCAGGCTTCGGACCTGGCTTCGGAGGTGGAAGCGCTACTGCCACAGCCAATGCCGTGGCTAATGCAAACGCAGGAGGATACGGTGGTCGCGGTGGATTTTACTAAGAAGTGATGATAAGCATTGAGAACCATAAATTGATCGACTTGTCTTCCAATAAAATATAGATGTTTGAAACACAACACATTGCTTTTCTTTTTGTTATTGTTAGATTTATAATTATATTGATCCACATGGTGCTACAGCGTAGTACTTTATTTTATTAACTTTTAAGCTCACGTCTTATCCTGGCTGGACCAAATTAAAATAAATTGTAACTTAACTTATATTACTTACTTTTACTTATAACTTTAACTAATCAAATTTGACTAAAGCTATAAAAAACAAAAAATGCTCAACAGTCAACTCATATACTAGTTTCTCATTCAGATTTTTAGATTTTAGATTTTTAATAGAGAGAGGATTATAAGTAAATATATTTTGAAAAATTAATAATAGACGAAAAGTTTAATTCTGTATGAAACCATGAATTTAGATTGTTAGACTGTTGACATCGTCGATGACATTCGTCAATTTTTGTTATATTTAATGTATTTTTTATAAATCGTTTTAAGAGGTATAAAATTTGATATATATTATTTACCTATGACACGAATCTAATAAAGTAAAAAGACGTCCGTTGACATTTCAATTAATTTTTTTACAGAGAAAATCGTTAGCGAATTCTTAAAGCCAGCTCCAAAGTCTTTCTATTGATAAAGCTTTCTATGCAGCCTAAAAATATACTTTACTTCTTTATATAATCTAAGACTTCCCAAACGTAACCTGTTTTCAATTATTGATGCTATAGTATATTGCCGTTAAATAATATAAAACGTCATGGGATTTTAATATATGTCTAATTAGTGTGCTAAACGGAACCCCCCATACATATATACAAATATAATAGCAATAAGCATATTTCCATTTTAATTTTGTCAGTGATTTTTTATTTTTTATTAAACAAGTCCACCTGTTGCAGATGTTGGTATAAAAAGAGCCGGCACACGCTCATAGCACATTGCAAGCTCTGACAATGAAGTTCCTGGCTATTTGCATTTTTCTAATCTTCGCCCTGGTGGCGGTCCAGGCTGTTCCTGTTGCTAATCCTGGTGGTGCCACTGCAACGGCAAACGCCAATGCCGAGGCCAACAGCTATGGAGGCGGCCCGGCTAGCGCCTCTGCCTCAGCAAGTGCTGTCGCCAACTCATCAGGCGGCGGTGGCCAAGGTGGTCATGGAGGACGTGGTCGACATGGAGGATAAAGATAAATCAAATCATAACTGGACTTTGAAAAAGAAGGCACGTCCACGGACAGGCCTCCTAGGGTGAAGCGATATCCATACCAAGTTAAATAATAAAATTATAGATATTTTTTTCGAAAATCAAGTCTGTTGTTTTTAGTTTTTGTTTTGGAGCGATAACCAGTTTATACTAATAATTTAGGCATAATAAAAAGATCTAATGACGTCAATGGATTTATCTCAGGCATCCTAAAAGATGTCTACACTTTTAAAGGCGAATAGATTTGCCACCTATAAACGTGTTCGTTTCGACTTTTTTGTTTTTTTTAATTGATTAGCATAAGCTAAGCCAAATTCAGTTCAACAAGTTCAACATAACAATAGGATTTTCGCACAAAACGTTTTAGAAAGTCTTTCAAACTTAACTTGTGACCCGTTAAACATATTATTAAAAATGTGTATTAAATTTAAAATAAAAATGGGATTGATTAATATAATATCAATTCCAGGAACATACTAAATACATACATACATATGTAGATACCGAAATACGATGAACGACGAGATATGAATAACAGCTAACGACGAGATCACCAGATGGCGAATAAAGTGAGAAATCGACGGCGAAGATCAAGATGACGACGAGTGACCATCTGGCGAAAAAAGTGGAAACCAAGGAGTAGATTAAAGCAAAGACGAGAATATCAGCGAAAGAAGTAGAAAACGACGAGAGAAGCAACGAGGACACGAAAAACGAAGGAGAGTATTTGAGTAGATCTGACGAAAGGAAAACGTGCTCCAGCGGAACAAAAACGACGTGACGACGATCGGATAGAATCTAATTTTAACATTGCATTAAAAAATATAATATAAATTTGAACGTAAATAAAAACCCTAAATATTGTTAAATACATTTTCTTTCTGTCTTATTTTCTGACAATAATTTTACCAAAAAAATTAATTGTAAGAGCTGATGTCTAGTAAATTCTTGTGAATAATCTAATCTTGTGGTGGATTTTTTGCCATTTCTGTGAGCTTTAAGATTTGCTGGTCATTCTTATATAGGCGGTTAAAAATCTGTCTAAATGAATAATCCTTATAATATTAAATGTAAATCTTTTTGACTGGTAATCTGAAGAGCATCTCAACGAGCCCCTAAAAGCTTTCTACACTTTGCGGTTATCAAACAACGTACTTCACAGCTTCATATTTGCTTTAATTTCTACGGTAGCCAAAAAAGAAAACCAGTTTTCTATAATTTACGGATTTGATGTGCCCAAATCATTTGCATACTATTTGCATGATTAATTCGCACTGAACAAAACACAAAACATCTGCTTAAACATAACAATAAAGTTTTTACATTATCGGTTCTTTTGCCCTAGAAAGTGGAACAAATGAAACCGTTTGAAAAAAAAAAACACAAATTATAAGATTTGTATATTAGGTTATTTTTTAATCATCATAGTAATCTTTAATCGTTAAGTTAAGTTAAATTTTTACCAATTCTAAGACTGCATTTATATGCTATTGAAGAAGACTTTTTTACCAACAATTTTTGTGATGCTAAGACAAGAGAATTCAAATTAAATTCATTAGAAACGGTTTGACAGGTTCAGCCTAAAAAGATTCTAGAAAATAAAAGGTGCATTTACAATCCCATCAAAAATATAGAACTAATGGATCACGAACTTAAGACGTGACCAATATTCCACCGACCGGTTAATTTTCGGCTGAAGTCTGTTTGCTGAGTGTTTTATTATTATCGATAAAAAATTTAAAGTTTTTTATTTGATCAGTGCAGCAAATTAACACTTTTTTTATAATTAGTATAATGACAGTGTCCAACCAATATTTAATTATGAAAATATAAACTAGAAGACTTCATTAAAAATTCTTGGCTTTAAGTCATACAAACCTAAAACAAAGACTCGTTTTGTTGATAAATTAACGGAAATTTTGTGTACTTAATATTTGACTTTAACGATTTGTGTAAAGAACTTTTCGATGTTTTTTTCTTGTTTTCTATTCTATAAGTTTTTCTATTTCAAATAAACTATTAGTTTTTAGTGTTTTTTTTTTTTTAATTAGTTTTATATTTTTATAAATTTAAAAAATTATTCAGAAATTCTGATAGAGAAAGACTCTTATTTGCCGAAGGAATTAGCGTTAGCATTGGCATTGGCATCGGCATTGGCGTTTCCACCTCCGAAACCATTGCCGTTGGCGACGGCGTTGGCGTCAGCGTTAGCTTGGGAATTGCCCCCAAATCCGCCTTGGTTTCCGTATCCTCCTTCTCCTCCGAATCCTCCGAATCCTCCCGGTCCTCCAGGTCCCCTCTGGCCAGGTTCACTGAACCCACCAGGTCCACCGAATCCACCAGGTCCGCCAGGTCCACCAAATCCACCAGGTCCACCGAATCCACCAGGTCCGCCAGGTCCACCAAATCCACCAGGTCCACCGAATCCACCAGGTCCACCAGGGCCACCGAATCCACCAGGTCCACCGAATCCACCAGGTCCACCGAATCCACCAGGTCCTTGTTGTCGTTGGAAACCTCCCTGACCGCCAGGACCTCCGAAACCACCTCCGTATCCGCCTTCGCCTTCGGATTGAGCATTGGCGTTGGCATTAGCGTTGGCATTGCCACCGCCGAACTGTGGAGCGGCGGCTGATACGGCCAGAATAACGGCGAGAACAACGAAGACCTTCATGGTGACCTGCTTGATCGGAGTGACTGAACAAACTTAATAGCCACAGCTGCAGGGCACAGTTTTTATAGGCAGACAATCGGTAGACGCCAAAAGAACAAACAATAGTCACTGCCGAAAAATAATCTTCGTTCTTGAGGGATCCAGGCAAAGCCCTAGAGCGAGACAGATAACCTCTACTACTAGCTCTGGTCGCGAGCGGACGTCACTTATCTCAAAACAGCGATTTCCTCAATCGGTCACATTACTTACTGGACCCGCATGGTTCTTATCTTTCATACATTTTCACCGAGTGTTTTTCTTTTGTCTTCTAACCACTGTCAATAAAACAAATAACGAATAATCACTATAGAAGTCCCATCATTCGCCCAGGGCCTCCAATCTTGGTCGACTACAACCCACCATCGAAAAAAGAAGACAACGCGAAAAACTAGATATTTCATTCCCTGAACTTCAACCAACCTAAAATCATAAAATATTATTAAAAATATACTACAATCGCCTTCATTAATACCGAAAAGATACTGTGTACACTGTGCCCTAAAAATGATCTCTAAAAATATTATGTCAATCTCGAGCCTCAGAGACGAAAAGCATCAAGCCGATGCCTGAAAAGTTTATAAAGACTACCTAGCTCACCGGTATATCCAAAGTACAGTGTAAGATTCACGAAGTCCTCAATTTTGGAAAACCGACAGTTTATGCCACGTATCTCTGTTAAATTCCCGAGTAATAAATCGTCGATTAACTCAAATCTTAAAGGTTACGGAAGTCTAAAAATTTAGGAAGTTTTACGATAGTGTGTCCAAACCCAGCAGAGTCATTCTAAAAATAACCTTCGGACTCTTTAATCTCTTAACTAAAAACGAACTTTTTTGACACTCGGTTAAAGTTTGTGAATACATTCCAAGTCCCATAAGACACAAGTATTGCCAATTGCTCCGTCAGACAACCAGAAAATGCAGGAACACCACGCTGTGCTCCAATTGTGCCCAACCCCAACCTACTTCCCTGTTTAAAAAAGACCCGTAGAAAATGTTAGACAAAAGGCAAGTGTGGTTTATTACAAAACATAAACTTGTCAGCCCCCACCAAAATGCTTTTCAGCAACACCATAGCACTATAGACTCTTTTCTGCATGTCCATCATTATGCATCTGATGTAATTTCTTCCAAAAATGTGGTTCTAATTTTGGCAAAGCAAAAGCCCTTTACGTGGGGGTTCATACAATATTGAATAAACTTACCCAGTGGCGGGTAGGTCAAAAGACCTTCAACTTAGCGAAGGCTTTCATGTCACACGTCCTATCCGAGTAACAGTTAACAAAACTATTTAAATTCTATACTCTTCACACGGCATACCACAAGGATCACCCCTGACTGTGGTATGGTTCACCTTACAGTCCTTACATAACAAAATATTAAGACATAAGCCTATTAAACTATTAATTTATGCAGACCATGCCATTATTTTTAGAAAATGTAAGAATAGTTCTACTATGTTGAATCAACACTAAATGAATTTAAAGAAATCCCTAATTAAATCCATATCCGGGAAAATTGGTCCAGCGCGGACCTTGCTGTAGATGAATGTAAGTTCTGTTTTACTATTCCAAGAAAATGATAATAGATATCCACCTGTTTCCAAAACGCTGTGCTCAACATTTCCTAGTTTTTTTATGTTTTTTTCTTTCGTATTTTATACGTTTTTTTTTATTCCAAGTAAACTATTAGTTCATAGGATTTTTTATTTTTTTATAAATATTAAAAAACTATTCGGATAAGGAAACCATCTTATTTGCCGACGGCACTGGCAACGGCATTGGCATTGGCATTGGCACTACCACCGCGGGAACTGGCGTTGGCGTTGGCGTTGGCATTGGCATTGCCGCCTCCAAACAGGACCAAAACCATTGCCTTCGGCGTTAGCGTTAGCGTTAGCGTTAGCGTTAGAGTTACCTCCCCCAAATCCGCCTGGGCCTCTTTGGCCTTCGAATCCGCCTGGGCCTCCGAATCCTCCTGGGCCTCCGAATCCTCCTTGACCTCCTTGGCCTCCGAATCCTCCTTGGCCTCCGAATCCTCCTTGACCTCCTTGGCCTCCGAATCCTCCTTGACCTCCGAATCCTCCCGGTCCTCCAGGACCACCGAAACCACCTCCGAATCCGCCTTGGCCTTCGGATTGAGCATTGGCTTTGGCATTAGCGTTGGCATTGCCACCGAACTGTGGAGCAGCGGCTGATACGGCCAGGATAACGGCGAGAACAACGAAGACCTTCATGATGATCTGCTTGATCGGAGTGACTGAACAAACTTAATAGCCACAGCCGCAGGGCACAGCTTTTATAGCGGCCAGACGATCGGCAGACGCCGAAAAAAAAAAAAACAAATTAACATGCAAACGATAGTCACTGCCGAAAAATAAGCTTGGTTGATCTGGGATCTAGGCAGGGCCAAGAGCGGGACAGATAGCACCCGAACGAGTCAGATAGAGGCTATGATTAAATGCAATGGTTTGAGGAAAGTTTGCAAATGTCTTTAGACCAACACGAGTCGTGTTCGTGGTGATTTCCTATGGAACCGGTTTGCTGCTATCAATATTTAAACGGTTATTAATATTTGTGTTTATATTTCATTAAGCCGAATTTTTCTTTATTTTCGGCACTGTCACTGATTTGCTCTCAGACGTTAAGCCAAACGATGCGAGGGCAGTTAATTATTATAGAACTTGACTGGGTACTTAACTATTTCCCATCAACATCAGTACGAATGTTTGATTTTAAAATAAAAGTTAACCAAGGTAGAATCATTATTAAAGAAACGCTGTTCCGGGATTGGAAATCGCCCAAGATATTGTTGTCATAATTGTAGGTTGTGGTTCCATCAGTTCCAATAAAGTAAAATATTAAAGAGAGTCAATTTGATAGCCTTCTATTTATTACACATAAATTTATATTTTTTTTTCGAATTTTTCTTCTTTTATTTATCAATTACATGAAATTGAGGTATGAAATTTGATTTCTACGATATTTTCTGATATGTATTATAACACATTCATTATCTAAGTAAGACACATAACACATCTTCCATGTCTCAGTTAGTAAATAAATTTTATGAAAATGTCTCAAAAAGTCAAACAACACATGGCTTTAGTTAGCACTTCTTTAAACGCTTCCTTATGCTGTGCTATCAATTAAAATTTATTCATTTTTTTGAACCAAATTCATATTTATTTTCCTGTAACTTACCGGTAACTCACCGCACAAGCCCCTATAAAATTAACATAATTTTTAGCGATATACCCATGTTTGTTTTCAACAAAATTTACATTTGAAATTCAAATTAATTGGGCAGCGAACTAGCGAAATAAAAATGATAATTTAAGGTGCGGACGTGCGAAGAGTCGAATCCAATCGATAAAGTCGGCCAGAGTTGTTATCAAATCGTGAGAGCTGACAAAAGCTGAATGATATATGCCTAAGAGTTAGTAAGTTAACCGATGGTTAATATTTGCTAGATTTTTCATACATTTGAATATGTTTTTACATTTTTATTTTCGGGGAAAAGAGTAATTACTTTTTATATAAAAAAAATGTATAATAGTTAATAAATATTAAATTATTCTTGATTAATATTTTAAATTATATATTTATTAATTATTTAATTTGTTTATATAAAAATTTCTAAGAAATAATAATCGAATTTAGTCTTTAGGTTTCTTGGGCTGCATAAAGTAATATTAGCTATATAGTAGAAAGTTCTCAGTCATTTTTATATTAATATTATTTTCCTCTCAAAGAGTTTTTATGTTCTCTATTTTTCTGAAGATATGTGATATAGTCATGCTATCTGTCATCATATATTAAGCCAAAAGACAAACGTTTGACTAGACTATTTAATCTAATCATAAATATAATAAATACTATATAAAAACCTTACCGAACCTTTCCCTAAAATATAAATAGGAACCTTTTAAATAACAAATTTATTTTTGTTTTCTTTCCTAAAACTTCCTAATATTTGCCGTTCAATAATTCTAAAAACATAATAAAATAAAATCTTAAGTGTTTTGTCTTTAATTTATTATTGATTTATTCACAGTCATTTCTTAACGCTTAATTCAAAGTATTCTTTTGGCCTGGCTTAGCCGCGGAATGAGTTGGCACCGCCCGCCGAAGCTGATGAAGAGGAAGAAGCCGATGCTGAGCCGCCGCCTCCACGTCCGCCGCCACCAGCTGAAGCAGAAGAAGAAGCTGAGGCAGAAGCCGAGCCGCCGCCGCCGCCACCGCCGAAACCTGGACGGCCTCCACCTCCAAATCCACCTCCAGGGCGACCTCCAAAGCCGCCACCGCCAAATCCAGGACCACCTCCAAAGCCGCCACCGCCAAATCCAGGACCACCTCCTAAAGCCGCCACCGCCAAATCCAGGACGACCTCCAAAGCCGCCACCGCCAAAACCAGGACCACCTCCAAAGCCGCCACCGCCAAAACCAGGACCACCTCCAAATCCGCCAGGACGACCTCCCGCCAAATCCGCCGCCTTGAGCATTAGCATTGGCATTGGCATTAGCGTTGGCATTACCACCGCCAAATTGTGGCAGGGCCGATGCCGCAGCCACCAAAACGGAAATTGCAATAAACAGTTTCATGTTGAGCTGTTGCCTCCTCGAAAGTGATCCACAAACTTGGCCAATGCACCGCTGGTCCCGGCTTTTATTCAGTTCCACGTCGGGAAAGAGATTCGATTATCTCTCGGTGATTCACACTGAAGAGTACTCTCCAAAGCAATCCAAACAGCAGAGCAGCACCGACAACAACAGCAAAAACAGAACGAATTATCAATATTTATAGCTCAACTCATTAGCAGGTTCGAGGCGTACGATCGCCGGACCCTACAATCAATAGACCCGGCCTGTTCGATCTGCAGCCGGTTAATCCCAAACTGGAGAGCACCTCAGACGTGCCCCCTTCATCTATTAGTCGTCCATTGGTTAGATAGCATGACGGTGGATATTGGACTCGTGATGTCATAGTAATCGAGTAGTTTCAAATGGTGATAAACAAAGATTTAAGTTCCCTTGGGGTTATTTCTGGAGATTTAGTCTTTAAAAATGTTGGATTTTAAAAAGATATAATATTTTATCTGATATTTTATAATTAATATAAAAAGAGTATTTAAATTAAAAATTATATCATAAGATAAGTCAGTACCTTACAAGCCCATGGAACTGGTTCCTTTCAGGCATCTCTATTTAGCTAATAATTAGAAATTTCTCCATTGTTGCAAAAGCAGATGACTGATTTTACTGTCCGAAATAATTTATGCTAAAACTTTGTTGTTGCTTTTAGCCAGCTGTTCAGCTTTTAAACTGTTTTTTGCGATTCGCAGTTTTTTATTTGTTTGTTTATTTAAGCTGCCATAAAAGCCGAATATAATTGATAACTTTATAAAACTGGTATTTGTTCAAATTCAAAATGTTAATTATTCTAATCAATATCAGAGAGAGAAAAACAAAATCCCCAAAAAAAATTTGAAATTCAAATAATTTCAGTTTATTATATTTTGTTTGTTTACTTTGGGAAGCTTCGGGAAAGAAAAAAATATCTCTTAAGAGTGGTAAGACCTAAGGGGAGTCCCAATTGAAAGTGTGCCAAGTAATGTTATTAGTGATTTACTAGGGCAAATGAATACGTAATAGGGCAGCTCAAAAGTCTCCTTCATCCCAAAGCCTGCATCATCAAAAATGTTAGTTATATATGTGCAACTATTTTTATTATTTGTCCAGACTTATATGCATAAATTAACGGCAATTTTATGCAGATTAACCCGCATCGGAAGCGAAAATAAGCTATTTTAAGCGGTAATATTGTCAAAGCATCTGTTTCAGGTTGGAACCTCAATAAGTGAATCATAATAATGTATAAGCTAAAATATAATAAAAATTAAGAAATTTGAGCGTAATATTATATTTTTGTTTTTGAGTTAACAGAACTAAACTAGCACTTTAGTGTAAAACTTTTTGTAAATATTATTATTTGATCCGAAATCCTATTATTCTACATTATTTATATATTTAATTTATTTTTGGCATTATGATGCAGATGTGGCTCTATACCTAACCTATTAATTAGAAAATCAATAATTGCAATTATATTACAAATTGTATTTAATTTTACTCTTATTAATTTCCCTTGATTTATAATTTATTTTATAATAATATTTGGTAAACTACCCAACTTAATTTTGTAGCACATCATTCTTTCTATCAAATAAAATAGTTTAAAATATAATTGGTTTTTAAATTTTTATTTATTTCAGACTTTTTTCAAACATTTATATTAACTTAAACTCTAGATCACTCTCATTCTGCTTATCCGTAGAAGCCACCGCCACCGCCAGCGGCCGAGGCGGACGCAGAGGATGAGGCTGAGGCAGCACCGCCACCTGCTGCAGAGGCAGAAGATGATGAAGAAGCTGAGGCAGCACCACCGCCACCACCGCGACCGCCATGATGACGTCTGCCACCACCTCCAAATCCACCGCCGTAGGGACCACCGCCAAATCCACCATAGGGATTACCACCGAATCCACCATAAGGATTACCGCCATAAGGACCACCAAAGCCGCCACCACCAAATCCGGGTCTTCCAAATCCTGGTCCTCCAAATCCGGGTCCTCCAAATCCGGGTCCTCCAAATCCGGGTCCTCCATATCCAGGACCTCCAAATCCGGGACCTCCGAATCCAAACTGTGGCAGAGCCGAAGCGGCGGCCACCAACAGGGCGAGAACGATCAGGGTCTTCATTTTCAAATTTCTACTTTGAGGTCGTTGGATAATTTCTGTGCGATCGCTGGTTTGTCTGGGCTGGAACTGACGGACTCTCAGCAGAGGCGCTATAGTATTTATACAGCCTGCATTGTTCAGAAAAGCCGTCACATACCGGCGAGTCAAATTTCGTGGCGAGATGGCTGTGATAAATGATTTCAGCAGTTGGGCCGATCACCTACCGGTTTTCTTTTTATTTTATTCCATTTGCTCTCAAATCTAATTACACCAGCTAACAAAAATATCATTTTTGATTAGGAAATATAATTATAATAAAGATATACCAGTTATTTTTGTTTTTTAAGGTCTATAAGTTTAAGGTTGGGATTATTATATTCCAAATATTCGAATGTCACTTTAAAAAACTGCATAGAAATTATTGCAGATTAATCATGCAATAAAATTTAAGAAAAAACCTAAACAACCATTCTTTTATTTAGCTTTCAAGTAACATTTTTAAATAAAATAATCATTAAATCTTTAAGTTAACATAATTAACAAGAGCTATAAGCTTAAAAAGAAATACTTGCAGTTTGAAGCTCAGTGTTAACTGGCGATGTCATGACTTTGTTTGCCGGGTGATTCCCATACACGTTCCTTTTTGAAAACGCATAATTATCGACCCACGCCCATTGGGTGACCCAGGTGCCAATGCTTGGTGGCACACAACCAGCTTGTTTACAAACCCAATCAATACTCAACTCTTCCTGATCTGCGTAGTTCCCCACCGAGATCAAAAGTACTCTTCTTCTAATGCCGATCATCTGACAAGTTCATCTTGAAGAGTTTATTCCCCTCTATCTTGTTTTGTTTGTCTGAAAGCGGTTTCGATGGCGATGTTGCCAAAAACAACAATCGTTTGCAGTGGGCCAGTTGGAGGTGGTGAGATCACTGACAGATCGCCGGTGGCTATCGGATATTTCTTTAGGTTTCGCGGCCAATCTGCGCGAGAGATGGCACAGTCAGCGGCAGAAAGTCTGCAGTTAACGAAGTACTTCGTTTTTTAAAAAGGAACGAAAAAATAAAACTAATTTATGATAAAAATATAAATAAATTAAGTGAAAATACATTTAAAATATTCAATAAAGTAAATACAATCAATGAAAAACCAACCCAAAAATACCAATTTAAATACACTTAAATAGTTTAATCACATTTTGCCTTACCAGACTATATCGGTCAGCAGCTGCGATCAGTTTCACTAATGCAAATAAATCTGGCATGATATTACTTACCTAGGCAATGAGTAAGAAATAGTCTCAGAGCGAAATCTGTCATTCATGACTACTTTCAGTTTATGATCTCTTGGCAATATGATATGTTTACACCGATCATTAGATGGGAAAAAAATCACACGTTTTAATGAGACAGCACACGATAGCAATCGCAAAATCCCCATAATTCAGGCTCTTAGAGATCTGAGTCTTAACAGTCCATAACAATAAAATCGCCCATGCGCAGCGAACAAGATTTCGGGGGGTTGTTAATTAATAAAACAACAAACAAACACAAATATCATTTCTTTTTAGAATATGAATACGAGCCGGCAAAACCTGTTTCAGTGTCGTCATAGCAAACTTTGAGCTACCTCAGTTAGTAGGGGAGATCGGTGACGATTAACGACTCATATCTCTCAAGGGGTTTTCCAGGTCAGAATTTGTGAAAATCTAATTAGCGTGGTAGTTAGAACCCGGTGATTTTTGGAGGCCAGCTTAGTCAGTGGCAAATCCTTATAGAAAACTAAGTTTATTTTTAAGATAAACTACTGATATATATAAGCATTAATTTGCCGGCGATTTGAATATTGTTTTCGTTGTGGGATTATGCAAAAACGTCCGTAACATAATCGCCTAATGAAACCGGTCGAAACCGGGGATCTTTTATTTATATATTTTTTTCTATTTTTTTGCCACTTTTGTGAAGAGGCTTTTTTTTTTGATAATTTATATAAGCCTGAACTTTGGACATTATATGATTTTTCCCGAACTTCCCTGATTTCATTGTGCTACATGATTTATAGCCATAAATTGGCGCAGTATCAAAAAATTGGGCAAAACAATAGTTTTGAACTATCTTGGCTGTCAAAGTTGGCCATTCAAATGAATGACTTCCGAATGATAGACATTGCGATGGGTAAATAACCGGAGCACTTTAATAATGAACTGCGAATGCAAATATTTGTATATTAAAATCAATCAAATTGAAATAATTTGAGCCTGGCCAAAATGTATATTATCACATTAGCCAGCGGGCAGGGACGTGGCCAGAATCATTTTCCATGGCGATATGAAATATTATTAAAATGCCAACTAATGAACGTCATGTTAATTATGTAAACACACACAAGCGAACGAGAGCAATCAGTGGGCTCTCTCTGTAATATTTTCGCATTTTAGCCAGGCGTTTATTGTTATTGGCGTTTTTCCATAGTTTTTCCACTTCACTCCGCAAATTGAATTACCCGCTTCCAGGCAGTGCAACAAACTTTTCAATTATGCGGCCAGCGGGCTAATGAACAAAGCGATCTGACCAGAAAACCATTTGGCGACCGTCCCGATATGGATATGACCACACCACACATAGTTCGATATGCAATCTGAATTATTTAATTTTAATTAAATGCTTTAGCTAGGCAACGGGCAAGTCCAAATATTTATTGCCTATTTTCAGGCCATAAAGTGGTGGGAGTTTGGTTTTTGGTAAATGAAACGGAATGCTGCCTATTTTGAGGCACCACCACCTGAGATGAGCCTGAGTTCAGCATAATATGCATTGGGGGCAGCACATTGATATTGATAAACATTTCACATTTATTTTATTGCTCAACATAAATTGTAGCAAACAAAGGGCGCCCGCCCGGCCATATTGTCATTCCTACAAAGGGCCAACAACTGTTGCAGCAGCAGCGATATTCTGTCTCTGTGGCAAACCGCCAACAGACTGTTGGTCCCACTTCCGCTCTTCCGCTTTTATGTTGCAAAACTGCACCACAGGGGTTCATCGTCCTTGTGCAAATTGGTCTCGGAGTTTATTGCTGTGTCCGGACTTGGAACTGCAGACTACGGACTACCGACTCAACCGACTTCAAACTCTGGACCAGATGCTGCTCCACTGGCAATAAAAGTGCACTTTCAGCCTGAGTCTGAAGCCAAAGCTGTGGCAAAAGGCAAAGGGAGAGCTTGCTTAAGATTTCAATTTGTTGCCATTGTGTGCAACAATTTGCAATAGTAAAACTTTACTTAATGATAAATGTTTGTGGGGGACACATAAAATTCAAGAAGAACGCAGTCTGTCTTGGCCATTTAAGAGATTTATGTGGCCATGAGTGGCATCAATGTCTTCGGTTGGGGCTAATACAAGTCCCTGCCACGGTCCCCTCTAATAGGCCATTAATTTTGGCGGAAACTTTGCATGCCAGATTTCCCAACCTCCAAAAACAGGGGGCGAAAGTTTTCCATCGCGATATCCTAAGGGTCGACCACAGCTCTACGTGGAAATGGGTTCCATCAAGGACATCCACGTGACTTTCACACTTTTCAAGAGGGGTTAAGTTTTTATGGAAAAACTCGTAGTTTCGGTTTTTCTTTCTACTTTAAGTTTATGTTTCTTATTCTGGCTATTATGTGCCAGCCGTTTTGCTACTTTTTTTTAATAAATATTTTTTTTAGTAAATAAATAAAATAATTGTGGTGTACAAAAACTAGTCACTTTATTGAAATTGACTTAATACTTAAAGCGCATTGGGGAATTACAGGAAGATTGAACTTTGGGTAACTACGACTAGCCGTGGTAGCCACCACCACCACCGGCACTGGCACCGGCACTAGCCGAAGCAGAGGCGCTCGAAGAGGCACCACCTCCGTAGCCACCGCCACCACTGCCTCCGTAGCCACCGCCACCACTGCCTCCGTAGCCACCGCCGCCGCCTGGACCACCTCCGTAGCCACCACTACCGCCAGGTTTACCTCCGTAGCCACCGCCGCCGCCGCCTCCAAATCCGCCTCCGCCGCCGCCTCCATATCCGCCTGCACCTCCATGGCCACCGTGCTTATGCTTGTGTCCGCCACCTCCAAGTGAGGAACCTCCAAAACCTGGTCCTGGACCAAATCCAGGACCTCCTCCAATGTGTCCGCCTCCTCCTGAATGTCCTCCACCGCCAGAGTACCCACCTCCGCCGATTCCACCTCCTCCGATTCCACCTCCTCCAATTCCTCCACCACCGATTCCTCCAGAGTGTCCTCCTCCTCCAATTCCTCCACCGGGTCCAAAGCCGGGACCTCCTCCACCTCCGAAACCACCTCCTGGGCTTCCAGATCCGTGACCGCCTCCAATAGCACCAGCAGAAGATGATGCAGAGCTGCCGCCGCCGCCGAAACCGGAATCACCTCCAAATCCGCCTCCACCTCCTCCGGAATGGCCGCCTCCACCTCCACCGGAATGTCCGCCTCCAATAGGACCGCCTCCTCCGGAATGACCGCCTCCAATAGAGCCGCCTCCTCCAAAGATATCTCCACCTCCGCCGGAAATAACTCCTCCGCCAGAATGACCGCCAGCTCCACCTCCGAAGGGGCCTCCAACGGATCCGCCTCCCAGACCGCCGCTACCTCCAGAGCCGCCACCTCCGAACCCTCCTCCAGGGCCGAAACCACCAGACCCGTGTCCACCTGATCCTAGGCCACCGGATCCGTAACCTCCGCCGATTTTACCGCCTCCATCACCGCCTCCAATCCCAGCGGCTCCAGCTGTTGCAGACGCAGATGAGGAAGCAGAAGATCCGCCATAACCACCACCTCCGCCGCCACCGCCACCGCCATAACCTCCGGCGGAGGCCAAAGCCACACAAACACTTAGCACTACAAACAGACGCATCGGAACCTTTGCCTGCAGCTCACTAACTGTGCTCCCTAGAAAGATGCCGGCTTTTATAAGACGCTCGCCGTGCAAAAAGCACAAATAATAGCAAAATACTTGCAAAAATTTCGCAGAGCGCGAAAAAAAGAACAGAAACCTAGTCACGTTCTGAGTTCTGGGATCCTAGGGTCAAGTCAGGCAAAAACTCAAACAAACACTAGACAACAAAAGACTCAAATCATTGCTTTATAATAATATTCTAGAATATTTCTTCCCATGAAAGAATATTATTTCCTACTCTTATCTAAGATAATAGACCATCTCTTAATATTAATAATTAGAAAAAATAAATTTTTGTTCTGTTGCACAGTGTATTTAGCTCCCGTTGAGAACAATAACGAGTTCTAGTACTTTTTAATATTCTCGATTGTCTTCTGTTGGAAATTACATTATACCCTGAATAAAAAGGCCGAATGTTTGGAAGGCGTGTTCAACATGCGGGAGATTCATGATAGCCATCAGCAAGAATGATCGATGAATTAAATTAATGATGCCAAGTCTTATATCCATTATATCCATCCAAAATAAACAGAAAAATATATACCCAATAAAAGTTTAAATACTAAGATTTTTTAAGAGAGAAAGAGAGAGTATATAAGTCTGTTAATACTACCCAGTTTATAATCGCTAAGTCTTATGTAAACAAACTTAATCATTACTTGCTTCGGAAATAGCTGCATTGAGTCTCGCCTCGCCTAAGATTAGATTGATTTTCATTTAAATGATATTCGGAGGCGTTTGATAGTTACGACAATGACCCTTGAGGTCTACGTCACTCTAGTTTGATAGTGTAAAATAGAAACGTAACAAACAGTTCAGTTATTAATTATATAAAAATTATAAACATTTTCAAGGGACATTGTAGAGATTATTTACCAAAACGATCAAGTTCATTTTAATCTTAGTTTATAGCCGTCGAAAATGAAGACAAACTTTTAAAGGTTTGATTATTTTAAGATCAGTCCCACTTCAAACATTTTTAATTTGTATTTTCTTTACTTAAAAAAGAAAAAAGATTTTGCATTAATGCTTTAGACTTTAAACTGTATAATATTATATTAACAATGGTTAGCAAATCCCTCAAGCATTTCCGCTTCCACTTATATTTGTGCTGCATATTAAACGTTTGATGTTAATTTATTTTATTTGTGATTATATTTATAGTATAAATTGTTGCAAACATGTCTTAATGACAGCTCTCAATCTAAAGTTTTAGATAAAATCTCTTGTGGCATATAGCTAATTTTAATGTATAGGAAGATTTGGGTTTTAAAACTGCTATTAAAAAATATTAATATTTCACAATTTTCTTCGAGCATAAACTTAACAATTTCGTAAACTGCAAAACTTCTTCTCAATATTTGACATATTAACAATGACATGAGAAATCTCAGTCAAAATTATCGATAGTTCAAAAAGCAAACTTTACATGGGCCACCCTGTATTTAACATTATCTTTACTGGACTTTTATATCTTTAAAAACAAACTTTAATTTACAATACTAAGGAATACTTCGAAGAATATGTTTAACCAAGGAAAAGACCTGCGCCTCGGTTAATGGAGCCACCAATGTGAGCGCCGCCCAATCCAATTCCAGCACTTCCAGAGTTTCCACCGAGATTGCCACCAAGGCTAAGACCGTTTCCACCCAGGCTGATGCTTCCCTTATGATATCCAGCGGAGTTGCCAACGGAAAGATGGCTAGATCCTGCGTTTGATCCAGTGTTTCCTCCGAGAGAGAGACCCGATCCAGCAGCAGATCCCAGTATTCCACTGGCTACTCCATGCGTCAGAGATGCAGCCTGATGAGCACCAGTTAATCCAACAGATCCAGCAGTAGTGGATTTGTGTCCGTTTGCTCCAACTGTCAGGCCACCGGATCCCAGAGAAAGTGATCCGGCACCGTTGCTGGTTCCAGAGGAACCAATACTCAAATGTCCAGCACTGATCTTTGAAGATCCTGCTCCAGAACCGGTAGATCCAGAGATTCCTGAAGATCCGATGCTTAGGTGACCAGAAGATCCCTTTGAACTCAAATCAGTTGCTCCAATGCTCAGATGTCCCACACCGAGAGATGCTGAGCCCGAAGATACCTTCGATCCCGAACCAGTTGATCCCGAAATGCCAACTCCATGAGATCCGGCAGTTTGGGATGATCCGGAAATGGTTGTGCCGGAGGATTGGATTCCGAGAGAGGCAGATCCTGAACCACTGAGTGATGAACCAGCACCTGATGATTCGACTTTCTTGTGTTCTGTCTTGATATGGGCTGTTCCTGCGTTTGTCCCAGAGGCTCCAATGGATGCGGATCCGGAACTAATATGGGTATGACCAGCAGTTACCTTGGAGGTTTCAGTTTTCGAGGAATAAGAGGTTTCGGAATGTTTAATGTTTACATTTCCGACAGCATGGGAACCAGATGAAGATGAACCAATGCTCAGTTGACCACCAGATCCTGATCCATGACCGGAAGATGAGCCTCCAGAGGATGAGACTTTTGAGGATTCAGTTTTATATGTGGAGGATGATGCACCTCCAGTTGTTCCAACATTGATGTGACCAGCACTACCAGAAGCAGCGTTAGAACCGACCACCTTGCTTCCAGAGCTTCCAATACTTGCATGGCCAACTGTGATCTTGGCAGAACCCGCTTGTACAGATGCTGACTGCTGTGAACCAGTTGACGAAGATCCAATATTGGCGTGGCTGGCAGTTATTTTGGCAGAGTTAGCACCGGAAGTCGAAGCTGAACCAGAATGGGAACCAGAAATTCCAGATGAACCGATGCTTAAGTGCCCAGCGTTGGACCCAGTAGTTCCGGTGGTCTCAAGGTTTAAGTGACCAGAATGGACAACATTGACTCCAGTTGCTGCAGCATTCAGCACTCCATTGGCAGCCTGAGCATGATGAGCGGCAGCAGTAGATCCTGCAGAGTGGACAATATTGGCGCCTGTTGCTGCAGCATTCAGCACTCCATTAGCAGCTTGAGCATGATGAGCTGCAGCAGCAGATCCTGCTGAGTGGACAATATTGGCGCCTGTTGCTGCAGCATTCAGCACTCCATTGGCAGCCTGAGCATGATGAGCGGCAGCACTAGATCCTGCAGAGTGCACCACGTTGGCTCCAGATGCTCCAGCATCAAGCACTGCTTTATCAACCTGAGCATGATGAGCGGCAGCAGTAGATCCTGCAGAGTGGACAATATTGGCGCCTGTTGCTGCAGCATTCAGCACTCCATTGGCAGCCTGAGCATGATGAGCGACAGCAGCAGTTCCTGCAGAGTGGACAATATTGGCGCCTGTCGCTGCAGCATTCAGCACTCCATTGGCAGCCTGAGCATGATGAGCGGCAGCAGTAGATCCTGCAGAGTGCACCACGTTGGCTCCAGATGCTCCAGCATCAAGCACTGCTTTATCAACCTGAGCATGATGAGCGGCAGCAGTAGATCCTGCAGAGTGGACAATATTGGCGCCTGTTGCTGCAGCATTCAGCACTCCATTGGCAGCCTGAGCATGATGAGCGGCAGCAGCAGTTCCTGCAGAGTGGACAAAATTAGCTCCAGATGCTGCAGCATCCAGGACTCCATTAGCAGCCTGAGCATGATGAGCGGCAGCAGCTGATCCCGCCGAGTGGACAATATTAGCTCCATTTCCTGCAGCATTCAGTACTCCATTGGCAGCCTGGGCTCCGTGAGAAGCAGCAGCTGATCCTGCAGAATGGATAGCATTGGCTCCAGTTCCTGCAGCGCCTAGAATGCCATTGGCAGCTTGATTTAAAATCGATCCAGATGAACCAGCACTATGGGATCCACTGCCAGACAAGCCAATGGATCCTCCATTATATCCTCCTCCCAAATTCAAGCCAGGAAGACTGGCTTGGGCAGAGGAACCTCCATTACCGCCTCCCAATCCAATGCCACCACCACCGAAGCCAAACCCGAATCCGGCGGATGCCAGGGACACGCAGCAGGCAGTCAGAAGTAAAAACAATCCCGTGGGAACCATTGTCAAAAAGTCACTAACTGCTTTTTGAGAAAACGGTTAGCTTTTATAGAACCGAAAATACGCCTAATAGTAAAGACGTCATAGCTAATACAGTTGTGCTTGGCTAAAAGGAATTTCCAATTTCTATACTTATTTTTCTAAATTAAAAGTAATACAGAGATTACGAATATATTCCAACTTTTACAAGTTTTCATTGCATTTCATTTCACATTTTATCTCAAAAACTTTTCCAAAAACAAACTTTTAACTTTTAATCATTGGAAAACTTTTAAATTATCTTTTTTACTATTAATAGAGGTAAAACCGTAGCTATACAAATTTGGTGACGTTTTCTTCGTTAATTTATTCAAAAACCGAAGAGTTAAAACAAGTTCCTTAACATTTATCATCATTTTTTTGCGTCTGGAAGGTGCTTATTCGGTTAGGGGATTCACCCTAGGCTAAAAATATAGCACGTGCTGTGCGCAGATACCAAAATTAGGGTCAATTAATTCTCAAAGAAAAAGTCTTCAGAAACTGACTATCTACTCTATTTTATGAGAAAGCTTAGTCGTTTTATAAGAATATCATCATGAAATTTAGATTTATTTATAAGTTGTATGGTTAGATTATATTTATTGGTACCTTATAATAAATACCGTAACGTAAGACTAAAATTGATCAAATATTTTATATTGAAAGAGAGGTGAATGAAAGGTATGTCATAAATTACCTTCTTTAATCTGTGTTACGTTACCAATGGATATTTTAATATCAAATTTATATTCATTTATCTGTACTAAACCTTTTTTATTGTTTAATTTATATAAATTTATTATGATATAATGATATAGTTTAGTTGTAGATACGTTTTACAATGAAAATATACTTCATAATAGGTACTTTGTATATTTTGGAAATATATAAAAAACTAAAAAATAAATATTAAAGCTACATTTACAATAAACTAAACTCTACCTACTAATAGAGCATTCTCGCCTCGCCCTAAGTTATTCATATTTTTCGTGCCTTTATTTTTCTAACAATTAATTAGCCTAATCAAAGCAAGATAAAATTAGCATCGTTTTTACAGCTGCTATGACGTCTACAACATGGCGTCACAACGGTGTAACAATAATATTCAAATTGTCACCAATTCCTCATAAGTCTAACCAGTAAAACCAGAATATCATTTTCTGTCTTTAATGATTTACATGGCAGATTTTAATAAGGTAAACTGGTAATGAATTTTTTGGAGTTATGATAGCTAATGATTTTATAAGTTAAGGAAGTAGATAAGCTATCTAATTCTATTTCCCATTCCCAGCCAAACCATTTAAGAATCGATATGGACAACGTGCCACTTTGTTGTCGCCAGCTTAGACACAGTTTTTCACTTAACTTGACTGCCGGTGGTGTTGCAGGAAAAGCGCAGCTGAGCAGAGCTGAGCTCCACAGAAATGCAAATGACAAAGACAATATGGGCCAAAAAGCCCAAGAAAGTCAAGTCAGCGGAGGGGCGGCAGGAAAAGCAGCAGCAGCTTCTTAGCCCCGGTGTCAGCTGTTGGCCCACTGGCATTCGCTTGGGAAAATGGAAAATTGTGCTCGCAGGAAATCTGCTTACAAATGCATGTATCTTGGCCCGCCAGCTGGCTGCTGATGTTGATGCAAAATCTGTTACGGCTTTTGTGGGGCGAAAGAAACACTTGACTTCCGTTTCCGCTGGAGGTCTTCATGCATACTTGAAAATACGAAATGCTATGCAAATGCGGAAATCTTTTCCATATTTAAGAGGAAAAACAACAGAGTGCAAATAAATATATAAATATTGAATTTCAAAGAACTCGGTGGCTAATGGAGCCAGCTTGGCTATTATATACTCTCCCATATTGTATTTTATATTAAAAGGGTACTTTAAGGGTAACTGATAAAAATGAAAATCTTTTACTCTTACTAATTAAAATATATTTTTTGTCAAATAAATACTTAATATATCCCAGAAATAATTTAGAAAACCGATCAAATACTTTAGATCCCACGACTGCCTCGTACACCTCTCCTGGATCTATTAGCCTCTTTATGCGAATCCTCAGGGACTTTTCCGAGGACCTGCAGCATGCGCCTGTAGAGCATTTTCCTCACGTCAATGGCCCAAAGGAAATCCATGTGATTGAACTCTTTCTGTGGAACCAAGTACTTTCCCCGTCACGTTGCCCAAGTCATCGCACATGGATTCCACATCATGGGGATGACAAAGCAAATCATTTGTGGAGTAATACACGAATGTGGGTACTGTCACCTGGCTAAGATTATAACGTGGTGGCAGGTGATCTCTGTACAACTGCATATTCTTATTGGAACTGTAGCTGTACGGTGCAAAGCGACCGCTTTTGATGATTTGGATGAAGTGCTTCACCTGCTTGGCAGCCACTCCTGCAGGATAGTGACCCAGGATTACGGGGAACATTTTCTAAAACAGAACAAAAAGTTAATCTGGGCTATCTTTAAACTATCATTATTAGTTACCCTGTTGAACTCATTCCAGTTGCGACCCACGATCCCAAAGACAGCTTCGATGCATAGCCGCTCCGTTTCCTCGGTCATGCGGCACAGGAAACGAAACTCTCCGTTGAACATCTCCCTGATAGAACTGCCCACCAGGCTCTGAAAATATTTAAAAATTGAGATTTCTCTGCTTCCCAACTTTTATCCACACCCATAACTACCCACAAAACGATAATGAAACCATTTTCTCATTACTCACATTAAAATACAGACTGATGGCTCGAATGTAAGGATGGTCCTCGGTCTCCTTGGCGTAAACAGCGGGCGCCAGGGCCTGCATGGAGACGACCTTGGCATTGTAGGCTGGCCGCATGGAGCACATCACAAAGAAGGAGGTGCATCCCTGTGAGTGTCCAGCATAGTGCAGTTTCGGGAAACCTGTGACCTTTAACACGTGATCAATCATTGCTGGCAAGTCGTACATGCCGATCTCGTGCCAGCTAAAGTCCCAGAACTTCGACTCGTCCGGGTCGAGGGTGGTATGATTCCTCGAGTAGCGATTACCCCGCGCATTCCCCAGCCAAACGTCATAGTCGTGGTCGGCGAGCAAGTAGGCTGCAAAGTGGACATCGGTCGTAATCACTTGGCCATTAATCACGAACGATGCGGATGGCACTTACCCAGGCTTACGTTGGGACCCATTACCACAAATCCCGCCGAGCTGTCCACGAGTCCATGCTGGAGCAGAAAGGGTGGGGCGCCCTGCTTGCGAATGCGGTGCATGGTGAGGATATATCCGTCATCAGTGGTCACATGATGCACCTCCGCCTCGTAGCCGTACTTGGCGATTAATTTGTCCTGTTGACGAGATGTGAGTGAGAAGTGTTGAGGTTGACAGCGAAAAGGGGAATAAACTTTAACTTGGTTGGTTGATTGTTATTTGATTTTTCCATAACGAAGAGCTGTCCAATATCACAAAAGAATTTTGAATTTGGAATTTAAAATTTGTATTATTTAAAGTTTTAAGACTGGAATTATTGACTTTAACTTTTAATTCACAAAACACTTATTTCTTGAATTAAAAAGATTTTTCTGAACTTATTCCTACCACACTGAGTGTAGAATCCTGCTTAATGTTCTTTCGTTGCAGCCGCTCCTCCAAGGTTTCATCCTCGACACTCTCCTCCTCCTCTTCCTCCTCCTCCTCGTCCTCTTCGTCCTCCTCACCACCAATAAGCTGGCCCTGAGTCCTGCAGATAAACACACACAGGCCCAAAAGCAAAATCAGCCGCATCCTCAGACTGCACCGCATCTTGATTTGGCCACAAATTTTCGGCAAGTTTCACTTTCACACGTAAGCGAGGCTCTGTCTGTGGAATTCAACCTCAACCTCAACGCAACGCGACGCGAACTGAACTAAAGACCAATTCGAAAACTGTCAATGGTTCAAACCGCCGGCTACAAAAACCACATCGACGAACTTCTGCAGAGGGCCTCTGCAGCAACTACAAAAACAAAAAATCAAAAAAAAATAATAAAAAAAAAATGCCGAAATACGAAAAAACTTTCGATCAGACAACAACATTGCGCACTGTGACGTGTTAGCTTCTTTTGTTTACATTTCGATTGCGTTTTACCTTTTTCGGCCAGTTAATTAAATATGGTTAAGAAGGGGGCTGTCAGGGGGGAAGCTATATTTTGGATGCGTAGGGCATGACAATCGGCAACAAGAAACTTATCAAGTGCAGCCAGTACAGTGAAGCATCGTGTCAGAAATTTAATCAGTTTTCAAATTAAACTATGTTACCAATAATCTTATCATTCATAATGACTTTTTTATGATTTCACATGAAAAAAAAAAAAAAAAATGTTTAGTTTTTATTAAAAATTCAAATTAATTATTTAAAATTTACGACAAGGCTGTCCCATGACATTTTCACTTCCACGAAAATAAAAATAATTTAAATTTCGAAAGTTGGCTTAAATTTATTTATAAATTCAATTATAAAAAAGTTTTAATAATTCACCTGTTAAATTTACAATATTTATTAAGTGCAAACCACCCACCTACCACCCGTTGTAAGACCAGTCAAAACATTTCCATTAAGGTAATTATCATTAGTTCTCCTCTTTCGTCTTACCATCGATATGACTTAATAACCCAAACCTTTTTTTTGGCCAAAAGCAGCACAAAAGACACTGCAAACAGATACCTTTTTTGTGTTGGCCATCAAAAGAAAGTAAAAGTGTCGACCACTTGGCGGCTGCCTTTTTGAATTATACATCTATATGTATATATTTTTTATGATTTTGGTTTTGGCTACCGCATTACATAATTGTCATTTTTGGCCGAATGCCAAGGCAAATAAACCATTTCGCTGGGCAATTACTTTTTGTTCGTCATTTGGTAGTACAATGGATCTCAATGAACGCCTTTGATGACACCTTTTTATTTGGCGGTCATTCAATTACGTATGGCAATCGCCCATCCAGAAACTGTCCCATTTGCTCAATTAACTTGTCGTTGACCAGGCCTTTAACATCGTTGGAGATCAGGAAATCAAAGTGGTTGAACTTTGGCGAGTTGATTCTCCTTACACTTTTCACTGATTTTAGCATTTTGGCATAGATCGCATGTACGCCTTCTGGCGTGGCAATCGCATCGGTTTCTCCAAAATATAAAATAATCGGCACTGTGATCTGACTTATATTGTAAGAGAGGGCTTCTACTCCGTGATATATTTGCATATTCTCAACTGGTCCAAAATCATAGGAAATAAAGTCACCCGATTTCCATATCTGGTGTAGATGTTTTATCTCCCTCGCGGAACCGCCTTGTAGTAGGTTTTCGTAGTTAAAGGGTTCTAGTAACTGTGGAAACAGAATAAAAAGAAATTTAAATATATATTTTTTATAATTGTTATATAACCTTTTTGTTACTCTGCGCACTGCCTGCCAACTGCTTGGTATAATATTCGCAAAGATCTCTTTTGCTTTGACAAATTTTTCGAAAGTAGCCAGGCGGAAAGATCTCAAACTTATTACTCTTTTGGCGTTTCTGAAAATAAGAAAATGATTAAAAATTTATACAAATTTTAAACTAAATTTAAAGCAATGTAAAAGCATGTAAAAATAAACTTATAATTATGAAAATTAACATTAAGACTCAAAAAGGTTATGTTCAAACACCTATAAACTTTTCACTTTAGTTAAGCTAGAATAAGCATTCAGTCACCGAACCTACTTTAAAATGCATTACTTTTTATTGAATTTTTCCACTGAAATGGATTCCACTCAGCTGATTTGTTTTACTTTCCCCAGACCCAGACCCAAGATCCACCAAAACACATCTCAAGTCACACCAGGGGGTTATCACCGAGTGAATTCCCTTCTCTAAATAATCTCAATGCCTCTCCCCGCTCATTGGTTTCCTATCTCTGTGGCGATGTCAAGCGGTGTCAGGTCGTTATCAGCAACACTGGAAGAAAAGGTAGACTTCGATATTTTTTTTTTAATCCAAAGTATGTTCTAAAGATATGACTAGATTCCTCATTCTAAGTTAGAATCTATTTCTAATATTTTTAAATCTTAGTTCCTTTTGTTATCTTAAATCTTTCAGTGTACCATCTACAACCGATCTTAGCAATGTCCTCCATCCGTGCTTCAGTCACAGCGCGATGTTCAGACTAAGCAATCGACTGCCCATCGCCCTCAACGGTCTGCGCCACGCCTCCTCTGCCACCGGCGAGGGCCAGCGCACCGCACTCTACGATTTCCACGTGGAAAAGGGCGGGAAAATCGTGAACTTTGGAGGCTATGCCCTGCCGGTACAGTATTCGGACCAGAGCATCATCGCCTCGCACCTTCACACCCGCCAAGTGGGCTCCATCTTCGATGTCTCGCATATGCTTCAGACTCGGGTTTTCGGCAAGGATGCGGCCGCCTGTCTGGAGTCCGTTTGCACAGCAGACATCCTGGGCACTCCCAATGGCAGTGGCACCCTTACTGTCTTCACCAACGAAGCGGGTGGCATCCTAGATGATCTCATCGTGAACAAAGTCAGCGAAAAGGAACTCTACGTCGTATCCAATGCGGCGATGAAGCAACAGGACATTGGAATTATGACTGCAGCTGTGGTAGGTCGACAATTTCTTAGATTCGAATTGCGATAGAGAAATTCTCATTTTGATCTCTTCAGAATAACTTCAAGTCCCAAGGCAAAGATGTAACAATTGAGTTCCTAACCCCCACCGATCAATCTCTAGTAGCTGTTCAGGGTCCCCAAGTAGCAACGGAACTAACGAAACTACTGCCAAAGGAAGTCTCTTTGGATAAAGCATACTTTATGACATCTTTTGTCACCTCTTTGGCTGGTATTCCCAATGTCAGGGTCACTAGGTGTGGCTACACCGGAGAGGATGGTGTGGAAATATCAGTGGAGTCCAGTCAGGTTAAAAACCTCACCGAAGCTCTTCTTCAGAATGGCAGCCTTAAGCTTGCTGGCCTGGGAGCCAGAGATTCTCTGAGATTAGAAGCGGGTCTTTGTCTCTATGGCAATGATATTGATTCAAAAACCACACCCGTAGAAGCCGCTCTTTCCTGGCTGATAGCTAAGAGACGTCGCTCAACCCGGGATTTCCCTGGAGCTGATGTAATTCTCAGCCAGCTAAAAGAAGGAGTTAGCCGGCGACGAGTGGGTCTGCAGATGTTGGGAGTCAAGCCACCGCCAGCTCGTTCTGGTGTGGCCATCTTTAGCCAAGGTCAGCAAGTGGGTCAAGTGACCAGTGGTTGCCCAAGTCCCAGTGCAGGACGCAACATTGCTATTGGTTATGTATCAGAGAATCTTAAGGCTCCTGGCACTAAGGTGGAGTTTAAGGTTCGCGACAAATTCTACGAGGCGGAAGTTACCAAAATGCCTTTTGTCAAGGCTAACTATTATAATAAACCAAAGAAATAAATATTCGGAGAAAATAAATAATTAAAAATAAGTTTTAAATGGAAGCTAGTATAAAATCTATGTTAAAAATTACAAGTGCAGATTTTCAAGCAATTACCTTGATAAACTTCATAAAGTTGCGCACCTGAAAGGAATCGAATCGCACCTGTCGATGCAGTCGAGCCAAGGGTGCCAGGGCCTGCATCAGCTGAATGCGCTGGTTGAACCGCGGATGCACAGAGCACAGGACCAGGAATGCATTAAAGGCCTAAGAGCAGTGTTTAGGAGGAGTTCGCCACCTAACCCTCACCGCTCACCTGAGAGTGTCCAATTAGCAGCACCTGGTGCGGCATTTGTTCCTCATCCGCCTCGGGACCATCTTTATGATCCTCTTGCTCACCGCCTGTGACCTCCGCCATGTGGTCAATTATGGCTGGCAAATCGTAGGCGCCATGCTCGTGGAAACTGTAGTGCCAAAAATCGGCCATCACATCGGTCAAGTCGATGTGCTGCCGTCCGTAGGGCGCCACTCCGCGCAGGTTCGCCAGCCAAACGTCGTACTCGCGCTTGTACAGCTGAAAGGCTGCACAGAGAAAAATATTTTTGGAATTTGGTTACTCACTAAATATAAAGCTCTTTATATAAAAACTCTTATTGAATTTCATTCTAACTAAAGGCAACAAAAAACTATCTTCAAATTGGAATAATTATTATTAATTTACTAACTTTATTAACTTGTATTAAAGTGCATGGCCCGAAGTACACATTTGCTTACCCAAACTCCGCTCAGGACCCAGGCAGACCCAACCCAGGGAGGAGCCCAGTAGTCCGTGAACCAGAAGCACGGGCTTAGCTCCCAGACGCGGCAGACGTTGCACCTGCAGCTGATAGCCATCCGCCGTGGTCACATTGTGCACTTCATGAGTGACATTCTGGGCCTCCAGCCAGTCCATCTAAAAGTATAGATTACATAGAAGAAAAATGTGTGTTGCTAGGCTTAGAAAATGATATAATTTGTTCATTTTGATTAAGAATATTCAAAAAAATTTATTTGATATCCCTCAAAAAATAGCCACTTTAATATTTGGACCAAAATAACTAATTAATTATTTAACTTTAAGTATCTATTCTAAGTGTACGAAAATAATAGTAGCGGAATGGCTTCAGGCCTCACACCTACCGTAGTCCATTTATATCGCGACTCCGGCTGAGAGGCGAAGGCATTTCTGCCGATTGCACACACGATGAGCATTACTTTGATGGCTTCGATCCAGCCTAACCCACTCATTTCACCCTTTCAACTAAGTCGGATGTGATGGTGGCCAGCCTGGCATGGATGCACTAATTGCCCAGTTTTCCTGATCATCTTTCCACTTGACTAAACGCCTAAAAATCGAGTTATTGCTGGAAAATGTGTAGAGGTGTGCAAAAAGCTAATTACTTGGATGGGCCAAAACGTTTAAGAGACAAGCCACTTTATGACCACTAGTTATTTACAAATTTTAGTAACATTTAAGAGCTAATGAATATAAAATTTAGTAATTTAAGCAAAAACTATGTTTAGAAATAACAAACAGAAGTTACTAATGAACCAAACTGTAAACTTTAATTAACCGAAGTAATAACGTAGTAAACGTATTCGAACTTTAAATTGTTTAATTAATTCTCCTTCCTTACATTCACCGAAATGCCCGGCACTGAAAATACGCAATTAAATAAAGCTTAACGGAAAGCTTAAATAAAATAGATTGAATTATGCCAACGCACCCGCATCCGTAGTGGAATCCGTATGGAAACTCTCACAATTAATTGCAGTCCCCATGGTCTTATCACTCAGTAAGTAATATTCATATTCGCAAAAGAGAGAAAAGTATGTAAAAGGGAAAAGGAAAATGTGAAAACCAACAGCAATCCAGTTGCAATTGCAACTCGGGAACAGACCGTTCCCCTGTTCGCTTTTATTTACTTATCGTTGGGAGATAACAATTGACTACCCGCCCGGACAACAAAAAATCCCAGCGAACTTTATTAAAATTACGCTTAAAAGTGGAAGGGTGGGAATACGAAAAAAAAAATCCGTCTGAATGAAAGGCCAAAAGAAAGCGTTGTGAGCCAGAAGCAAACGCCAAATTAAATGGAATACAAAAATGTGAATGGAAAAAATAACCACAAGGCAGGGCACAGAGGGCGTTGGGCGTTTGATAAGGTGAGGGCTACGACTGGCGACTGGCAACAAAGGACATGCACTGCCCATTGGTCCCAGGACTTGTTAAAGGGGTTCTCATTCCTGTATTCTGATTTCGTGAAATAAAGCTACCACCGGCATCTGTGTGCAGTCAACGGGATGCAAAAGTGCAGTCGATTAACGGAAGTGAAAAAAGGGTGCGAGATCCTCCGGCCGCCCTTTTCCGTCTGTGGAGGGCGTGTCATGTCGGCGGCTCTGGCATATGTATGAATTTTTATTAAATTTAATAAAGCTGCAATTATGCAATTTACTCTGGCTGCATTTGTCACGCCCACACGGCAGTCGAAGTGAAGTCCAGAGAGTTGAAAATTAATTTGGCTGCGGTTACAACAGCCAGCGAAGCGATGCAATGCCATGGAATCGGAGTAAAAAAAATTTAAAATATACACTGACTGAATTTATGAAACGGTGGCTAGACTTTTGGAAGATGGGGAGATGGTATCATAAACAAATCGATGCAGTTCATTCTAGTCGGCGGAAGTAATTTAAGACGCACTTTTAAAGTTGAATTTTAAATTTTTCAAGTGGATCTACAACTAGGTTTTCAGAAGCCTTTAAAACATGCTCTAACTTACAACCTGAACATGTTTTTCAATACCTTAAGCTATATTGTTTCATTTAATTTCTGATAACATATCAGAAATAATAATTCACTTATTCCCCATACACACAGTTTCAAAAATTTGCATGAAATAAGAAGAAACACATCATCATTTTGAAATTTCCACCCATAAAACTGTGCCAAAATTACACGTATTTATCTGCTCTAATGACACTCTTTACGCCTCGTAAAACATGAACCATAAACGGGGGCGATCGGAGCACGGTGATTCAGCACGCATCAATTGACATTTTTGGCATTTGGCATTTTGGCATAAAGGTGAATTCGGAGGGCCCGATGCTAAGCGTTTGATAGAAAAATCATTACGGCGAGTAAATAACAGCGAGGTAAACAAGTTTGCGGCCAAAACAAAAATGAAAATGAAAATAGTAATGAAAATAATGGTAGCAAACAAAAGTCAATCACTTGCCGCCGTTCCTGTTGTTGTTGAAGGAAATTGTCGAAAATATTTGGTAAAGGAATCGAAGCAAAGGACACTTTGTATTATTAAACGACAGATAGACAAATCAAAATGCGCCGAGGGTGACAATAGCGACGGCTGAGTTTTCACCCCCTCGACTTTTCGCTCCCATTTCCCGCCGTTGAACTTTTCCGGCAGGTGGAAATTCTCGCACAGACACAACCGCACACGAAATCAATGTAATTGACGAACTGACTGGCTGGGTAAGTGAGTGAATGAATCGTGTCTCGTTTATTGTGGCAACAGCTTTTCATTTCAGAAGCCCTCCTTCGATTTCCCTTTTCCGCAGAATTTTCCTTTTTGTTTGTCTTTCAACTCAATTGCATGGCAACTTTTCTTTTTTTTTTAGAATATTTCCTTTTTTTTTGCCTATGTGAGTCGCTTCTTTATTTTTATTATTTCCTATTCGTGAATGCGAATTGCTTTTGAAATGTTTGCGTGCCATTTGTGTTGACAGTAAAAGCCGCTTAATGATTTCATTTTGGTTATAAATAGGATTTTTGGCCTGAATGTAAAAGAAGGAAGAGGCTTTTGTGCTTTCTTGGGGTAGGTTATGGGAAAATTAGTGACTACAATAATGGTGAAGTAAGTAAGAAAGATTTTGTATACTTACAGAATTGGAAGAACCTGGCTATATATTTCTCAAGTACATACATATGGTGATTTATGTTTTGTTATATTTGCGTTTATATTATATTATTTAAAGCAATGTTTAAATTAAATTCCGATCGTCGTCACGTCGTTTTGGCTCCGCTTGAGCACGCCTTCACTTCATCAGATCTTCTCGAATACTCCGCCTTCGTTCATTGTTCTCTCATTTCTTATCTCGTTGTCATTCTACTTTTTTGACGAACTTTTTTCTTGGTTTCCACTTCTTTCGCCAGATGGTCACTCGTCGTCGCTATAATCTTCCCCGTCCTCTTTTTACCTCTTTCGCTCGATGGTGACTCGTTGTCACTTGATTGACATCTCGCCGCTCTTGCTATTTCGTTGTCTAGGGATTTTGTATGTTCTTGGAAGTGACATTATTAATTATTTACAAGTACAAATCTAAAAATCTCTCCTTTAAATTTCCATTTCCATTAACAATAATAATACATTTGTTTTATTTTATGGATTTATTTACACATAAACTCTAGATTTGGTTAGGTGATGACCAAAATATTTAAGAAAACATTTTAAACAGAGATGCGCCTCCAAAGTTCTTCTCCTTCTTAAGTTAAAAAACTGGTCAAAGTTCAAGCCTCTATTATCTATTAAGTGTAAAGTATTCTTCCCACCAAGTATCCTTCGAATTATGTGCGCCTTTTAAATAAACAAAACGTGAGCTTTTGAGCGGAATTAAAGCATGTTTTGAAAAGCAAATTTCCACCTTGCCGTGTCCGAGGAGCCAAGGAAAATTCCATTGGCCTGGCGAAGCAACAAGGGCAAAGTTTTCACATTTTTGTTTAACATTTTCCAAATGCCTTTTGCTATATATATATTTTTTTTTACACTTTTATGCATAATGGAATTAGTTAAATTTCTCTTTGCTGCGAAAACTTTCGCTGAACTTGCGCCAAAAAGTTTGCTTCCTGTTTTCCCCCTTTTCGGGAATGTTATGCGTTTCTGATGACGTTGTAGAAAACGTTTCCGTTTTCCGAGTTTGCAATGAAAACTTTTTAACTTAGAACAACATTGGCCTCGTCGGCACTCGCTCGAATTTTAATTAAAATATTTATGAATTTGTCTTTCCAAAGCGGCCAAATTGACAAGAAAAGCAGCCAAAAAACGTGCTCAAAGTATCTTGATTTTGAGTTGAAAAGAAAAGAATGGCCAAGAGAATTGAGCCATCTGCCAAGTGTCAATTGTAACTGAAAGTCGCTCATGTGGATGACTTTCTAATTAAGTTTGCCGAACTGAAAGCCTCACGCAAGTCAGAGTAAGTCAAACAGAGATATATTTTTTAATTATCTACATTTTTATTTTCCTCTTGATGATGCTATCAAAAACGTGAGAAGTTAAGTTAATTAAGTAAGTAACAGAGAGCTTTATTCATTGAACTAAAGTATCTACATACGTCACTTGAGAAATCAAACTTGCTATTGCGAAAATCGCAAATCACATCTAAGGAAAACCCCCTATTAGCCATTAAAGCCCAGACAATTGTGATTTCATATTTCCCACAAAGTCACCGATACTAGCAATTATTTATTTGCATATTTATCACCAACCGTATAATAAATAATTTTTATAGCCTTTTATTTCGCTTTTTCGCATTGATTACTCTCCGCGTTCTCAGTCAATCCGGTTTGTCTTACCCAACAAATGGATCTACAATTTGTTTAAGGCAATTAACCAATGTTTATTGTTTTCAATTCGACAAATAGCATAAATTATTTTTTTCCCAAGAAATCAACGGGCGGTGGGGATGAATTTTGCTGATTTAAAACAAATATTTGTTGAGGAACAAATCATTTTTTAATTTAACAAAAATTAAACAAACATTTTACCTACATGATCTGAATAAAAATCTCTCAAGCTTACATTTTACAAACTAGTTCAACAACTGTTGAACATTAAAGGACCTCGTTACGCAGTATCGACATATGGAACATACATTTTCCACAATAATTTGCATTTCTTTATGGCCCTCACAAGTATTTTTCAACCATACTCCCGCCCCACTCTCGTTACGCAACGCAAACAGCTTCCAACTAGTGCTCGACTGCCTGCTTTATGTCTTTCCATTATTGATGACTTAATTCCGGTTGATTTATTGAGGCCACAAACAGCCGGTGGTCGGTCAGCGAGCTATGTTTTGCAATGGCCAGGAACCAGGAGCCAGGAGTTCCTGAGGAGTCAGGACCTGGCCGGGACGCCATTTGCTATGCACACGTACTGAAGCAAATTGAACCCCTCCATGGCGGGGGCACATCTAGCAGACCATCTAGCAGCTGTGCTGGTCCAGAACGTGTTTAATAAATAAGCCCAGTTAATATGGCGCAAAAAGTTGGTAGCAGGGGCCGGTCAAAGCAATGTAAGTAGAAACCATATATTGTACAATTT